CTTCTTGCGTTATTTGATGTAAAAATTATTAATGTTGACCGTTTACTAAGACGGGCCCTCGGGGACGGGCCTAGTCCCGGGCCTGTGATTTCATTTTTAAACAAATCAATAACTTTCAATAAATACAACACTACAGGACTTGAACACCATATTATACAACTAAAATTTTAAATAAGAATGTCACGTGACGTTCGCATCACTTATCGTGGAACTTGTCGTGAGTTGCGAATTTGTACGACAGACTTACGATTTTTATGGAAACGGATCTGTCGTAAGTCTACGACAGTCGTAAGTTTGTCGTAACTTTCCCCATTCCTACGACTGTCGTGGAGTTACGATATCGTAAGTCAACGACATTTTTGGAAACGACCCCCAGAGGGGTCCAAAGTTGGCAAATGTTAACCCTTGGCAAAAGCTGGCTACGGGTCTGACTCTGATCAGTAAATAAAATTCTAATTAACCCTTTCATGTCTGAACAAAAGGGGCCAAAACAGCAAGCATTTATAGATTTCACTGGTATTTTAAATTTGATAAGCAGCATGCGCACTATGTGCGTACATGGCGAGAAAAAACAGTAGATTTTTTCTGAAAATTTGAATCAATCTGGAAAATTAATATTTTTTTTTATTTTCTGGTTTATACATGTAGTCTTTTTGCCTCAAGCCTTTGTCCCTGATATCTTTCCTAACTTACACTTCCCTACATAAGTTTGGAAAGCAAAGTTTTCATAAGCATATCACAGGCCTGTCAACTTGGGAACACCTAACATGAGTGACTTGCAAATGTTGAACACCTTTGTTCAAATTTTGGACACCTTGGTCCAAATCTGAACACCTTGGCCACATTTTGAGCACCTTGGTTTAAATTTTATTGCATATGATCAAAGTTTGGACACCTCAAATTTTTCGCGCTCCCTACGCTCGCGGTCCAGTTGCCAAACTTATGGAGAGGAGTGTAACTAGCAATCACAGTATAATATCTATCTCATTTGAAGAACGTATACTAGACGTCAGTGCTAGTACATGTAATTAAGAATTAGGGGGAGGGGATTTGCAACACAGGATTTGATGCTACCAGTTGATTTCCTATGGAATTTGTTTTTGATACTGATTCTTAAACAATATGTGATCAATTCTAAAACTGGAGAAAACTTATGAAATAAGCAAATCAGTATTGTTTTGCCGTACCATCAAGATGATGTTTAATATTTCATATACACTTTAGGTGTATAGTCGTATAAGAAACTGCTCATAAAGGTTTCATAGTTTTTTTCAAAGTATCACTTAATTATTATTGTTTTCCTTCACATTTAACCTGTTTATGATGAGTGATTGTGATCTCATTCTAGCTGTCTTTGAAAATATTGTTTCATAAAGTATATGCCACACTATAAGTAATTGTACATTAATATTTGCATGTATGACAATTGTATGTTGTACATAAATCACTGCAATAATAATTTATATTAATAAAATGACTTTGTCTCTAAAATTCATTGTCTTAGTTTCTGTATTCCAGTATTCCTTACACCTATATATACGAGGGGTGATTCAAAAGTAATGGGCAAACGAACATTACTGTATACTGTAGCGTTGGCCTACTGGTATCTAACATAACAGAAAATGATATTTCATGTTTTATTTTGTTATAATTTCTCTATTCTAATAGCACAAGTAAAGGACCAGGTAGTGTATTGCAAACTACAGTTTTGTATTGTTTGGCCAAACATTCCTCCTTTTACTTGGGATTTATGTGAGATGACCTACATTCAAGTTTTAGACTCAGTTCAAATCAACACTTTTTAATTAATCCTGAAATTAAGTGACTATTGCAAGTTTTTAACATGGAAGCCGGTGGTAGTCTGGCCCAACCAAACCACTAAAACAAGTAGTGACATCTATCTATTCAGCTTTGTCCATCTCACTTATTGGCTACTTTGCATAAACGCGTCTTCAGAGATGCACATAAGGATGAGAAAGAATTTCAAAGTACATGTACATTCAAAAAGTGATTGTTACAATTTTCATTTTGTGCTTAATCAGTAGAAGCTTTCAACTGGTGAATGAGAATTCACACATAGCTAGGCAAGGTGTGTCCAATTCCAGCCAATCCCAACACAGTATTTCATATAACTGCATTGCATTATATAACCAATCACCGCATCTAATGTCATTTCTTGAATGGTTGACAAGACGACAACTTGACTATACAGATCTAAACTGATGCTTTGCCAAGTTGACCCTTGGAAAAAGGTTTCATTGAAAACATGTTCTTTTAGTGATTTCTTTTAAGGTTCAGCTGGAAAGTAACATTTTGGTAAAAAATTGCTATACCTGCACATGTTATTTTCTGGTACAAAATTAAGTATGAAGTCATGTGTGTATTTCCTTGCTTTTTTCAGGAAAGTATTACACTGTTTACTTTTAGAATATCTGGAAACGGGTCAATGGTAGCTCCTCTATTGTCTGGAAACTTTGAAAGAAAATTTGGAAAAATAGAAAGTGTGAAATATCAAAATTTCCTGGAGTTCCCATTAAACCCCTACCAGATATTCTAAAAGAAGACAACGTAATGATACTTTCCTGAAAAAAGCAAGGAAATTGACACATGCCTTCATACTTTATTTTGTACCAGAAAATAACATGTGCAGGTATAGCAATTTTTTACCAAAATGTTACTTTGATTATTAAGGGGAGGCATCAAAAGTTCAATGTCGAATTGGAAATAAAATAAATCTTGTTTTGACTCTGACCCCTCCCCAAAAACTAAATACCATGAAAGTTGATCGGTTGATTGTAATTTGCGGCTTTTAACAACTATTGATAGAATATAGTCCTTTGAAATGATCTTGACAAAGAAAGCATCAGGTAAAATCTTTATTTTAAACCATTCCAAATTTTTCTGAGTCAAAATTGCCAAAAATTAAAAATGTTGAAATTGGATCCGTACCCATTAGTGTACCTACAAGAACTTAGAAAATTATTGAAAAGGGTAAAATGGAATTCCAGACTTATTTTTATGAAATTTGAATCGTTATTAAGTATATTTTCAACAAATCACAAAAATAGTGTGGAAAATATGGTAAAAAGGTGTTTTAAACAGTGATTCTTAACTTGTGTCATGTTGACTCTTCAAATGAGTAACTTTGACATATTTTGACAGAACCTTGATTAAAATCTTGAGTTTTGTAGATAGACTTAATTTTACATGTCAATATAAGAACTAAAATGTGTCCTAATCTACTAAGCTTCATTTCATGTGCCATTCATGCATAAATAGTTAGTAATTCTATTGTATTGAAAGACACCCTATTGTGTTTTTGTTGTAAACAGTGAATGACCTTCTCCATTCATTGACAGATTGAGGTACTTCCACAAACCAGACCCCCTCTGAATGTACCTTTATTGTTTAGTATTGACACTATTTTATAATTCAAGCATGAAATTAGAGAGGGTCATAAGTGTGGAAGATACACAATATGAAAGTATAGCAAAACTTTTAGTTTCACAAAAGAGGCCATATTAAAATTACCATTATAGTCAAGAATTCATTCTGCCTTGAATGTATTGCTTAAGGTAGGTGCAACATAGAACCTTCTACAAAAATAGAAAATCTAATTTGGAAAGACATTCTGGACTGAACATTTGCATTCCAACAAACTCTGTCATTTACAATAACGATTGTGTCAACGTATAACGCCATAGAGACATCCAGCCCTGGTTCCCATAGATAATTCTGAGCACCATGTTCAAACCTCTAAACAGACATTTATTCAATTTTTAATGATAACCTTATCTTTAATGATGTTTTGACATAGTATCTATGTTGAATACCTAGGTTGAAGCTACAGTATACATAATAAGGGTGATCATGGTACTATTGTTCAGAACACATTTAACAAGGTTCATTTTATCATATGCTTTTTATTATTGGGGGTTATTTTATGATTTGTGTTTTCAGTATGTTGCCCTTTGTGTCCCACCTGAATGATATTTTAATACACCCTCTATGCATACTGTATACCAACTGAGGTGATCATGGTACTATTGTTGAGAACACATTTATTAAGGTTCATTTTTACAAAATGTGAATTAAGTTTTTAGTCTTTTTTATATGTGTTTTCAATATGTTGCCCATTGAGTTCTACATTAACGATGTTCATATATATTGATTGAGGAATGGTCAACATACTTAAAATGATCATGAATGAAGACTAACGTACCCCTAAAATGATATTTAGAATGATTTGCATAGTCAAACTTAAATGCACTGAATGACCTAATTTCATTTTTGATGTGTTCATAATTGATAAAAGTAACTATTTCCATATAGTTTTCAATGAAACCTTTGGGGGCACCTTCAGGTACATTAGGTAACGGATCCTTTGCCGGATAGCAAACTGAAATGGGTTTGAAGTTTTGAACCCCCTCCCCCCTAACTAGATTTATCTAGTTTTCTATCCGACATCGAACTTTTGATGCCTCCCCTAAGGACTTTAATCATTGTTCAAGCTTTTAGTTTTTGACCTTTGACCAAGTGTGTTCATTCACAGCTGATTGGCCTTTAGAATTCATGAGATTTATAATAAAAATGTCTGCGATAAATGAGCTTTTGGATACAGCTTTGGTGCAGTTAGTTAGACAAGGTTCAATTGTTGGGCCTACTCATCTACGTACTAATCAGCACAAGGTGATGTCAATAAAGTACTTTGAAATAATTTGAATTCTTTGTAGTGAGGAATCGAAAATTCAATTTCATGGATACTAACCACTAACCAGGCCTCCAGATGCCAGGAACATTTTTGGTTCACCGGTGAACTGATCATACTGCCAAGGTTTGGTAATAAATATATACAGTATTAGACCCATGTTTTAAATGATATCACTGATCAAACTCCTCTGGTTTTCCTACACAACCAAGGGCATCAATCACAATATATGTGTAAATGTAATCTCACTTCACTTCCTCTACCAGGTTTTACAAAACAGAATGCGTCATATTCATTCACAGCTCACAGAGACCGCTTTATTCCCATATAAAATCATACATAGAACATGTAGCGCCGTAAAGTCTCTAACAGACATAAAGTCTCTAACGGTAGGACTTCTGGTATCTGGCACGGGCTCCGGGTCCACCGAATTTCTTGGGCTCACAACGACGTGGATCAGCAACCAATAATGATTTATCATATGATGATAGAATGTCCTTGATTTCCTTCTTAGATGCTTCATCAACATCTGGAAGAAAATGATAATTTTATGAATTAAATTCTAGTTAATATAGTGATCTCCTCAGTAATACAGTATAATGGGTATAAAAGCACTTGAAATTTTGATAATAGGCTTGCACTTGCAGCCACCTGAGAATTTATTTGCACCAAGAAATACTATGAAAAAAGGCATATTTTGACCAAAGAATTGGTATTAATATGGCGAACTGAATTGAACATTTAATGATCATCTTTTGAATGGTAACAATTTAAATCGAAAAATTATACTTTTCTCTATCTTTTGTCAAACACTTCTTCTGTTCTCGGTATTATATGTTCGGAATGAAATAGAACATCTATCCGAGCTGATTATGTGGAGAATGCGGGCAAATGCAAATTCCATCCGCACTCTGCAAACATGGAATCCTGTGGGCAGTGATATAAAAAAAATTATTTTCGCATTAAATTGTTGTCAATCAGTGACCATTACATAAAGAACTGTGTCTTTTAACAGAATATTTTTAATAATTGGTTTGAGAGAAAAACAATGTTGAATTCAGTTCGCCATATCGATACCAATCCTTTGGTCTAAATTGTGAAAATAAGAATAACAGTTTTAAAATAATAACATTTGTATTAAGCATCATCATCACTAGTGACTCAATCAAAACATTTTTTTAATAAAAAAGAAATACACATTCACTCAAACTAATTCCACTTTTCAATCAATTACATGTACTTACATTTCTGATAGTAAGCTACCAATGACTTTGAGATGGCCTGTCTGATAGCTGAAAAGTAAAAATAATCTTTATTAGATAAGTTGGTTGCGGACACAGACAAGCACCTTGTACCATGGATCTAAAATCTTTTTACAATCTGCTCTTTCCAGCAGTCAAAAAGATTTTGTACCAGTACCAGGGGGTTTCATTAGAATTTCTCTCAACAGGCTAAATAAATGAAAACAACAGGCAAAATTAATGGAAATCATAAATCTAACATGGAAAAGTTGAAAAGTCCTTAAAAACAAAAGGCGATTTAGTGAAAACAACAGGTGAAAATCAGCTGTTACCTGCTGCTTATGAAACCCCCGAGTACAGTACTAAACAAAATATATTAACAGAGAAAGTTGTGTGGTTATTCAACCCTGAAATGTGATCAGGTAATATCTGCACTTTCTAATTTCTATCATGCATATTAGCATTGCTTACTGTATTTGTCTTTAATTTGGCGATTTCCTGTTTTTGGGCCCATTTCTATTGGCTTCTATTTAATTTGGTGGTTTTTCAAGTGTTATAGACATCCACCCAACCAACCAAATTTAAGATACTGTAAAACGGGTACTGTTAGCGAGGGGTACTGTTAGCGAGGGGTAATTGTTAGCGATCGCTATAGATTCGCTAATAAAAATTCAATTCGCTAAAATAAACCAGGGTTAAAATAAACCAGGCGCTAAAATTTGCAAATTCCCGGGGAACTACATGAATACTATACTAGTATTTAAGGAGCTTTTCGTTCAGTGCTCGACTTCCGGTTTGTAATTTGAAAAAGGTAAATATTTTTAAATCGTATATTTCTTTCAATATCTGAAGGATAAATAGCCATCCATCAGTGAAATAGTATTAGTAGTAAATATAAAGATAAAAGGTGTTAATTGCCAGAACACGGTTCAACAACCAATAATAATTCCTCTGTCATGTCCGTTATTCATTCTTCTGCCATAAATGATAAAATTTCTAATGCATTTCGCTAATTTGATTTTTTAAAGATTAATCTGCATTTCGCTAAAATTTCACGCGCTAAAACCCCCTAAAATTGAAAAATCGCTAAAATTTCCCAGTGTCAAAATTACCCGTTTTACAGTACTCATTGTTAGTGTTGTTGATGAACAATTTCTTCTATATTTTTTGTTGCTTACATATTTAAACATCCCAGCCATCTTGGTATCTTTCTTAAATCCGGAAGTGCACCGAATGTAAAACATGTCATATACCCGGGATTTTGGCGACTATTTAATTTGGCAATTTTTTGATTCGCCAAAATTTAAAATGCTCACCAAATTAAAGACAAATGCAGTATTTAATTGGTCAATGCATCGTTTATGACATCTTTCAATGACATGAGTCTTTTAGGCAAATATTTAGCAATAAAGCAAAATTGATAAGTAAAACCTATATATTCTGAACACTTCTCTAATCCAAACAGCTTTCGATGTGAACACTGTTTCCGGTTCAATATTTTTTAATCTGCCATAGATAAACATATTAAAGAACTTGGAAGGTGAACACTCGCAAGTCGAAACACTTTAGGCAGGTCAATGGCACTCAGTTTAAGACAGGTTTTGCAAAACCTAATTATCATAGCCGTAGGCAGCGGGGGTTCGATGGGTTCGAACGAACCCCTGGTCAGGATTTCCCAAAATATCATTTTGCGGAAAATGCATATAACCAGAAATATTAAATTACTGTGCTATTTGAAAACTATATGAGCAGTAAATGATTTAATAATTCTTATGGTGAAGACAAGAGCCTTATTTTGTTAAAAACATGTCATAGTGAAGTTACACTTCCCTCAAAACGTTTGGCAACCTTAGGCACTGGGTGAGATTTAAGGGAAGACCCCAGAGCATGAGATTTTACATTTAGAAATAACAATGATTTCGCACAATTAACTGAAAGCTGCTTCTTCTCGGACAAAATAACCAATCTTTGGCAATGGCTATTAAAATCAGTCATTTGTAGGAATTTTGTTTTAAGGCAGTTCTGGTCCAATACGAAGTTATTGAAAGTTATTGAAAACAATGCAGACGTCCCATACTCCGAATGATTTTGACAACATTGACGAATAAATATCTGGAATAGTCGTAATATTGATGAAACACATGTTCTTTCAAATGTGTACATCTCTGTTTTGTTTTGTTTTATTTCAATTAAAATTTAAAATATTTCTTGGGACGTCCCTCGGGCTGGCAAGTCCCCGCAATCAATTGTGTTAAATAATTAAAAACGTTATGAAATGAATTATTTAAAAGCGTATATCATTTATAAACACAAGCATTTGTTCAAATTTATTCATTCTTTCATTTGTTCAGTATTTACCCATCACTTTTCCAAAGAAAATCAATCATTTGTTTTTTCAGATACACTCCACTCATCTAAGAGATTGTATAGAATTCAAATTGCTATCTTTCCAGTTTACTTGCTCTCCATTTTCATGTTAATGTCATGATATGTTTAGCGAATAAATTATATAATAAAAAAACATTGAAAAATCATATGGTATTAATCTTCAAATAATGAAGGCCTAATTTGTATCAAGCCGTCTGAAAAAATAACAGTCGCTTGTATTTATATATGATTTATATCCACTAAAACGTTTTTATTATCAATTGCGGTTGATCTGCTCCGGGGGACTTACCACTGAGCTCCGGGGACGTCCAAAGAAATATTTTTAACTTTTTAAAACAAAGCATAACCGAGACCCGCTTATTTGAATAATAGATATTTTTATCAGTAATACGACTATCCCGGATAGTTTAAAAAGCCTTCGTGTAAACGTTGTGAAAAGTTGTCATAGAAGAACGATCTTTCGGAGTATATGAGTGTTTGCGTCAATTTCAATAACCTTGCATTTGATCCGAACTGGCTTCCAACAAAATTCTTGAAAAACAATGATAAGCCATTGCATGAGGTGATTTATTTTGTCCTAGAAGAAGTAGCTTACGTTAAAGAATAAATTGTGCGAAATAGTTGATATTCCTTGGAAACAAATCATGCTCCAGGGTCTTCCAGAAATCAGACGAACGAAATAATGGTGGATTCGGGGCAAATCAGATTTCAGGATATGTATTCAGTAAAAGATTCACAGAAATATATTTTGATGCAGAAAATTGATTATAAGTCGTCTTACTTTTTTTGCACGTTGCCTGTTTATTTTACTTTGTGAACATTAAAGTTACAAAGCTGCAAGGTCATTTTTGAAAATTATTTTTACGTCCTGTGTTATTTCAATGGGAGAGGTTTCTTGATAAAGCCTATTACTTTCAGTAAATAAAGACATCATTTTTGTTAAATAAAATTCAAATTCAATTGTCTACTTAACTTAATGAAGGTACTAAAATGAATTATATTTCCCCTCCAAATATAGTTTTTTCTTTACAAATTATGCATATAAGAATTCAAACCTATAGATTCTTTAATACATAATCCAATGGGTTAGTTAGGATTGCCAAACTTTTGGAAGGAGTGTAATTGTACAAATTGCATTATTTGAGGAACCCTAATGAAGGGGGGGGGGATTTGTGAATAACATAAAAATAGAACCCCCGGTCACTAAATCCTGGCTACGCCACTGATTATTATATTTTCACAATGGGATTCCCTGTCTTACCATAGATCTGTGCTACGTGACCACCTCCCTTGACACGAACTCGGATATCAACACCAGAGAACCTCTCTTTGCCCAAGAGAATGATGGGCTCTTGGATCTGAAGAAAATACACAGAATATCATTAACTTTGTTAAAAGTACAACATGGGTCTGATATAATTGGAAAATGGTTAATGATAATGATATGATGTACAGCATCTACAATTTGGAGTAAAGGTGAGATCTTTGAGTGGTTAGTTACACAAAAATTGGTCATAATACATGTACATAAACACATTTGGTAAAAACCTTGTTTTCTGAAAACCAATGAAATCATAAAACATTTTCACTCCTTTTCCTGGCCTGAGCCGAAAAATATCTGACCTGTGTCACCTCTATATTTTATTGGTAATGTGCATTATAATGGCAATCCAGATGTGACTTACTTTGAAGCGGAGTGTCTGAGGCTCAACTCCTTCAATGGGACGGCCATTCACCTTGATAAGTCCATTGCCTCTCTTACAATGAGCAACTGCAGTGGCAGTTTTCTGAAAAGAGAAAACACAGTTTGGTAAAAGAATATAACTGCAAGACATGGCGATCATATCTGTCTAGATCATATGTAGAGTCTATTTCGTGGCCTGACTGCGTCGGTAGAACTTGAAAAATAAAATTTACCTGAAGATTAGGAGTCGTACATACCCTCTAGAGGTTACATAGATACTAGTATTCCGTAATTCCGCGGCGTGGACGGAATTTGACAAAACTTCAATTTTTTGCAGAATCCCTGATTTTCATGAAAATCCCGCGGAATTACCAGAATTTCCAGAAATTACATATTTTACGATCTCCTACCTTTGTGGGGTATTTGAAGAGTGTCTGTTTATGTCCAACAATCAATCATTATTGAGTTCAAGTACGATTTCACCGTGAAATTCAACATTCTATCACGTTTAAATTCGCTAAAGCGAGTTCGCTAATGACGCGCAGTTCTTACCTAGAAAGTAGCTGACTTCCGTTTCCGTTTTCGATGGATAGGTTTGTGTTTTAAAAGATTGCAGAATTTGGACTTTTTTTGAAAATTTGTGCAGAATTTCGATTTTTTCCTTGCAGAATTTGCTTTTTTTCTTGCAGAATTTTTTGCAGAATTTTGATTTTTTTCATGCAGAAAACTAGTATCTGTGAGGTTAGGACACACATTTCAATGAAACCATACCAGCTTTGTTTTGTTCATACGCATGTAGCACTTGATTGAAATTTGTGTTAATGCTTTTTGGACTTTTCCATTTTCCTCGTGTTTACTTTCCGGATGGCGTTGCCCCTATCACGAAATAATGTATTGAGTTTGAACTTTAATTTTGTGACATGTCATCCAACCATGTCTGATGTAAAAATAATTAAAATATTAGAAAAAAATGTTTTGCGGTCTTTTGCAGACGAGTTTAGGACAGAAGGATGGCCTGTTCTAAGACAGAAGAAACTGCATGATCTACAGTTGAACTATTGGTCTGAATGAAATGCTGCGCAGAAAGTATAAATGGTTCATCTGCTGTATTAGTATACAGTAGGACCTGTTCGTGATGCTTTATAATTTAGACCAAATTATAGAAGAATACACGCAAGTGTAAATGATAAAATCAACGAACCAACATTCTATTTTCACAAATGTTTGGTCATTTATCGTATTGAAACTTCCGGAACTTCTTAGGAAATCATTCATTTTCACGGTCCATAATTTACCTCTTGGATATTGTGCTAAATGCTCTATAGTTGACGCAACAAATGTGATAGGGTTTCATTGAAATGTATGTTCTAACCTCTAGAGGCCAAGTAAGACTCCTAATCTTCAGGTAAATCTTTTCTTCAAGTTCTACTGACACAGTCAGGACACTAGTCATATAAATCCGACCGTTGTATGCTGTTCTTCGATATTCCTTGTTCTTATTTGGATATTTATTTTTTATCATTTTCTTTGCATACACGGTCGTAGATATTATATGGAACAAATTGCGGTAAACGCTTTTCTGGCCTGTCTTGGTAAATATAGTTACCATACTAACCAAAGTCACACAAATTATCACGTAATTATTTAGCTCCAACATCAAAGTGTTAAATCTTACCTTAGACATGTAAAACGCTTGATAATTGACGAAATATAATCAATTGAATTATATTTTCATTATCGCCCGCCATGTTGCTGAATGTTGTTTCCGGTAGTCTAAATGTATAACATGTATCGAAACGGAATCATAATTATTTATTACACAGAGATCGATTCCAAAGCCGTTCTCTGCCACTTATTACTTTTCTCATTTTAGCGCAGTCAGATGTCCCTTTGGTAGTTCGACTTTTTCAGGAAAGCAACAAACTTGGCACAGTTGTAGAAACATATGATCTGAATGAAAAATGATTTCGGGGCAAGTGATTCAGGGTGGTCTTCATGGATTGTAAGCCTCTGACCCCCACCCCTATCAGGCGGGGAGGGGGTACATTATAATAAAATAAATAAAAATAGTTGTAATGTATATTTCTTTAAATGACTTCATTTGGTGATTGCTTTGAGCCTTGAAATTGAGAAAAACCTATTTTAGAAGTGGTGTTTAGGAAGGAAAATACATTTTAACCCAATTATCTAGCGTGAATTCATCTTTCAAAGGGTAAATATGGGACATCAAGTACTGTATTTCAAGAATGTGATGTCTGATCATCCTGAAAAAATTCATACTAATAGAGATATAGGTGTTAATCACTCATATGATATATGGCTTGTGTAGCTCATGTAATTTTTGAGAAATAAATTATCGAAATATGGATATTTAAGCCCTTGCGGCCTAGGGGTGACCTTATTTTACCTTAATAATTTTTTAGATACGCAATGTTTGGGTCTCATATGAATTCTAAATGTTGCATTAAGTATTGTTTTGTCATATTATTCCTAATTAAATGTAAAAAAATTATTGGAAATTAAAAAAAAATCAAATTTTCATTTTTGGTTCTAAAGGGCCAGGGGTAACCATATTTTACCCTAATAATTTCCCAGATATGTAATATATGCATCGCAAATTAGCTCAAGATGTTGCATATAGTTCTGTTTTATCATACTTCTTCCAATAAGATGTAGAAAATGATCGGATATATCTAAAAAATCAAAATTTTCACTTAAGCTCTTAATGGCCCTGGGGTAACCTTATTTTACCTTAATAATTTTCTAAATATGAGACATAGTCACCTCAAATGAGCTTAAGATGGTATATTTAGTCCTGTTTTATCATATCATTCCCAAGGAGTGAAAAAATGATTGGAAATTATAAGAAAATGACATTTTCATATTACACCCCCAATCCGCAACATCTTTTTGCAGCGCTGTAAACAGTACTGAACAGTGCAGTCAGAGTACTGCACTATAAAGCAATGTACAATGCTATTCTAACACCATCTGTTTTGGACAGCGTAGTACAGTACTGTTTTTACAGCTCAGTACTGTTTTAGAAAACAGCTGTATTCAGTACTGTTTTTACAGCACTGTTTATGAAACCATGCTGTTTGATGCAGTTTGAGATTGGTAGTGTAGTTTATGATAGGTCAGGAATGACCTAATTTTACCTTAAAAATTTAAATAAAGATATATCATATTGTCTACTCAAATGAGCTCAAAATAGTGAATATTTAGAGGTTATGTCACTATCGTGGCATATATGCCCGAGGTCTCAGTGATATATGGCCCGACCTTGGGAGGGACATTGATCTCTGAGAACCGAGGGCATATTTGCCACGATAGTGACATAAACGATTTATAACATACCTATGATGATGTAGACTGGTCAGAGAGTACCGTTTTCTGATAGAATTGACAAACAAATGGTTTGAAAATGATTGAAATTAGTTTAGAAAAATTGCTCGTGCAGTTTTATCCTCGATTGATTGGTTATGACGTCAGTGCCTTGACCAATCAGAAAGTTAGCGGGCGCGGGCTTTTCAAAACTTATATTGGCCCGCTGTCTTGTGTACACTTTGCACTCTACATCATCATAGGTATGTTATAAAGTCTAGTTTTGTCATATTATTGCTACTGAGATATACAATAATGATTAACAATTATAATAAAAAATGAACCTCAACAGCCATTTATTCCTTTTTAGTACCATGGGCTCTGCGCTGATAGAGCCCATGTTAGTACCAGTGGCAATACTATCTAGTTTTATAGAACATTTTCTAAGATATGAAAATGTTTGATAAGTCCAGTTCATACTCGCACGAGTAGTAGCATTGTTAAGATTCTGTATATTATCATTTGAGTATATAATCCAAATCTATAAAACCTAATCAAAGGAGTCACAATTTATGGATTCTGACAGTCTCTCCTACAGCTACATAGCTAAGAGCAAATCAGATCTGCTTTTAAACATTTGCATCTGTTCTCTTGACACAGGTATCTACCCCATGACCTACATTTTATGTTGTGGCCTCAGTATCAGCAGTGGGAGTAGTCCAGCCACATTCATGTGGTGATAGAAACTGTGGGTAAGAATGCATCAGAATGAATAAGGACTCTAGTCTTCTAATTTTAGGGTATCAAAAAAGATTTAAAGCTTAAGAACACTTGCGTAACCTCTGGGTACACCTTCTATTCCTGCAAATCAGTTGACTAAGAGTAGTAGCAGAATGCATCTGGCGATTGTATGAAAAATGGTAAGGGCTAAACTTCGTTCATGGCCAAATGGGCTTGAAATATCTAAGGCAGGTCGTACATACTGGAGGAATTTCCCCTCACCATAGGCCATATGCAATCCAAATTGGCATTTTCAGCACAAGTTACTGCCAGTTTAAACCACATCAAAATCAACTGTATTGACTATGATTCTTATTAGGTCATGACAGAAGCAGTCTTTGGCATGCTCCTTCATATGAGCGAATGGTGATGGCAGATACTTCACTATCGGGCTAAGATATTGCATTACCTCATTGTGAGGTCACTATATTCTTGCCATCTTCCTCCAGGGTTTCAGTTTTGATGCCTGGAAGGAAAACAGCTCCCTCTTGTTCCAACTATCTTAGGAAATCTTGCCAATTCCACAGAAGAAAATTAGTAGGATATACTTTCCTCACTGTTCCAGTTTTGTGCTGTTTGTATCTATGCTCATTAACATCAAAGTCGAATGACTAAGCTACATAGTAGATGCTAAAATAATAGACAGGGCATGTATAGTTAAACATGCTAACAGTGAAATATAAAGAAAATTTGGTGATTATGCAAATATGATATTACCCACGTAAAAGTCTGCAAATAGTTCATTGCCTTGATGTCAGCTGGGATGTTTACAAGGACACTAGCTTAAAGGGGCAACAAGGTCTGTAGAAGATTCAATTTTTTTACTTTTTCTGAGCTATCAGGGCAATATTTGGCTTTGACATACCTATTTTCTTAAAATGTATGGATAAACTATCAATTTCAGCATTAAGAAGTGTAAATTCAGTTCAAAGCTTCTATACTTATAGGTTTTTAAGATCCAAAACATTTCAAGAGGAATCAGCTGAAATAATGTTCATCCAGGGGGTTTCTTTGGAAAAAATAAACATATATGTTAGTCTTGATGAAATATCAAAACTTGAATATATTTTGACACTGGTCCATGATCGTTGAATGGCCCCTTTGCACTAATTGTTGCACCTTTAAAACAGCACTAGAGAGACTTGTGGAACTGGAACAAGGATAGTCTAAGGAGGAAACTGAAACCCTTGAAATGGATGGAAAGAAGATAGTGACCACATAAATTAAGGAGGCAATGGAATGTTTTAGCCCAACAGTGAGGTTCTGCCATCACCCTTGCTCTTATAAGAAGAAGCAGATTCAAGGATATTTCTCAATATTTTCAGTTAGACTGCTTCAATCATGGCCTTCAAGAGAAAGAATAATACTTCTTACATTTAATTCTGATGTGATTATCCTCGGATATATGTGATGTTAAAAACTGAAAAAGTCAATTTGGATAGCATATGGTAAGGGAAAAAACATATCAATATCTCCCTGCCCATGACCAAAGTTTAATCCTCCTCATTTCTCATACAATCATTGGATGTGATGTTACATCTGTATTCTACTGCTATGGAAAAATGGAATAAATGGATTGAGATTTAAATGTGTCACTGAATTTTCTAATTGTTGTTAATCATTATCTCAGTAGGAATAAAGTGAAAAACAGACTATTTTCCCCATTTTGAGATCATTTTATCTTGAAAATTATTGTGATAACATTTGGCGTTCTTGTGCCCAATCATTGACTGTCATTATTCACTGACAGAATCCTTGACAGAAGCAGCTCACATTTACCACTTGTGCACGCATTTACCACTTGTTCCTTCAAGCTCGCTGATTGGTTGAGAATAGGTCAGCATGGTTTATTGCAGCTTGGGTCATAAATGCTTTAAGAACCAAGCTGCCAATGGCATCGGTCATGGGGACGGGGCTGCTAAACTCACTCCATCCTTTGCTTCTATATTATGGTAATATATGATAAAATCACCCGACCTGTCAAAAGCTAAAAATGTCATTTTTCAAATTTCCATTATTTTTTACATCTCCTAAGGAATATTATGACAAAACAAGAGTATATGACACAATTCTAAGCTCATTTGAGATGCATACGTCTCATAATCAAGAAAAGTTCAAGGTTAAATAAGCCCCCCCCCCAGGCCATCATAAGCTAAAATGAAAATTTCAAATTTTAAGAAATGTCCAATCATTTTCTACATCTTATTGGAGGTATAATGATTAAACAGAACTATATGCACCATCTTGAGCTAACTTGGGATACTTATATTACAAACCTTTAAAGTTATTAAGGTAAAATATGGTTACCCCTGGTCCTTCAGAAGCGATAATGAATTTTTTTTTTTTTTTGAAAAGTTCCAATCCCATCCCAATCCAATCCCAATTAGGAATAATATGACAAAACAAGACTCAATGCACCATTTTGAGCTCATATGAGACCCATACATTGCATATCTTAAAAATTATTAAGGTAGAATAAAGTTACCCCTAGGCCGCAAGTGCTTAAAAATTCAAATTTCGATAATTTTTATCTCAAAAAATACATGAGCTACCCAAGCCATATTCTATATTTGTGATGAACAGTTATACCCCTATTAGAATGAATTTTTCCAAGATGATCAGACATCACATTCTTGAAATACAGTACTTGATGTCCCATATTTGACCCTTTAAAAGATGAATTCACGCTAGATAATTGGGTCAAAATGCATTTTCCACACTAAACACCACATCTACAATCGGTTTGTCTCAATTTCAAGGCTCAGAGCAATCACCAAATGAAGTCATTTAAAAAAATTTACTTCACAACCATTTTTATTTATTTCTTATAATGTACCCCCTCCCCGCCTGATAGGGGTTGGGGTCAGAGACTAAAAAATCCATGAAGACCACTCCGGATCACTTGCCCCGAAATCATTTTCCACTCAGATCAAGTGTTTCTACAACTGTGCCAAGTTTGTTGCTTTCCTGAAAAAGTCGAACTATGAAGGGCTCATTTCTGGACATCTGACTGCGCTATTTTGAAACAATAACTTTTCCAAATAACTTCCCTTCTCAACGACACTGCGTCCCTTTCAACTGAATATTTGTGTAACAAAAACTTATGATTTCGTTTGATATAGTTTTACATCTAGACTATCAGATTAGCCCGGAAGTGACCTTGGTAGGCAAAATTAGAAAATTTAGCAGCGTGCTTATATTTCTTCAATTACCAAGCGTTTTATGTGCCTAAGGTAAGATTAAATACTTTATAGTTGAAGCAAAGAAATTAATTTATCATTTGTGTGAATTTGGTTGGGTAGACATGCCAGGAAAGCAATTCCCGCAATATACAAGCGCTAGTGTTTCTGACCCTCGTATGCAAGAAAATAAGAAAATAAATATCCAAATCAGAAAAAAATAACAACAAATAACATCATACGAGGGTCAGATTTATATGACTATCAGGACACAAAATAGACTAATAATCAAATGAACGTCAGGATCTGATCTAGTGAGTCATTGGATTAGTTCACAAAAAATACATTTTGACTCGTTGTCACAGGATTTTCGTTCATAAGAGTTCAAAATGCACAACATTAGGCCAGCTGATGTTGATCATGAGGGATGGAGCCATCATCGAGCTTTGAACAAGATAGAAATTGATTGAATAAGAATAAATGTGAAATATTGCAAATTCAGATGCTCGTTTCATTGCATAACGGTCGTAACAAATAAAAGGAGGAATTCGATTATCCAGTCTACAATATTCTGTTGATGGATGTTGCGAGTTCCAAGCGGAAATCTTGACAAAATATATTTCTAAATGGGCGATAATATGTGAAAACTAAAAACCTACTTTTCGGCCAAAAACTTGAACCGATTGTACAGGGCCTTTAGTGGTCATTCTGAAAGTAAAGTAACATAATTCTATAAATAATACATTGATCTTTCCAAATAATTGAAGTATTTGACGGAACAAAAGTTGGAAAGTAATGAATTTAGGAGATTATTCAGCTAACCTGTCACGAATTTCGCTACAATCGTGTCCAGCGAGAAAGAGGACATTGGGGGTTTCACATTTGATTTCATGGCTTTTTGAAATAAAATGTTTCCATTATTTGAAGAAGATTTTGCTCTGCACGCATAAATTATTGATAAATCCATCATCAATATTAAATTTTTAAGTGTTCCTAAATTTCAAAAGTGATATTGAAATCTTTTTAACGCAAAATTTCAAAAAATGGTTTAAACTTAGAATTTCGCGGTAAAATTAGTGCGGGAAAACACAAATTGAAATTCACTAAAAATTTGGAAATCTAATTTTACTACTAACAACAGGTATGTGTAGATAAGTACTAACAACATTGGCTAAGTGATATCCATTAATTTTGACCATGGTTTGTTTGGACTTTCAAGAGAAAAGCCTATGGTTTTCACGGGGGTTTTCATTTCTAGCCTAAAACATTTTGAAGTGAAACTTTTCAGTTTTTGAAAAGTGAAACTTTTGTCTCTCTCATATGATTTTGAAACAATGATAATAGTATAAGATTGATTTTGAAACAAGGATAAGATATTAGATAAGATAAACACCGCCTTGTACTGTATGTAACCTTTTCCACCGGGCCTTTTGCCCTTTGTGCAATCTGGATTGTTGCAATCTAACAAATTGCAATAGACTAATCTGGATTGTTGCAATCGAACAATGTGAAATCTTAATATTGCTGCAATCTGCATTGTTGCAATTGTGAAATCTGCATTGTTGCATTGCAATCGAACAAATAGAAATATGGATTGTTGCAATCTGTTTTATACTTCTCTCAGAATGGCCAACAATCTAAACAATGTTGCAATGTGCAGATTGTTGCAATGTGTGCAATATGGATTGCACAATCTATTTTATACTCAATTCGCTCAGACCTAGGGCTATTAGTGTCTGATTTTCGTTCATGATTTACTGAAATTCTCTAATCTGTTATCTCAAAGTGCAAACTGGAAGTCAAATATAAACTCTGCACATTATATTAAAACTTCAAAATTCTGTCCGCCTAAGTAAGCTTAGTGTAGGCCTTTATACACTGGTTAGACCTAGACATGTATTTAAGCTAGGCTAGGGACATTTTAAAAATTTTGAAGTTTTTTAAAAAGTGTAACTACAACATAGACCAGACTAAACAAATTGGTGATCAAATAGATGGCATTAATAGTCTACAGACAAGAATGAAAACTACAGACAAGAATTAAAACTAGAATCTACAATCTACTCAATGCATTAAATAGATGGCACTACAGACAAACTAGACATAAATAAACAATCAGCTATGAGAATCAGTATAAAATGAAAGCACAAGAGACTAAAAACAGTACTAGTGATCAAATACTGAACGGCATACTGATGGCATTGGCATTGGCATTACAGCGGCTAAAATGGATGCAGACATACTACTCATTTTCATTTTACTGCTCGACTTATGTAGCTAAAGTAAGGCTTTCTTTACAATGCATGTCAGCATGAACTCAAATAGACATTTAGCATTTAGCAAGTATCGTTTTATGTGTGGATCTGAAAATTGCTGATTTAACTCACACAGCTTTAAGGCAACAAAACTTACTCAACCTTTTGAGAGTCCCAACCACTTGACTGCCCAACCTCCCAACAACACAACAGCTTCAACCTCTTGAGTCTCTTGGAATCCTCAGCCTCTTGACAGTCAACAGTCCTGTACTCTGAAAGCTTCAACCTCTTGGCCTCCTAAACCTCTTGACAGACTCGGAATCTTGACAGTCTTGTCCTCTGGAAGGCTTCAATTTCTTGATATCCTCAACCTCTTGACAGACTCAAAATCTTGACAGTACCACACTATTGACAGCCTCAACCCTTTGACACGTCACAACAGACTTTACAGTGGTCTCATCCTTCTGACAGTGTAACCTCTTGACATCCTTAATCTCTTGATGTCATTAACCTTCTGACAGTGTAACCTCTTGTCATCCTTAACCTCTTGATGTCATTAAGCTTCTGACAGTGTAACCTCTTGTTATCCTTAACTTCTTGATGTCATTAACCTTCTGACAGTGTAACCTCTTGACATACTTAACCTCTTGATGTCATTAACCTTCTGACAGTGTAACCTCTTGACATCCTTAACCTCTTGATGTCATTAACCTTCTGACAGTGTAACCTCTTGACATCCTTAACCTCTTGATGTCACTAACCTTCTGACAGTGTAACCTCTTGTCATCCTTAACCTCTTGATGTCATTAAGCTTCTGACAGTGTAACCTCTTGTCATCCTTAACCTCTTGATGTCATTAACCTTCTGACAGTATAACCTCTTAATATCCTTAACCTCTTGATGTCATTAACCTTCTGACAGTGTAACCTCTTGACATCCTTAACCTCTTGATGTCATTAACCCTCTGACAGTGTAACCTCTTGACATCCTTAACCTCTTGATGTCATTAACCTTCTGACAGTGTAACCTCTTGACATCCTTAACCTCTTGATGTCATTAACCTTCTGACAGTGTAACCTCTTGTCATCCTTAACCTCTTGATGTCATTAAGCTTTTGAATCCTTAGTTCTTGACAGTCTCAACCTTCTGACGTCTTCAACCTATTGAATCATTTAATAAGTAGGCCTAGTTATTAATCATATAATTTCCATCTTTTTTATCCAGAAAATGTTGGCGACAGATAGCAACTCCACCAACATTGATATTGATATGGACAAGAAGGAGAATACAGACCCAGTTGAAGCCAAGAAACTCAAATTAGAATCACCTTTGAAAAAGAGGTAAAGATTAAAAAAACAGGAACTTAAAACGATCAAATATTTAAATCCACTTTACCGTGACTGATTAAAGAGGCTCTCAAATGATGTTTGATTCAAAATCACTAAAAATTCTAGATATGTATATTTAGAATAAGGAGTGACTGTGACTTTTCTTCAAGAGAAACATTTGAAAAATATTTAAAGCAAATTCTGTCAAGGTCGAAAAACAGTTTCACAATCAAATTCAATGTAAACATTTGTTAGAATGAAATATCACAATTATCATAATAAAAGGGCTTTATAATGATATATCACAATTGTCTCAATGAAGAAGCTTTCGAACGATATATCACAATTATCTTAATAAAGAGGCTTAGAATAATATCACAATTGTTTCAATGAAGAGGGCCCAGGCTTTAGAACGATATATCAAAATTATCTCAATAAAGAGGCTTTAGAATGGTATATCACAATTGTCTCAATAAAGAGGCTTTAGAATGATATATCACAAGCATATTATTAAAGAGGCAATTTATAATGATATATCACAATTGTCTCAATGAAGAAGCTTTAAAATGATATATCACAATTACCTCAATAAAGAGGCTTTCATGAACCAAACCATTGTCATTGATCTTATAACAAATAATGGATAATTTATCATTTCCAACATAGGTATTGAATTATGAAAATTGGCCATTGAGAAATGAACAAATTTTTGAACAAAAAACAAAATGTTTAAAAGGGGGCGGGGAACAAAATGACACTTATTACTTGTATATCATCATTTACATAAAAACAGAAATATTTTAAATTGCTACAACTTTAAAGTACATGCAGGGGTGTGCAGGGGTTTTGTTAGACAGACAAGCAAATTGAATGAGAATAACATGCACGATTAGTGGAAAATTTTTTTAGCCGCTAATTTTTTTTATAAAACTTTGGCAATCAATTGCATGTCTTTTATTGTTTACTAAAGGAATAAATTTATGTATATAATAAAAAATAAAAATTAGTGGAAATTTTAACATGGAAACATTTGGAAGATTCAATAAAATAACAGGTGAGAGTTGCCTTTACCCTGCTGCTTATATATATGTTCAACAAAATCAAATCTATTCTTCCATTTAATAAATATACACGAGGGGTGATCAATAAGTAATGGACGCTTTTTTACACAGATACTTTTTATAGACCAATCCCTTTGATTTCCCTACCTCGTATTTATCCAGGCATGAAGAGTACCAATATTTAGAAGCCATACAGAATATAATAGACCATGGTTATAAGAAGGAGGATAGAACAGGAACGGGGACCATCTCAACGTTTGGCATGCAGTTTAGATACAGTTTGAGAGACAGTAAGTTCATATACAGTATAGTTTTGAGTTAACCCCCTTCATCAAGATTTTTATGATGACATCTTCATTAAGTAGTTTGATGATAACTAATAAATTGATGTAAATGATTTCTCGTTTTTGACTGATGTACTAATTTTTATCGTACCTAACAAAAGGTACGATATTGTAGTCAGCTTGGCGGGCGGGCGGCGTCTCACTTTTCAGCTTGTCTACAGCTTTCCAGCCAAACCATTTGAGGGATTCATCTGAAATTTCAGGGATGTTTCTACATATCAACGTCAAGACCTGATTAGTTTTTGGGCATTCTGGGTAAATCTTAAGGTGGCCATTTTGGATTTTCCGTCCTAAAATCTTCACTTTCAAGACTTGTCTACAGGTTTCCAGCCAAACCATTTGAGGGATTCATCTGAAATTTTCAGGGATGTTTCTACATATCAACGTCAAGAACTGATTAGTTTTTGGGCATTCTGGGTAAATCTTAAGGTGGCCATTTTGGATTTTCCGTCCTAAAATCTTCACTTTCAAGACTTGTCTACAGGTTTCCAGCCAAACCATTTGAGGGATTCATCTGAAATTTTCAGGGATGTTTCTACATATGAACGTCAAGAACTGATTGGTTTTTGGGCATTCTGGGTAAATTTTAAGGTGGCCATTTTGGATTTTCCGTCCTAAAATCTTCACTTTCAAGACTTGTCTACAGGTTTCCAGCCAAACCGTTCAAATTTTTACATATGTTACACAGTTTTAGAGCTGATTAACTTTTCTGCGGCCATCTTGCTTTCTTGGTCAACAAGACCACAATGTTGTGTTTTAGGTACGATATTGTTCACGTCTGTGCCTTGTTTCTTTATTTCTTTAAAGATTAAAATGGGTATGAAATTAAGACTGTTAACATAGTATATACATGAACAGTACAGTCTAAAACCGAGTTTTAAAAATCAATATCTATGTTTTGCTCATAAATAATGTCATATATATAAAATGGTATATTTATTCCATATTAATTTGTCATATTTTTTACTGTGTTACAGATGTGTTCCCATTACTCACAACAAAACGAGTATTTTGGCGAGGAGTTGCTGAAGAACTTTTGTGGTTTATCCGTGGCTGCACAAATGGGAAGGAATTATCAAATAAAAATGTCCATATTTGGGATGCCAATGGTTCAAAGGAATTCTTGGAAGCAAATGGTCTTGGACATAGAGAAGAAGGTAAGATGCACATGTACATGGAATGACCTTTGATGAGTCGTAGATTTTATTGCACTGGTACTATATGAAATCAGTTTATCAGATAGATGGCAGGGTTCTCACCAGGAAATTTTTGGACCCCGGATTTTTAGCGGTATTGTGACTTCTTTTTTCGTGGTATCGCGACTACTTCTCCCCCATGTGAGATCAGATTTCCTATTAGTATACTTTTCAACATACTTCTTAAGATTATCTTGCTATTTTAATCACTATATTTATTTCTAAAAGGTTTCTGACTTCCTATTCCTTGTTTGTATCCAGTTTTATGTTTTTTTCTCAAGAGTTACCACAAATAATGTGACAAAAATGTAAAATTAGACTCCGGATAAAATACAATAGACTCCAGAAAAGCTATTAGACTCTGGAGCAAGAGGGTTTTAAGACCGGAGTCTAAAAGCCTAGTGAGAGCCCTGGATGGTGTTACATGCATTGGTCATCCCAAAATCTTGACTGCGATTGTGTATTTTCAGACATCAAGCATGTACAATTGAATTCAAATTTCTAAATATGAAGCTATATGAATTTTGGGATATTATTGGTAAAAAATTATAAGGCAGCAATTTTTACACCTAGTTTAGGCAAGTTATGTATTAAATTATGAATCCAAGATGCAATATTGATCAGTCTGTGTCTTAAACTTTTTCTTGATAGTCTTCATAACATATAGATCTAGAGTTAGGGCCCTTTAGATGACTGCATATTGATCATGTGATACAACAGACATTGTAAATTAATTCCAGGTGATTTAGGACCCGTGTATGGATTCCAATGGCGTCACTTTGGTGCAGAGTACACCAATATGCACGCAGACTACACTGATCAAGGGGTGGATCAATTAGCATGGGTAATAGATAGAATCAAGACAAAACCTGACTGTAGGAGAATCATCATGTCTGCTTGGAATCCACCAGGTAAGCTGTTAACCTACTTTCCAGGATTTGTATTTGGAACTCGTTATTTTCATCAGTTTTAGATACCATGAGAACTGCACCTTAGCAGTAAAATCCTACCTTCTGAGTATCTCAGATTTCATTATAGTACTTGTAAGATCTTGACCTGAAAAGATGATATTGAAAATATTTTATGACCAATTGTTTCAATATATGTTTTAGGGACATAGTAAAACCTATGACTGAACAACACTCAAATCTGAACACCTTTCAAAGTTAATGCCTTTTTTCTGTATAGGATAATCTCAATTGTATTGTATTGTATTTCAAACTTGCCTAAGATGGCATTGCCACCATGCCATTCCTTCATGTAGTTCTATCTATTTCAGACTTGCCACCATGCCATACCTTCAAGCAGTTCTGAGTATTTCAGACTTGCCTAAGATGGCATTGCCACCATGCCATTCCTTCATGCAGTTCTGTGTATTTCAGACTTGCCTAAGATGGCATTGCCACCATGCCATTCCTTCATGCAGTTCTATGTATTTCAGACTTGCCTGAGATGGCATTGCCACCATGTCATTCCTTCATGCAGTTCTATGTATTTCAGACTTGCCTAAGATGGCATTGCCACCATGTCATTCCTTCATGCAGTTCTATGTATTTCAGACTTGCCTGAGATGGCATTGCCACCATGTCATTCCTTCATGCAGTTCTATGTATTTCAGACTTGCCTAAGATGGCATTGCCACCATGTCATTCCTTCATGCAGTTCTATGTATTTCAGACTTGCCTAAGATGGCATTGCCACTGTGCCATTCCTTCATGCAGTTTTATCTATTTCAGACTTGCCTAAGATGGCATTGCCATCATGTCATTCCTTCATGCAGTTCTATGTATTTCAGACTTGCCTAAGATGGCATTGCCACCATGTCATTCCTTCATGCAGTTCTATGTATTTCAGACTTGCCTAAGATGGCATTGCCACCATGCCATACCTTCAAGCAGTTCTGTGTATTTCAGACTTGCCTAAGATGGCATTGCCACCATGTCATTCCTTCATGCAGTTCTATGTATTTCAGACTTGCCTAAGATGGCATTGCCACCATGCCATACCTTCAAGCAGTTCTGTGTATTTCAGACTTGCCTAAGATGGCATTGCCACTGTGCCATTCCTTCATGCAGTTTTATCTATTTCAGACTTGCCTAAGATGGCATTGCCACCATGCCATTCCTTCATGCAGTTCTACGTATTTCAGACTTGCCTAAGATGGCATTGCCACCATGCCATTCCTTCATGCAGTTCTATGTATTTCAGACCTGCCTAAGATGGCATTGCCACCATGTCATTCCTTCATGCAGTTCTATGTTTTTCAGACTTGCCTAAGATGGCATTCCACCATGCCATTCCTTCATGCAGTTCTATATTTCAGACTTGCCTAAGATGGCAGTGCCACCATGCCATTCCTTCATGCAGTTCTTGTATTTCAGACTTGCCTAAGATGGCATTGCCACCATGCCATTCCTTCATGCAGTTCTATGTATTTCAGACTTGCCTGAGATGGCATTGCCACCATGTCATTCCTTCATGCAGTTCTATGTATTTCAGACTTGCCTAAGATGGCATTGCCACCATGTCATTCCTTCATGCAGTTCTATGTATTTCAGACTTGCCTGAGATGGCATTGCCAACATGTCATTCCTTCATGCAGTTCTGTGTATTTCAGACTTGCCTAAGATGGCATTGCCACCATGCCATACCTTCATGCAGTTCTATGTATTTCAGACTTGCCTAAGATGGCAATGCCACCATGCCATATGTTCATGCAGTTCTATGTATTTCAGACTTGCCTAAGATGGCAATGCCACCATGCCATATGTTCATGCAGTTCTATGTATTTCAGACTTGCCTAAGATGGCAATGCCACCATGCCATTCCTTCATGCAGTTCTATGTATTTCAGACTTGCCTAAGATGGCAATGCCACCATGCCATTCCTTCATGCAGTTCTATCTATTTCAGACTTGCCTGAGATGGCATTGCCACCATGTCATTCCTTCATGCAGTTCTATGTATTTCAGACTTGCCTGAGATGGCATTGCCACCATGTCATTCCTTCATGCAGTTCTGTGTATTTCAGACTTGCCTAAGATGGCATTGCCACCATGCCATACCTTCAAGCAGTTCTGTGTATTTCAGACTTGCCTAAGATGGCATTGCCACCATGCCATTCCTTCATATAGTTCTATATATTTCAGACTTGCCTAAGATGGCATTGCCACCATGCCATTCTTTCATGCAGTTCTATGTGTTAAATGGAGAATTGTCATGTCAGATGTATCAAAGGTCTGGAGATATGGTGAGTGCATTGAAATCAAACTCCAAATTATTTCATATTTCGCAACTCAGACACTTTAACACTTTAACCTCTTGACTACCAAGTGAGATTTCTCATCACCTAAGAAATGACCTTGAAACCCAGGGTGATGAGATAATCTGTCACATACTTTCTGTCTGTATGTATGAGATAATCTGTCACATTTTTCACTAAAATTACTCTTTGAACCATCCGATTTACACAAAAGTTTTTGTTAAATGTATACATCTAGGATCTCTGCCAAGTAATTTCACTAAATTAGGCATCGCCTGTTGTTTGTATTAAAATGTCAAAAATTGGCAAAAATGAAAAAATCTCTGGTTTCAACTGATTTTAGAGACTGGGATTTAAGAGGTCAAGATCAAGATCCGCATCATGATAAACATTTAATTATCATATTGTTGATACAGTTATTATTTTCACATATCATATGGATATTTATACATTATGGTCAAATACATGATTGTAAAAATCAATGAATTCAAATAAATCAATTTTTTGTAAGTGTTGAACTACCTTAACCCTTTCACGACGATAGGCTCCATATGGAGCCCTATTATGTAATACCTTTCAGGACGATAGGCTCCTTTTGGCACCATTATTTTTTATTTATATACATCAATGAAATGACAATATCTCCAGTTCTATTTAGTATTTTTACACCAAATTTTGACAAGTTGTTCTTATGTGATAATCCTTAATAAAAATTGTATATCAGTGATGAAATCCAAGGTATAGGTCCCAGGGCATAGGTATTTTGCAGTTTTCCCCTAAAAAACACTCTTACTTATCCGTCACTGGGGACAACATTTTCCTCTTATATTCACGTCGGGAAAGGGTTAACTGAATAAATTACATGGTGGCTTTTAGACGATGTATATTGCCTAAAGTCAAGTAGCTGAACCACATCAAATATAGAAATTTGCAAGAATTATACTCCATCCGCCTACCTTAACAAAATTTATTTTTTTGTTTTTAACACTTATGAAAATAATGTATTATACCTACCTTAAGATTACCATCATATACCAGAATGCAATGTAATATTGTTAACCTTAAATTCCAGGGTTTGGGGGTACCTTTTAACATTGCAAGTTATGCTCTGTTGACGTGTATGATAGCCGAAGTGACGGGATTAAAACCTGGAGACTTTGTACACACTCTAGGAGATGCACATGTTTACTCAAACCATGTGGAACCACTCAAAGAACAGGTGAGTATGTTACTCATTTCATTAACATGTAATATTAAATACAGTTACATGTTTAATGAAGACAAATAAGCTATAGATGTAACTATGTTAATGGATATTTTACCTGGAAGCACCTAATGTTAGTGTGCCACTGATATTAAAGTTTAAAAGTGTAAAAAAATGGAGTAACTAACTAAATTTTCTCTGTTTATGTTATTTTCATCCACAAATGCAGCTTTTGTGGCCTTGGATATGTGTAAGTTACTTCCTGGGAATGAAGGTAGATGTCAAATTTGCATACCACATATTTGTACTATAGTATAAGGCATGCATGTTAATGTATTTGTATTGAAGTAAAACCATTGCTTTATGTCATGTATCTGTTTATATGTACATGTATGTCAATTTAGTTTTAAATATTGTATTATTTTGAGACACCTTTCCCATTATGTATGTCATTTCAGTTTTAATATTGTAGCGTTTTGAGACACCTGTAACTTTGTTACCTTCATACAATATCCATTGCCTTTTTGTTGATACATGTTCAGAAAAAAAATTGTTCATTTTTTTCTTTTCATATTTATTCTACTTTGTCCATCAGGAACCTAACATTATATAGTAACATTCAAGTATAGTATCATTTTTTGACAAATTATCAGTATAAACAATTGTTCTGTTAAAGCAGGTTTTTCTGCAGTCATATTTATAAACTTATAATCAAATTATGTTTGGGCTTTTCCTCATAGTTGATTTCATGAGTGACTTTTAACTGTTTTGTTTTGTCCCCTTTTCTTTCGTGTTGTTAGTTTTTATGTCACCACCACAAGTGGTGACATATTGTTATAGTCTTCACCTTTTTTATGGATGATGTTTGGTGGTTGGAGGTCAGTGTTTGGTGTTCGATGGGTTAGTGTCCATGACAAATGGCAGGTGGTGACATTTTGCATGTTAATGCCTTGTATTTGTTATCCCATCGAACGAAGTTCGGAGGGATAGAGGGAACGCCTCCGTCCGTCCGTCCATCCGTACGTACGTACGTACGTACTAGGGGTCCCACGATACATTATGAAACGATACGATACGTATCTCGATACTCAGGTCACGATACGAGCAACGATACGATACATAATAGTGTAGTTGAACCGGGGGGGGGGGGGGGGGTGCAACACTGACGTAGCTGAGGTCGAGTTGAAAGTCTATCACATGCTGTGACATTTGATTCAGATGCAGCATAAAAACTATAGTCAAGTATCAAGCCTACCTGCTGTGTAGTAGTCACCGGGAGTAGTCACTAGTCAGCTATGCATATTTTGCAATTTTTTTGAAGTCCGGTGGTGCTTTCCCTTTACTGAGGAATGTTCCAAAGTATTACAGTAGATTTTCTATTGGGGATATAAGGATAACACTATTACCCATGTTTGATGCTTACACGGCCATAATTCTATCAATTGTGTTCAAAACTTTCAAAAAGTTTCAATTTCTAAACTCCGGTCAACATTAATACTCCGAACGTGAATATTGTTCGGTTTTTTATTAGAGTTATCAATATTAGTGGGCAATTGTTTAACGCGTTCTATCCAATAAAAAGTTCAAAGATTATATTTATTCATACTAAATTGTCAAAAAGTATAAAACAAAGTACGTTGATATACGAAGACATAGAAGACACGAGTTATTTGTTCGCATTTTGACTGTCAATCCGCTAAGCATTCTGTTCGCAACATTTTGGGCGTGTCATGTCCAGTGAGAAACCAAACAAAAAATATAAAAACAATTTCTCAAAAAAGTCAAATATTCAGTAGATTTCGGTAAAATATGATGGATTTCAGGTATGTTAATAATATTTTTGGTGTATCGATATTTGAGTCTGCGTATCGATACGCTCGTATCGTCACCAAACGAGCCGATGCATCGATATATCGATGAATCGCGGGACCCCTAGTACGTACATACGTCCGTCCGTACGTACGTCGGTCCGTCCGTCCGTCTGTCCGTCCATCCGGACAATAACTCAAATACCGTTGGCCCGATTTTGTTCATATTTTGTACACATTTACCCAATGGGGATAGAAGTTCTGCTGGAAAACCGATTTTCAAAATGGCCACTCATTTAAAAATGGCGGCCATTTTAGTGCAGATTTTACAGTAATTTTGGTACTGCATATAAAACTGTAATAGCAATATGTTTTAAATGTAAAAAGTTATATAGGACATCGATTAAGCTAGAAATGTAAATATAGAAGAAATACATGGCAGCCATCTTGAAAAATGGCTGCCTTTGTGTCATTTTTCGATTTTTGCTGTAACTTGAAAAGTAGTGGAGCGATTTTGTTCATATTTGGTATGTGAATACTTTAAGCATGGCACACTGTCTAATGACACTTTGGGTAGTAGGCGGCCATTTTGAAAAATGGCCACCATTTTTACGTTTTTTACTATAACTTGAAAAGTATTGGAGCGATATTTGATATGTGAATACTCATGAGCCTAGCACACTGTCTCATGACACTTCACTCGAAAAATAACTCGAAAAATATTGGAGCGATTTTGCTCGTATTTGATATGTGAATACTTTAAGCATGGCAAATTGTCTTATTAAACTTTCGGGAGTAGTCGGCCATTTTGAAAAATGGGTGTTATTTTACATTTTTATTATAACTCATAAAGTAATAGAGCGATTTTGTTCATATTTGATATGCGAATACTCATAAATATACTGAAATATACTGTCTGATGACATTTTGAGTAGTAAGCGTTGCCATTGGCAATCTTTTAAGAATTTTATATGTGGCTACTTAAAAGCATATTACTTCTGATGACAACTTGGCTAGTGATCAATCATTTTGAAAATGGTGGCCTTTCTTATGGGTGTTATTTTATGATATTTGCTATATATTTCGTATGTAAAAATGCCAGCCATTTCTGTTCGATGGGATTCGCTACGCTTTGGCGTTGCCGTTGTTCTGGTTTGTCTTGTCGAATGTCGAGTATTAATGTTGACTATTTCATACTTGTTTTTTAGGATCCATAGTCCATCTTATGGAATTACTCATTTTCATGTCCTATTGTTGATCCATCAACAATTTTTGGACAAATTGCCTATTGTCTATATCAATGTTAATATCCATTTTACGGGGCTCAATACTTTACTAATTTATCCCATTGGTCTGTTGGTTGTAGCTTCTGCTTTAGCCTAGTTTTGGAAAAAATGTTTTTTGTTGTAAAAGTATAAAAGGATTCACAATGTGAACCACCAAAAGATGCCTTTTTTATTTCCAGTATAATATATCAGTTTAACTCAGGCCCGTAGCCAGGGGGGTTCGCAGGGTTCGGGCAAACCCCCCTGGCCAAAAATTCTTTCAAAATCATGCAGCTTTTCACCATTTTGAGAACTTCTCAAGTGATTTTAGCCATATTTGGGCCAAAATTGTCAAATGTGAACCACCCTGGAAATTTCTGAAAACTGAACCCCCCCCTTGGCAAATCCTGGCTACTGGCCTGCTAACTTCTACACGTTTTGGATATAGCGCAGTCAGATGTCCCTTTGGTAGTTCGACTTTTTCAGGAAAGCAACAAACTTGGCACAGTTGTAGAAACATATGATCTGAATGAAAAATGATTTCGGGGCAAGTGATTCGGAGTGGTCTTCATGGATTGTAAGCCTCTGACCCCCACCCCTATCAGGCGGGGAGGGGGTACATTATAATAAAATAAATAAAAATAGTTGTAAAGTATATTTCTTTAAATGACTTCATTTGGTGATTGCTTTGAGCCTTGAAATTGAGAAAAACCTATTTTAGAAGTGGTGTTTAGGAAAGAAAATACATTTTAACCCAATTATCTAGCGTGAATTCATCTTTCAAAGGGTCAAATATGGGACATCAAGTACTGTATTTCAAGAATGTGATGTCTGATCATCCTGAAAAAATTCATACTAATAGAGATATAGGTGTTAATGACCCATATGATATATGGCTTGTGTAGCTCTTGTAATTTTTGAGAAATAAATTATCGAAATATCGATATTTAAGCCCTTGCGGCCTAGGGGTGACCTTATTTTACCTTAATAATTTTTAAGATACGCAATGTTTGGGCCTCACATGAATTCTAAATGTTGCATTAAGTATTGTTTTGTCATATTATTCCTAATTAAGTGTAAAAAAATTATTGGAAATTAAAAAAAAATCAAATTTTCATTTTCGGTTCTAAAGGGCCAGGGGTAACCATATTTTACCCTAATAATTTCCCAGATATGTAATATATGCATCTCAAATTAGCTCAAGATGTTGCATATAGTTCTGTTTAATCATTATACCTCCAATAAGATGTAGAAAATGATCGGATATATCTAAAAAATCAAAATTTTCACTTAAGCTCTTGATGGTCCTGGGGTAACCTTATTTTACCTTAATAATTTTCTAAATATGAGACATAGTCACCTCAAATGAGCTTAAGATGGTATATTTAGTCCTATTTTATCATATCATTCCCAAGGAGTGAAAAAATGATTGGAAATTATAAGAAAATGACATTTTCATATTACACCCCCAATCCGCAACATCTTCTTGCAGCGCTGTAAACAGTACTGAACAGTGCAGTGAGAGTACTGCACTATATAGCAATGTACAATGCTATTCTAACACCATCTGTTTTGGACAGCATAGTACAGTTCTGTTTTTACAGCTCAGTACTGTTTTAGAAAACAGCTGTGTTCAGTACTGTTTTTACAGCACTGTTTATGAAACCATGCTGTTTGATGCAGTTTGAGATTGGTAGTGTAGTTTATGATAGGTCAGGAATGACCTAATTTTACCTTAAAAATTTAAACAAAGATATATCATATTGTCTACTCAAATGAGCCCAAAATAGTGAATATAGTCTAGTTTTGTCATATTATTCCTACTGAGATATACAATAATGATGAACAATTATAAAAAATGAACCTCAATAGCCATTTATTCCTTTTTAGTACCAATGGCAATACTATCTAGTTTTATAGAACATTTTCTAAGATATGAAAATGTTTGATAAGTCCAGTTGATACTCGCACGAGTAGTAGAATTGTTAAGATTCTGTATATTATCATTTGAGTATATAATCCAAATCTATAAAACCTAATCAAAGGAGTCACAATTTATGGATTCTGACAGTCTCTCCTACAGCTACATAGCTCAGAGCAAATCAGATCTGCTTTCAAACATTTGCATCTGTTCTCTTGACACAGGTATCTACCCCATAACCTACATTTTATGTTGTGGCCTCAGTATCAGCAGTGGAAGTAGTCCAGCCACATTCATGTGGTGATAGAAACTGTGGGTAAGAATGCATCAGAATGAATAAGGACTCTAGTCTTCTAGTTTTAGGGTATCAAAAAAGATTTAAAGCTTAAGAACACTTGCGTAACCTCTGGTCACACCTTCTATTCCTGCAAATCAGTTGACTAAGAGTAGTAGCAGAATGCATCTAGCGATTGTATGAAAAATGGTAAGGGCTAAACTTCGTTCATGGCCAAGTGGCCTTGAAATATCTAAGGCAGGTCGTACATACTGGAGGAATTTCCCCTCACCATAGGCCATATGCAATCCAAATTGACATTTTCAGCACAAGTTACTGCCAGTTTAAACCACATCAAAATCGACTGTATATAGGGGCAACAAGTTCTGTAGAAGATTCAATTTTTTTATTACTTTTTCTGAGTTATCAGGGCAATATTTGGCTTTGACATACCTATTTTCTTAAAATGTATGGATAAACTATCAATTTCAGCATTAAGAAGTGTAAATTCAGTTCAAAGCTTCTATAAAGGGAGTCCCACTTATAGGTTTTTAAGATCCAAAACATTTCTAGAGGAATCAGCTGAAATAATGTTCATCCAGGGGGTTTCTTTGGAAAAAATAAACATATATGTTAGTCTTGATGAAATGTCAAAACTTGAATATATTTTGACACTGGTCCATGATCATTGAATGGCCCCTTTGCACTAATTGTTGCACCTTTAAAACAGCACTAGAGAGACTTTTGGAACTGGAACAAGGATAGTCTAAGGAGGAAACTGAAACCCTTGAAATGGATGGAAAGAAGATAGTGACCACATAAATTAAGGAGGCAATGCAATGTTTTAGCCCAACAGTGAGATTCTGCCTTCACCTTTGCTCTTATAAGAAGAAGCAGATTCAAGGATATTTCTCAATATTTTCAGTTAGACTGCTTCAATCATGGCCTTCAAGAGAAAGAATAATACTCCTTACATTTAATTCTGATGTGGTTATCCTGGCATAAATGTGATGTTAAAAACTGAAAAAGTCAATTTGGATAGCATATGGTAAGGGAGAAAACATATCAATATCTACCTGCCCATGACCAAAGTTTAATACTCCCCATTTCTCATACAATCATTGGATGTGATGTTACATCTGTATTCTACTGCTATGGAAAAATTGAATAAATGGATTGAGATTTAAATGTGTCACTGAATTTTCTAATTGTTGTTAATCATTATCTCAGTAGGAATAAAGTGAAAAACAGACTATTTTCTCCATTTTGAGATCATTTTATCTTGAAAATTATTGTGATAACATTTGGCATTCTTGTGCCCAATCATTGACTGTCATTATTCACTGACAGAATCCTTGACAGAAGCAGCTCACTTAACCATCAGGCTAAGGTGACTGGACTTACTACCCTTTGCATTCATTCGACTTTCCTTCTCAAAAGAGAGCTTCGTCTTCACTCTATCAATTTTCAATGAATCTCTGAACTCACTGCGCTAATCAGAGTTTGTTGTCGAAATAAGGACGGCTTTCTATATGGTCATTTTCTCTGACGAAATCGCATCATTAATGTGCACGCATTTACCACTTGTTCCTTCAAGCTCGCTGATTGGTTGAGAATAGGTCAGCATGGTTTATTGCAGCTTGGGTCATAAATGCTTTAAGACCCAAGCTGCCAATGGCATCGGTTCATGGGGACGGGGCTGCTAAACTCACTCCATCCTTTGCTTCTATATTATGGTAATATATGATGAAATCACCCCTGACCTGTCAAAAGCTAAAAATGTCATTTTTCAAATTTCCATTATTTTTTACATCTCCTAAGGAATAATATGACAAAACAAGAGTATATGACACAATTTTAAACTCATTTGAGATGCATACGTCTCATAATTAAGAAAAGTTCAAGGTTAAATAAGCCCCCCCCCCCCCCTAGGCCATCATAAGCTAAAATGAAAATTTCAAATTTTAAGAAATGTCCAATCATTTTCTACATCTTATTGGAGGTATTATGATTAAACAGAACTATATGCATCATCTTGAGCTAATTTGGGATACATATATTACAAACCTTGAAAGTTATTAAGGTAAAATATGGTTACCCCTGGCCCTTCAGAAGCGATAATGAAATTTTTTTTTTTTTTGAAAAGTTCCAATCATTTTTCAATCCAATTAGGAATAATATGACAAAACAAGACTCAATGCACCATTTTGAGCTCATATGAGACCCATACATTGCATATCTTAAAAATTATTAAGGTAGAATAAGGTTACCCCTAGGCCGCAAGGGCTTAAAAATTCAAATTTCGATAATTTTTATTTCAAAAAATACATGAGCTACCCAAGCCATATTCTATATTTGTGATGAACATTTATATCCCTATTAGTATGAATTTTTCCAAGATGATCAGACATCACATTCTTGAAATACAGTACTTGATGTCCCATATTTGACCCTTTAAAAGATGAATTCATGCTAGATAATTGGGTCAAAATGCATTTTTCACACTTAACACCACATCTACAATCAGTTTGTCTCAATTTCAAGGCTCAGAGCAATCACCAAATGAAGTCATTTAAAAAAATTTACTTCACAACCATTTTTATTTATTTTTTATAATGTACCCCCTCCCCGCCTGATAGGGGTTGGGGTCAGAGACTAAAAAATCCATGAAGACCACTCCGGATCACTTGCCCCGAAATCATTTTCCACTCAGATCAAGTGTTTCTACAACTGTGCCAAGTTTGTTGCTTTCCTGAAAAAGTCGAACTATGAAGGCCTCATTTCTGGACATCTGACTGCGCTAATAATGAAAACATAGAATGAAATACTTTGCTATGAGGTTGATGTGAAAAAGTCAGTCATCACCAGTTGGAATCAAATCCATGACATCTTGTTTTCCAGGCGAGTGCTCTGCAACATACAATACACAGATAAACAAAAATATGGGTACATTTATCTATTTCAGTTACAGAGAGAACCTAAATATGTGTACATTTATCTATTTCAGTTACAGAGAGAACCTAAATATGTGTACATTTATCTATTTCAGTTACAGAGGTAACCTAAATATGTGTACATTTATTTATTTCAGTTACAGAGGTAACCTAAATATGTGTACATTTATCTATTTCAGTTACAGAGGTAACCTAAATATGTGTACATTTATCTATTTCAGTTACAGAGGTAACCTAAATATGTGTACATTTATCTATTTCAGTTACAGAGAGAACCTAGACCATTCCCAACTTTACATTTCAAGAGGAAAGTGGAAAACATTGATGACTTTACATTTGAGGACTTAGAGATCAGAGACTATAAACCTCATCCTAAGATTAGCATGGAAATGGCTGTGTAATAGAAAATGTTGGGGTGGGCTCTGGGGGGTTCAAGGCAGGTCATAAGGGAACCCAGCCCGAGCAGCATAGATGTGGCTGTGTAATAGAAAATGTGGGGATGGGCTGTCACGGGATCAAATGGAAGGACAGACCGATGGACACCTGGTCAATCCCATAGGCTCACCGCGGGATCAGGCAGTTCATAAGAATTTTAAGTTTCTTGCGTCAGGGACTATAAACCCCAACCCCAGTAGCATCGAGATGGCAGTGATATATAAAATTAGGGAGGGGCATGTAAGGGAGCTTTTGGGATAGGGATCAGATCTGGTGTGATCATTTTAGCTTAGGACCAAGATAGATGTAAAACTTTGAAAAACCTTATGAAAGAGTTTGTGGTACATTTACATTGTTACCATAGCGATGCAACTGAGCATTGTCATTGCCAAGAGGGGAAAATAATATGCATTGGCAGTCAGGCAATTATAAGTTTCAAATCCTGCACTTTTCAATATAAGTAACTGATGTAAGTTTCATGCATCTACTAGTATTTGAAAAAGATATTGCACTTAATGGAATCTCATTTGATGGTTGACTTTATATTTGGTAAATATTTATATTTCTTGTCACTATACAGCCATAGTCTCCAACTTTTTTGTTGTGGATGGTGTTCGGCGGTCGGTGTATGTAACAAATGGCAGGTGTTGTCATTTTGCATGTTAATGCCTTGTTTATATTGCTACAATATTTTGTAAAAAGGAATTGTAATCATATGAGAAATATATTTATAACAAAATTATATTTGTTTTCTTTGTGTTACATTTTTGCATTTAAGAATCATCTCCCATTCCATGGAACTGAGGCTAATTCATATTCTGTTCCATTGACCTTTATGTGACCTTGAACTGTTAAGATTGATATAATTCAAGTTCAGTGCTGGTACACAAAGAATTACATTAATATACCCATTCTTTGATTTGTTATGTCACCACCACAAATGGTGACATTGTTATAAGTCTCCAACTTTTTTGTGGACTGTGGTTAGTGTCTAACAAATGGCATGTGGTGACATTTTTATGTAATGAAACGGAAAGTAAAGATTTAAGCGTAAATATGAAACCAATATAGCCAGCAACAATGTGTAGCATGTATACTTTTATATGCCCTTCAATACCCGTTCATCTTAAGTAGCGAGTTTAAGCTTGCATATAAAATAGAAACGCCAACCTATACCTATGACCAAGCGCCAATACAAATGCATGCTTAAATATTTTCCATTCACGTTAAGGTTGTGAAAATCATTGACTAGCTTAAACTCCCTACAGTGCCCTAGTATCTCGTGTTTAGAACAGTAAATTGGAAATTTCACGTTGGTGTCAACGGGAATCATTAAACTTTGAATACAATGCTGGCAATTTTGATTTCGATACATGGCTGTATTACTTCTGGTTACAAATCGAGCTTGTTTATAATAAGCACCAGAAAACAGCTATAGAACTTCTACCAATTGTATCTTGTGTGCATCCCGTTCTAAGCAAAAACACTGAACCTGACGCCTGAACGGTTATTTAATGCAATTTGTATATGCACGATCGATACGTTACGTTTTCATTTCGATTAAAATATGCAAGCTTAACCTCTCTATTTGCCACCATCACGTTTTTTGTATGGTCATATTTGATAATTGGTTTTACCAAAGTGAAATTGGCCAGAAATAAAGGATTGAATAATCATACTTTAAAACATAAATTAAAGGTTGATTTGGGACTGCCAAACTTGGGTTAGTGGTCACAATCCCCAAAAAGAGCTTTTTGGACATAACTGTTTTTTCAGACTTGAAATATGCCCCCCCCCCCCTTCCACTTGTTGCTTCCCAGATCCGCCCCTGCAACCCAATGTTTTTACCATGCTTTATTAATACTCATGGAAAATTGGCATAGAAAATCTTCAGCTAATGCTGTAAATTAAAACAATTTTGGTGGCATCCCTAGTTATAACGTGTCGCTTTTGAATTAATTAATTCATTTTACATTTAATGAAAGTATGAATGAAAACCTTCCGAAAAAAGAAACAGCACATTCAAGTCACTCCAAAAACGGCTAGGCTAGAGATGAGTACGTGTAGTTTAAAAATCGGATGTATTTTCGCAGAACTTGCTATTATTCTTGTTGTCAGAAAACTACGTATTTTCAAACTATCGAATAAAAATTAAATGAATTTACATGTTGCAACACAGAGGATTGTTGCATTTAGCAAAAGAGAAACAACAAACACGGGTGACAAAGTCCGGGGATGTCGTTTAATTCCGGAAACAAACAGGTTTGAATCTGATAAATCGTATGTACATGATGATGATATACACCACCGATATAGTTTTGTCAGAACATCGGCCGTTTATTAGGAACGCACAAATTGCAAACGTCTTCCAAAGATTTATGCGAAGTAGCCAATTACACGTTTGCAAGCGCGTTGTGATTGTCGTTGTTTATAATTAGTTATAAAATACAAGTAATTGAGAAAATATGATTATAATTACTTTCGCTGCGTCTGAGTTCATTCAAGCAAAATATTAGAACAAGTATTACATTTTTGAGCAGTTTTGACACCTAAGCAGGGTAGCCTCGTGGTTAGAGAGACTACTTTGTGGGTTGAACGTCCGATGGGATACGGAGGTCCCGCGTTCGAGCCCCAGGTACGGAGTTTTTGATCATTGCACTACGGACACCCGGTCCGAAGGTCCAACCGTATACTGGCCCTTGGCATGGGTTGGTTCTCTGGCCGCTCTTGCCGGAGACAGATTGTGAGACTGTGGTTGGTTCCTCCACTAACGTGCATTAGTAGACCCCGGGAGTCATACAGTATGGTAGCGGGCCCCCACCAAGGGCAGTAGTGGAACGACGCGATTCGGTCCCAGTATGGTTGCCTTGCAACTGAAGCGACTCGAGGAAATCATGCCATTCGCAATGACCCAGAAAAGACTTTTGCTATTTGGTGCAACAATCAGATTTTTATTTCATTTATTCTTAGCGTTAAAAGGTGTGGGTGATAATGTGTCGCATGGACAAGATCTTATCTTGAAACTGCATCTCTCAATATTTGTACATTCCGCTGATTCTACTATTTTCACTTCAGATCACTTACTCAGATTTCACCTAATGACAACAACATCGTTAAAGGCATTAAAATGTCACCACCTGCCATTTGTTACAGATGAGGACCACCTTGAACAGACTATAACAATGTTACTAATTCTGGTGGTGACATAATAAAACTCTTGGGGATTGTGTCACTTGTAGACATACATTGGTCATATACCAATAGCTTCTTTTGAGGGCTAATTCACCTCGTCTCTATGACACTGATTTAAAGGATAGAGTAGAAGGCATGCATTTCATTCCTTGAGAATATAAAGGAGCAAATGAACAATAAAATAATCTCATGAAATTTTGTTATATTTATTTCCATTCTTTTAAAAGTTCATAATACAAAGCATACAATTCATTCACATACGTACTGTTCAATATAATTCACTTTCATACTATTGTTCCATACAATTCAATGTAACATTATTAACAATTCATAAAGGAGTGGCTCAGGCGCTCGTTTTTGGTACAATTGTAAGTTCGATTTCGAGAAAACGTTTTATATTTTTTGATGAACAATAACTTGCAACCAAATGGTAAGTTACAACAGTTCCAAAAACGGACATCTAAGTCATGCAAAGTTGCCACTTTTGTGGGAAATGATAAATGACCTGATCTTCATATTACCCGTTCCCCATTCTACGAACATTACATCCAAGATTTCTACTAAAATAAGTTTGATTGATGCAAATAACTAATTGTCATTTTGATATGACCCAAAAGTTCAAGGATTAAAGTGGCAACAAGGGAGAGAGACTTGAGTTGAGTATGACATTTTCAAAACTTTACAAAATAGTTTTTGCTCAACAGAATGTCAATAGAGGTGTACGCGATAGTTCAGAATGACAAAAATATTCTCACCTCCCCTGTTGAAGAGCTCCAATTCAGGGAACAGATTTTTTACATCCGTTTTTTTCCCCATTGAAATATACTGAGTCCGATTTTGAATACATTATGTTCTTAAATATCCCAAACTTCTCTGATGGCACTTCATAAAAAACTAGTAGAAAGTGTGCATTCTCTTTCCAATCCTTATGAATTTAGATCTTGATCTACATCTTGAGACTTGCATAACTTCCAAATTTTGTTGAATATCTTTAATCATTTCCCTGATATTTTCAAGATCAGAAGGCACACGGACACATTTTGGAACATATTACTTTAAACATTTTAAACCCTTTACACTACACTGCCACTTTAATGAATGTCTGTTCATTATTTTACCACAAACTATTCTTTGATGCCACTTTAATGAATATCTGTTCATAATTTTACTACATACCATCTCTAAGGTAACAGTCTCTATAAAGTTATAGGGTTCTAATAAAATATTAAATGGTCACATTCCTTACAGGGTTACAATTGGTTAAATGGTGTCCATATATTTTATTTAAGTTGTAGTTCATAAAGTCTCTACAATTACAATATACAGTGTAAAGCGTAGAGGCTTTGTGGTCACCCTGTATAACATTCTATCATCCAATAATAAAAAAAGGTAAAATAGGTGCATGTGCTTATAATAATATTTCCCATCCCACTTTTTAGTTTGAGACACCCAGTAGGTTGTTGTTTTTACACTTGTATCGCTCTTCATACATCATTGTGGTCCACAAAATTGTGGTGTTTATTATATTTAAATTTATCCTAAATACGTGAAATAAACACGACACAAATCTGGTTTTGATTGGAAAAAACAAAATGTTCACATATTCTCACAAAACATTTCTCTCTCAAACAATAAACAATTTTCGATCTTAATTCTTGAATACATACAATTCAAATACTTCATTTTTAACTTCTCTTTCATGCATACACGTTTTCTCAAGAGTCATAAATTGCAATTCTATTGCTTAAAAAGACACATGAACAACCCACAAAACCATTACTGTAAATTGCTTTATTTGGCGCTATTTAATTAGGTGGATTCGGCAAATTTTGAATCTTTGGCTGCTATTTAATATAGCGGATGTATATTGGAATGCTAGCTAGGAAGTCACATGACTATGTTTCTCTTGGGTGACGCAGGGAGGTTTTACCTTCATATATGTGCCAAAATGTAAAAAATTAGTTAACAATCAAAATACTGAAAGAATTCTCAATGAGACCTAAGGTTCCAGGGATTTTTCAAAAAGTTGGTGAAGACTTAATTTGGCGATCCGCCAAATCATCCAAATAAAATGGCCATCAAATTAAAGCAACTTAGAGTATCTTAGGTTGAAATTCAAGCCCTAACTGTGGATCAGCATGTCACTTAAATTCCAGATAATAGTCTCATATAGAAACAATGTTCAATTCTGATTGCTTGTAGACATCCAATTAACCAACAAAACACAGTATCCGAGGTTTAAATTCTAATCCTGAATTAAAGATCAGCACGTTAAATTTCAGGAAATGGCCTCAAAAAAGCGATGTTTAAACCATATAAACAGTCTATGAATTTAATTTTCGGTAACAATTGTTAAGTATTAGTAATTTCAAAATGAGTTGATTCCCAGGAATCCTGAAAACTAAAAAAAGGAAATATTTTCTGTGTTCACAAACTCAGAAAGAATATTTACTCAAAATGCCTGACTGGAGGCCAAAAACTGAACCTGCAAGCAAACATATAACAAATAGTTTAACAAAACAAGGAAACAATTTTTGTACAAATATGAATTAGTAAATATGAGGAATTAGTAAAAATGTTTCAGTCAAGCATACAGATGGGAAAATAGTGGTTTCCGTAGATGTAAAATGCCACTTTAAAGGACCCCAACATGATGCCATCAATGTGGCATACTTGTGATTTTTTCCACTATATGTCTCTATTCTTAGTTTTTTACACAGTATTTGATAAACCAGAACAACGGCAACGCCAAAGCGTAGCGAATCCCATCGAACAGAAATGGCTGGCATTTTTACAAACGAAATATATAGCAAATATCATAAAACAACACACCAAAAAGGCCACCATTTTCAAAATGGTTGCTCACTAGCCAAGTAGTCATCAGAAGAAATAATATGCTTTTAAGTAGCCACCTATAAAATTTTTGAAAAATCACATTGTACTTGTAAAATAACACACATAAAAATGGTGGCCATTTTTCAAAATGGCCGACTACTCCCCAAAGTTTTATGAGACAATGTGCCATGCTTAAAGTATTCACATATCAAATATGAACAAAATCGCTCCACTACTTTTCAAGTTATAGTAAAATACGATAAAATGGGGCCATTTTTCAAAATGGCCACCTTCTACCAAAAGTGTCATTAGACAGTGTACCATGCTTTTAATATTCACATACCAAATATAAATAAAATTGCTCCACTACTTTTCGAGTTATAGTAAAATACCTTAAAATGGCGGCCATTTTTCAAAATGGCCACCTTCTACCAAAAGTGTCATTGGACAGTGTGCCATGCTTATAGTATTCACATACCAAATATGAACAAAATCGCTCCACTACTTTTCGAGTTATAGTAAAATATGTTAAAATGGCGGCCATTTTTCAAAATGGCCGTCTTCTACCAAAAATGTCTTTAGACAGTGTCCAATGCTTATAGTATTCACATACCAAATATGAACAAAATCGCTCCACTACTTTTCGAGTTATAGCAAAAATCGTAAAATAACGAGTAAAGGCCGCCATTTTTCAAGATGGCTGCCATGTGCTTCTTTAATATCTACATTTGTAGCTTTATCAATGTCCTTTATAATTTTTTTACATTTAAAACATATTGCTATTACAGTTTTACATATTGCACCTAAATTACTATAAAATCGGCACTAAAATGGCCGCCATTTTGAAATGAGCGGCCATTTTGAAAATCGGCTTTCGAGCAGAACTTCTAGCCCCATAGGGTATATGTGTACAAAATATGAACAAAATCGGGCCAACGGTATTTGAGTTATTGCCCGGACGGACGGACGGACGGAGGCGTTCCCTATATCCCTCCGAACTTTGTTCGATGGGATAAATATAAGAAGTATCAAATCATGAAATTTTGTGTGATTCTTATCTTTGACAAATAAAAATACTAGTGAGCTTTATAACTGCTCTTTATAACAAACATATTTACTTGAATTTAGATATCTATCATATAATGTGTAAAAAAGACAGAAAACATTTCAATTTGATTGCTGTCTTTAATTCCATGGACTTGAAGAAATGGAGAGGAGACTTCCATTGAACCAATGGTCTAAGCCGATATTTGCCGCTAGAGGCGCTGTAGTTTTCACGCATGCACATTTTCCAACTTACGACCCAATACCATTTATATAACCATTGTTCCCTTAGTATGAGGTCATTGTTATCATTTCTCAGCTATGCGCTGTTCAACCCTGAAAACTACAGTGCCGCCCTCTAGAGGCAAAATAAGGCGGAGACAAGATTCTTTGAATTTCCAATCCATTCCTTCACGTCTGTGGCTGTTCCTTCATTTGGTCTTAGGCCACAGGTCAAGACTTTAATCTCTAAAGGTGAAAGGAAATCCTAGATTAAGTCGTCACCTGCAAATTTTCTGCATGCATCCCATCGATATATATTGTGGAGAAAGTGCTTTATGAACACACAGCACACAGATCCTCGTAGAATTGGTTTTGTTGAATGGACACGGCTTTCCAAGCAAATTGTATTTCATTTTGGTTAGTAAATATATGGATTACTGCACATTCCCACTGTGATGTCAGACCACTTCATGACATCACTTTATGACATCATAAAACACATCATCATAATTTGATATAACAACGAGATGATTTTATCGCTAAGATTGCATATCCATGTCTTGGTTACTTGTGTTACCATGGTTACTCGTGTCTATGTGGTTTTGATCAGTGGAATTATTTAGTGAAAATGAAGTCATTTGTGAATCATTTGACTGCCGATTGTTTATGGAATCCTGAAATAAAGAAAAAATAACATATTTTAGAGAATTCCCCTAAATAAGGAGCCCAGTGATGCATACCAGAACATTCTGTTGTAACTATGGAAAAGAAAATCCTTACATCATATTCAGGGAACAATAGGCTTAACTTGATGAGTTCTGATAATGCACCCCTTGGTAATTCATGAGCATTCAATAGGAAGCCTATGAGTTCAGTTTAGGATTAAATATCGATTTAAGAAGTTTGTTCTTTTCATTTTCATTTTTTTATTCATTTTTTCATTCTCACAGAGTTTGTGGTTTAATTACAATTAATCTATGTTTTACGACATGAATAGAATTCAATGTTTCAAAAGTCACCACTTGTCTACCACCGAACACTTACCGCCAAACACCATCCACAATAACGTTGGAGACATTAACAATATGTCACCAGTTGTGATGGTGCCATATGGATTGACAATGATCTGAGGTACTAAAAACTTGAGGATTCTCTTACCTGAAATAATGCTGTCCTTACAGGTGTGCTAGTAAACGAGATTTGATGAGGTGAAGCCGTCGGGCTTCCGTGTTGAGCTAGTAACGAATAATTAGGTGAGATCACTGGACTAAGATTGCTAATGTCTCTAGTGGCTGGCGAGCCAAATGGATTCTCTGGTTTTTGAGGACTATGTGTGTTAAACTCTTCACTCCCTATATGGGATAATTGCTGCGTAAGACCCAAGACGCCTCCTTCTTCCACTTGGAGAATCACCCATATAATGTCTGAAATGAAGGATACGAGGAATTAAAGTGGCAACCTGACACGATTAAGGAGCGTTTCAAGAGTTCAACCTAGGATTATTAACTGTATTCTCAAAAGAACCGCATCAATGCTTTATTACAAAATTGTAAGTTTATTGTCATGGTGACAGATATAAGGGTCACCAAAACATTTGTGCAAATGGTTACAAAAGTGTAACGTTTATATACAGTAGATATTGAATGCCAGTCAAAGGTTCTCTTCTTTATCCTTTATTTCCTCTTTAAATATACCACCAAAGAACATTCCTTTGTTTCCCCTTTAAATAGCACAAACCCCCAAAGAACATTCACTTGTTTCCCCTTTAAATAGCACATACTACCAAAGAACATTTTTTATTTCCCCTTTAAATAGCACATACCACCAAAGAACATTCACTTGTTTCCCCTTTAAATAGCACAAACCACCAAATAACATTCACTTGTTTCCCCTTTAAATAGCACATACCAGCAAAGAACATTTTTTATTTCCGCTTTAAATAGCACATAGCACCAAAGAACATTCACTTGTTTCCCCTTTAAATAGCACATACCACCAAAGAACATTTTTTATTTCCGCTTTAAATAGCACATTCCACCAAAGAACATTCCTTTGTTTCCCCTTTAAATAGCACATACCACCAAGGAACATTCATCTGTTTCCCCTTTAAATAGCACATACCACCAAAGAACATTCCTTTATTTCCCCTTTTAACAGCACATACCACCAAAGAACATTCATTTGTTTCCCCTTTAAACAGCACATACCAACAAAGAACATTCATTTTTTCCCCTTTAAACAGCAAATGCCACCAAAGAACATTCACTTGTTACCCCTTTAAATAGCACATACCAACAAGAACATTCATTTGTTTCCCCTTTAAACAGCAAATACCACCAAAGAACATTCACTTGTTTCCCCTTTAAATAGCACATACCATCAAAGAACATTTCTTTACTTCCCCTTTAAATAGAACATACCACCAAAGAACATTCCTTTATTTCCCCTTTAAACAGCACATACCACCAAAGAACATTCATTTGTTTCCCCTCTAAACAGCACATACAGTATGTTGTATGATACTACCAAAGAACATTCATTTTTTCCCCTTTAAATAGCACATACTACCAAAGAACATTAATTTGTTTCCCCTATAAATAGCACATACCACGAAAGAACATTCATTTGTTTCCCCTTTAAACAGCACATACCACCAAAGAACATTCATTTGTTTCCCCTTTAAATAGCACATACCACCAAAGAACATTCATCTGTTTCCCCTTTAAATAGCACATACAGTATGTAGTATGATACTACCAAAGAACATTCATTTGTTTCCCCTTTAAATAGCACATACCCCCAAAGAACATTCCCTTTATTTCCCCTTTAAATAGCACATAACACCAAAGAACATTAATCTGTTTCCCCTTTAAATAGAACATACCACCAAAGAACATTCCTTTGTTTCCCCTTTAAATAGCACATACTAGATCTACCAAAGAACATTCCTTTGTTTCCCCTTTAAATAGCACATACTAGATCTACTAAAGAACATTCATTTGTTTCCCCTTTAAACAGCACATACCACCAAAGAACATTCCTTTATTTCCCCTTTAAATCGCACATACCACCAAAGAACATTCATTTGTTTCCCCTTTAAATAGCACATAACACCAAAGAACATTAATCTGTTTCCCCTTTAAATAGAACATACCACCAAAGAACATTCCTTTGTTTCCCCTTTAAATAGCACATACTAGATCTACCAAAGAACATTCCTTTGTTTCCCCTTTAAATAGCACATACTAGATCTACTAAAGAACATTCATTTGTTTCCCCTTTAAACACCACATACCACCAAAGAACATTCCTTTATTTCCCCTTTAAATTGCACATACCACCAAACCAATGCTTTATTACAAAATTGTAAGTTTATTGTCATGGTGACAGATATAAGGGTCACCAAAACATTTGTGCAAATGGTTACAAAAGTGTAACGTTTATATACAGTAGATATTGAATGCCAGTCAAAGGTTCTCTTCTTTATCCTTTATTTCCTCTTTAAATATACCACCAAAGAACATTCCTTTGTTTCCCCTTTAAATAGCACAAACCCCCAAAGAACATTCACTTGTTTCCCCTTTAAATAGCACATACTACCAAAGAACATTTTTTATTTCCCCTTTAAATAGCACATACCACCAAAGAACATTCACTTGTTTCCCCTTTAAATAGCACAAACCACCAAATAACATTCACTTGTTTCCCCTTTAAATAGCACATACCAGCAAAGAACATTTTTTATTTCCGCTTTAAATAGCACATAGCACCAAAGAACATTCACTTGTTTCCCCTTTAAATAGCACATACCACCAAAGAACATTTTTTATTTCCGCTTTAAATAGCACATTCCACCAAAGAACATTCCTTTGTTTCCCCTTTAAATAGCACATACCACCAAGGAACATTCATCTGTTTCCCCTTTAAATAGCACATACCACCAAAGAACATTCCTTTATTTCCCCTTTTAACAGCACATACCACCAAAGAACATTCATTTGTTTCCCCTTTAAACAGCACATACCAACAAAGAACATTCATTTTTTCCCCTTTAAACAGCAAATGCCACCAAAGAACATTCACTTGTTACCCCTTTAAATAGCACATACCAACAAGAACATTCATTTGTTTCCCCTTTAAACAGCAAATACCACCAAAGAACATTCACTTGTTTCCCCTTTAAATAGCACATACCATCAAAGAACATTTCTTTACTTCCCCTTTAAATAGAACATACCACCAAAGAACATTCCTTTATTTCCCCTTTAAACAGCACATACCACCAAAGAACATTCATTTGTTTCCCCTCTAAACAGCACATACAGTATGTTGTATGATACTACCAAAGAACATTCATTTTTTCCCCTTTAAATAGCACATACTACCAAAGAACATTAATTTGTTTCCCCTATAAATAGCACATACCACGAAAGAACATTCATTTGTTTCCCCTTTAAACAGCACATACCACCAAAGAACATTCATTTGTTTCCCCTTTAAATAGCACATACCACCAAAGAACATTCATCTGTTTCCCCTTTAAATAGCACATACAGTATGTAGTATGATACTACCAAAGAACATTCATTTGTTTCCCCTTTAAATAGCACATACCCCCAAAGAACATTCCCTTTATTTCCCCTTTAAATAGCACATAACACCAAAGAACATTAATCTGTTTCCCCTTTAAATAGAACATACCACCAAAGAACATTCCTTTGTTTCCCCTTTAAATAGCACATACTAGATCTACCAAAGAACATTCCTTTGTTTCCCCTTTAAATAGCACATACTAGATCTACTAAAGAACATTCATTTGTTTCCCCTTTAAACAGCACATACCACCAAAGAACATTCCTTTATTTCCCCTTTAAATCGCACATACCACCAAAGAACATTCATTTGTTTCCCCTTTAAATAGCACATAACACCAAAGAACATTAATCTGTTTCCCCTTTAAATAGAACATACCACCAAAGAACATTCCTTTGTTTCCCCTTTAAATAGCACATACTAGATCTACCAAAGAACATTCCTTTGTTTCCCCTTTAAATAGCACATACTAGATCTACTAAAGAACATTCATTTGTTTCCCCTTTAAACACCACATACCACCAAAGAACATTCCTTTATTTCCCCTTTAAATTGCACATACCACCAAAGAACATTCCTTTATTTCCCCTTTAAATCGCACATACCACCAAAGAACATTCCTTTATTTCCCCTTTAAACAGCACATACTAGATCTACTAAAGAACATTCCTTTATTTCCCCTTTAAATCGCACATACCACCAAAGAACATTCCAGTAGCTGTAGTCATCCTCCATTGTCCTTGAAACATCCCCGCATTTGCAGGACTTGACATATCTACACTAATGTCCATAACAGCTCCGGGCTGAAGGGCATTTGCCATGGCACGATCACGATGACCAAACTGGTCACCACAAAGAAATTTTAAAGAGCACCCGGGTGGCCAGGCTTCATCCCCTGAAAAAGAAGAAGATACGTTTTAGTAATCTGAGTTCTACGAAAATTTGTATAAATCACTTTGATTTTCATTTGAATTTATGCTCATGGGTCAACTGAAAAATAGAACCTAGAGGGAGGGGGTGTAATATATTTGGACTAACAGCAAACCTCTATAGATATAAGTTGCTGTCACTCTTAATCTCCTGTAATGGTCAGACTAGAAGCACTTCAGTTCCTAAATTCATACCAATTAGCTTATAGATGGCACCATCAGCTGCAGGCCTGAGCCAGGATTTACCAAGGGGGGTTCACTTTTTGAAAAATTCCAGGGGGGGTTCAATTGTGACAATTCTGGTCCAAAAATGGCCAAAATCACTAAAAAAAGTGCTCCGAATGGTGAAAACTGCATGATTTTGAAAGATTTTTTGAAAAGGGGGCGGTTTGCTCGAACCCCTTGGCTACGGGCCTGAGCTGTTGGCAATTTGTATAGGGCAATCACCAAAGGACAGGATTTTGCCATTTCAGAATTTTATAGACGAGTAAAAATGTTTTTTTGTATATAATTCAATTTTTTGTAATTCAAAGTAAAGTAATTTGAATATATTTGTGATGTAGAAGCAGAATCGCATTACCCCTAGGCCCTAGCCAATTTTCAAGGGTCAAAGTGAAATATTTGAGAATTTAAAGGTTAGATGCAAAATGTACAACCCCCTCCGTAACTTTGGCAACAGGAGGTCATCTTCTGGGTCACTTATCAAAGCCTATTTATGTTTGGCAATTTAAAGAAATTAATCTTTGTCATTAATTAGTTGTTATACATGAACAAAACAGAATGGAATAGTGGCAGGTACTTTTCATATTTGAGTAGGTCATAAAATAGTAGGTTGCACCAGTAGCATTCGCAAATACAAGCTAAGATGCCAACATTTACAGTCTTTCATACGCTATCCAATAAGGCCTTCCAGTTACCAAACTTATGAAGAGTAGTGTAGTACCTGAGTTCATGATTCTCCATGTTTTAGTGAAAGCAGTTCTTGGAGGCACAGACTCCCCCTCTCCAATGGTGATGTCTTTGACAAAAGTCATCTGTGGTAGCTTATCAGCTGTCGGTTGTTCATACTCGTAATACGAACATATTGCAGCTTGTAGGTTCCTGAAAAATCAAAATTTTTATCAAATACAGGAAAACCTGATTTATCCTAATACCTCTGGATTCCTGAACAACAGTCAATGTGAACACTTTTTGGTCACATTTTTCAAGCATAGGCTTCGTGCTTACAAGTTCATCAAAATATGAACACCTGCCAATCTGAGCATTTTTGGCTGGTACAAGTGGCATTTGGATTACATATGTAGTACCGTGATCTCCCCAGGATAATTTAGTGTGGAGGATTTTGTTATTTTTTTTAATTGCAACATTTTAGCATTTTGTAACTTTTTGTGCAACAATTTATGATTTTGTAATTTGTGTGCAACATTTTAGGATTTTGTGCAACATTTTAGAATTTCTTTTTTTTAATTGTAACATTTTAAGAGGCGCATCTAGTTGCACTGAGGAGCATTTTGGTTTTATAAAATACATGGAGTGCTGCATCTCAGAGATTTCAATATGGGGAGAGCACGGTAGTACTTTTCATGATTTTATGATTGAAAGAGAGCACCAATGCTATACAACGCAAACCGCAAAGTCAGGATGGCAAAGCGAAATTGAGACACAGATGGCAGAATTCAACCATATTGGGCTTTCAACTAGAATGATTTATCTAATTGAAAGCCCATGATTCAACAAACCATGAAATCTGAGCATGACTCCAGAACATCATGGCAAGTTCCTGACATGGGCGTAGCACCCAGTTACCCCCATAAATGTGGGGTTATTTTGAGGTTCTTTGATAGTTAGGACATTTATTTCTCAAAATATTTATTTTGAGTAACAAATGTCCTAAATATTAAAAATCCTCAAAACTAGAAAAACAGCAACTCCACGGAGTAGCAAATCCCACCGAACAAAACATATTATGCTTATTATAGCTAGTGTAAATGTTGAAATGTTTGTGCACTTTGTGATAGAAGCATGAAATTTGGCACAAAGTTAGTTTTGTGAACTAGGCATCATCATATAAAATTTGAACCAAATCCGTTCACTGGTATATGAGTTATCAAAGATTACGTTTTTTACGAAAATTGGCCGCCATCTTAAAATTCAGCCGCCATCTTGATAATTATTTCTTGAACAGAGCTACTGTGTCCCTAGGCATAATCATATAAAATTTCAACCAAATCTGTTCACTGGTATTCGAGTTATCAAAGATCACGTTTTTTACGAAAAATTGCCGCCATTTTGAAATTAAGCGGCCATCTTGAAAAATTTTTGTCGAACATAGCTGCTGTGTCCCTAAGCATCATCATATGCAATTTGAACCAAATCCATTCACTGGTATTTGAGTTATCAAAGATTACATATTTTTACGAAAAATGGCCGCCATATTAAAATTAAACGGCCATCTTGAAAATTTCTTTTTGTGCAAAACTCCTTTGTCCCTAGGCATCAGCATATAAAATTTGAACCAAATCCGTCAACTTGTATTTGAATTATCAACGATTACATTTTTTACGAAAAATGGCGGCCATTTTGAATTGAGAGACCATATTGAAAATTCCTTCTTGAGCAGAGGTCCTACACTCATAAGGCATAAGCCTATAAAATTTGAACCAAATCCGTTCACTGGTGTATGAGTTATCAAAGATTACGTTTTTTACGAAAATTGGGCGTCATCTTGAAATTCAGCCGCCATCTTGAAAATTATTTCTTGAACAGACCTACTGTGTCCCTAGGCATAATCATATAAAATTTCAACCAAATCCGTTCACTGGTATTTGAGTTATCAAAGATTACGTTTTCTACGAAAAATTGCCGCCAATTTGAAATTAAGCGGCCATCTTGAAAATTTTTTGTTGAACATAGCTACTGTGTCCCTAAGCATCATCATATAAAATTTGAACCAAATCCATTCACTGGTATTTGAGTTATCAAAGATTACATATTTTTATGAAAAATGGCTGCCATTTTGAAATTAAGCGGCCATCTTGAAAATCTCTTTTTGTGCGACACTCCGTTGTCCCTAGGCATCAGCATATAAAATTTGAACCAAATCCGCAAACTAGTATTTGAGTTATTAAAGATTACATATTTTATGAAAAATGGCGGCCATTTTGAATTCAGTGGCCATATTGAAAATTCCTTCTCGAGCAGAGGTCCTACACCCATAAGGCATAAGCCTATAAAATTTGAATCAAATCCGTGAAACGGTATTTGAGTTATCACCCGGACAAACAGACGGACGGACAGACGGACGGACGGCTTTCCTATATCCCTCTCGAACTTTGTTCGGTGGGATAATAACCCCACATTTATGGGGGTACACCCGGTATGCTGGGTACACATAAGTGTAGATGATGATTTCAAATTCGCTCCAAATACAACCAAATTTCAAAATTTCCTAGGGGGAGAACCCCACAGACCCCCCTGAACGCTTTTTTGCTACTCTCAACTCTTGCTCCCATGTAGACGGTGAACACCGCCTCTAATGCGTTGGATTGTCGTAAGGACTTGCATTAGAGGCGGTGTTTATCCTTGTAAATTCATGCCAATCTAAGTTTTTCTTGATTATTTTTGACGGTTCACTTTATTTTAGTCTTCTGCTTAGAATCTCTGCGTCATTTACAGAGAAATATAAACAAAATGGATACATTGATGATTTATACAAAAAATTACCATAGCTTTGTGGTTGTAGAAGGTTGAATTGTGCTAATTTTGTAGCAAAATCGCCGTTTGTCGCTACTGTTCACAAAATCTTTATGGCGGCTTCTATTCTCACATGATTTGACGAGAGTAGCCATTGAATATTGCTGCCATCTATATTATACAGAGTTTATATCATTCATTCGACCATCATGTATTCGATGGAAGAAATAAATGATCTCTATTCGCATAACATAAAACCAAAGTTTGGATTTGATTTGAAGCCAGAACAGTTACAAGACGTGATAACAAACATATTGAATCAAGAATCAGTTTTACCAACTGGTTATTGGAAAACATTACAACACGTGATCATCAAATTACGTCACATCACGTGATCATCACACTGATTTATGCAACGCATGCGCACTTGAAATTAGGTCAGCGAAAATGTCAAGAAGACCGGTCAGAAATGCAATTTCGTCTTATCTGCAACGATTACACATAATTACTGTATTACTGTTCATTTTGAAGATTTTTGGTCCCGCTATCCAGTGGTGAAAGAATTTTCAAGATTGAGGTAAGATCTTGGGAGAAAAGTCAAAAACATCAGATCCGGACTTTTCAGCATTTCTTAAATTTGATAAATTTACATTGCACGTTATGCACCCCTGGGGCCAACACGATCCTCAGAGAACCAGAGGGTGCATGAATGCACCTAGCTCCCATGCGGGCTCCCGTGGTGGCGTACTACTTAGAAAAATAGCGCTATGCTTCTGCAAAATATTACACCTGTTTTCCTATACAGACAGATTGCCCATAACATCTATAGAGCCTACAGGTCAAAGAGTTATAATTTATCTCACCAATTGTTCATATCTAGGAAGAAAGCACATCCTGCAGGATTCAGCTGATTCCCAAGAAGTTTTTGGAACTCAGCAATCAGGACGTCTTTATCTTGAGTCCCCATTGAGCTGAATTGTTGCAACAGATTCGAATCAAAGTCGCTGTCAACATCCATGATGATCTTTACTAAAGGTAGGCGGAATTTGGTATCACTCTGGTCAGGGTATCACGTATTTTGCAGGTTTTTTGTGAAAGAAATCATGTTGTTTTGCAAAATATTCCGTTGAGCAAGTTTTGATGACGTCACCGGATATGTGGCGGCTCACAATCAACTTGGCTTCTGGGAAAATTATGCAAATTAGCCATGTGCTCATACTGTAAACAAACATAATAAACAAACGCGTAAAGAACTCAAACGCTTCTAATACTATAAAAGATGCTAACTAAAGTTTTAAATGAATTATTCAAACACATTTTAAAAGGTAAAGAAATGTGCCTGACTCGTCCATAATATAAGAAATAATTGATTGGAAAATTCAAACCCAGCAAGGACCACAATCCGGAGAAGTGATGTAATTGTTATCGTCTGCATCAGTCACAATGAAATTGTCAACGTATGCAGATTGTTTTGATGGTTCCGAAACGCTGTTGTCAACGTCACCCGGTGAACTGTATCAGTTTACACAACAACTTCACAGAGACGATACGGTAAGTAAGTCCGGAGAAATCAGACTGCATTTTTTGCGATTGCGAGTTCCATGAGAGCTTATCCCGTACCAGGACTAGAGCAATCGTGCGCCCTTATCCCGTTCCCGGACTATAGTCCATAGTCCGGGAACGGGATAAGTGCGCCCGGTTACTCAGTCTCAAGCCAATTCGCCTCAGAAGAAGGTAGGGCCTTTAGAAGCCCGAGCTTCATAGGGAATGTCAACGTATTTGGGAGGTGTCCAATTTACCGGGAATTAAGGCCTAAGCTTAAGCTTACCCCAGGGTGATTAGGTTCGAGGAACTGGGGAGCCATGGATGTTTCTATTGTAGCGCCCTTGGAAGGGTGGGGGGGGGGGGGTCAGTGGGCTGGCGGATCCAGATATAACAAGGGGGGGTCATATTTTGAGGTTGTAAAAAATTTCTTTTAGACTAGATCTAGGCTAGAGCTGTGTGGAAAAAAAATTGGCCCCTAGCCTAAAAAACAAAAATTGGGCTCAAATTTTGAAAAAATTGAGGCCCATTTTTTGACAAATTGGCCAAAAAGTCCAAATCATGCCCCAAAAGGCCCATTTTTGAGGCCCTGGCCTAAGCTTACAAATTTTTTGGGCCATTAACTCAATACATTTTCTGGCTCCACACCCCCCCCACCGGGATCTTAACCCATTCATTTAGTCTTGTCTGTATGTGGCACACACACTTATATGTGCCATAGACAATTTCTTTTGGATGACTTAAATAACTGAATAGACCATGCAGATAGATGCGAGTAGAAATAATCTTGATTTACGTCATTAAATATTCAAAATTCAGTCAAAGTGATGTCATATTTGAAATCTACATGTAAAAGTACTTCTTGAAATATGGTTTCGAAAATTGTTTATCAACTTTGAAAATTTAATTTTTTTTGAAAATGTCGACTTCTAGTGTTACGAAATCACAAAAAGTGAAATATCTTTTCTTGTATTGGACAGATAACATTTCTTTTATTTGACATATTTTAATTTACATAACAATTAAATACATAAGGGTTATATGAAAATTGAACCACTAAAACAGATGTAATTAAGTTAAAGGGAACTTTCTACTATGTACCCGCCATGTTATCTGACCCGAATGAGCCACCTGGTGGTGAAACTGGTAACTACTTACTCGCATCTGCGTTATTATGAATATAAATACTGACAACACCTTCAAAAGTAATTTCTTATGCTAGGCCACATTGTTCATTATTTTTGTACTTTCAGGCTTTGATTGAAGAAATGGTGAAAACTGACGATCTCGGAGACCTAGCTTGGCTGGTTGGATATAATGCTTCACCCGATGGCTTACCCAAAGACAAGCCTGACTCAAAACTTTCTTACAAGAAGAAATCAAAGAAACTAGGTAAAAATAATAAAAAATAGGTCATTTAAAGGTCACGTGAGATCAAGAGAGGCCATAATATATACATGAATTGATTAAGTTTTATAATGTAAATAGATTTTTCAATGAAATTATATCATGGATGAAAATGTTCCCAAAATATTTGAAATCAATTTAAACAACTTCTAAATATACCCAGAGATTGATAATTATGACAGGAAAATACAGTGTTATTAGTACAATAAAATAATGAAGACAGGTCAAGGTCATTTGAGGTCAAATTGAAAAAGCTTGATTCTACAATCAGTTTAGTATGCAATAAATTAATTGGTTTGTCTATATACTACAGCTGCAGATGTCCCAAGTGCTATGTCTGGTGAAGAAAGGGGACACAAACCACCATTTACATATGGGGAACTCATTGAGGCTGCCTTAACTGACAAAGGTCCACTATGCCTTTCAGATATTTACAATTGGATCAGGTAAGAAGTCAAAAACTGTACATTTGATCACATTTCGGTAATGGTGTTACACAGGGTTCTAATTTAGGTCTTGTGTTATCAATTGCGCAGTAGTACCCACCACTGCACCCAAATGCTATTGAAAATTGAAATGAAATTTGGCATATGTACAACTCCTATATAATTTTGTAGTTAATAATCAAATATAATGTATAATTTAAGTTTACACATTGTTATGTATTCCAGGTCAAAGTTCTCATATTACAGAGACCCAATCAATTTAGGATGGCAGGTAAATAAGAGGTCACATTTTATTTAATCAAAATACTTTGGATCATGTCAGTAAAATTATCATGGGATAATTCTGAAGAATTTTTCAATTCTAGAATTTGGACATTTCAGCATCTTAAATTTGGAACACCCTGACCCCTGACCCCTTTATTGGGACACCCTGACATGGTTAATTGAAAAGATTGCTCCTAACATTTTACACCTTATGATCTCTAATTCTTGCTGTCTATGTTTTTGCACATTTGATTAAATTGAGCCATATGATATATAATATAGTTTATGTTTGTTTTAGAATGGAATTCGCCACCGTTTGTCTACAACGCCAAGGTTTGTTGTGTCTAAGCGCAGAGGGGAGCCAGGTAAAGGAGGTGTGTGGCGTATAGCTGATGAATCCACTTTGCTCAGAGTTAAAGCAGAAGCAGCAGAAAAACACCACTGGGTATAAACTTACTTAAGTTTTTTTATAAACTTTTAAATGAATTTAATCATTGAGACTTCAGATAAAATCAAATGTTGGTCTTAGAAAACAGTTAAAGCACCCACATAACTTTGGCTTATATTGTAGTCTTACGCAATGATACCAAAATGTGATACATGAAACTTTTTTATATCTAAAAGTGTTTTTTTGAAGGACTTTTTGCTTGAAAAAGATTATTATGAATTTATTTTTAGAGGTCACACCTCTTTTTGATAAGCGATACTCCACACCAATGCATAGCATACATTCTCACATGTATTTTGATAAAAAAAATTCTCAAAAAACTCTAAAATATCTTTTAAAGACATGACAAATAGTTAATAATTGATTGATAAAATATATTTTCAAACTTTACGCTGGGCCTTTAAAAAGCAATTGTTTTTGATGTTAGCTAAGATTTGTAATACATGATTCTTGCCTTTTTAGAATTCTTATGATTTTCCCTGAACAGTATAAAATCTTTCACACAATTTTAATTTTCTGATAAAAACCATTGAACGGCTATTCATTCATTGAATTAGTGAATATGAGGAGTGGTTAAAAAGTTATGAGACTTCACCAATCATTAGCTGTATGCCAGAAATTCACTTTTTTTAATACCACAACAAAATTAAAAGTGTGATTTGATTTTCATAATTCCTCCAAAAATTAGGAGAACACTCTTACCTCTCATGGCATTTGTGAACATTTAAAATCATACTATTTGAATTCTCATTTATTAATATATTTCATGAATTAAGATAACATAATGCACCCTTTTTAGCTTGTCTGTTGTGCATAAACTGTGACAGAAGTCAGTCACCTGCCACCTCAATCAGTTGTTTTTTAAGCTCCACTTTTAAGGCATGCTCCCTTTAAACAATTACTAAGTGTGTTAATATAAAAAAAAACTACAAAAGGGAGTGTTTTTGTAAGACATTCTTGGCTGTGTGTGATTCACTCTGGTCCTGTGTGATCCCATGTTACCATGGTTTTGTATAATTGAAGCACTATTCAATCAAATGACAATGACAATGAATAGATAATTGAATGATCTAACTTGAGTAAAAATTTGATCTAACTTGAGTAAAAAATTAAACCACTATTGACTATGATTAAATATTATTTAGTATGTCCATAAAATTTTGTTCAGTACTTTTGAAACACCCTACATTTACATATATGTTTTCATAAAAGATAAAATGTCTTTCAGAAAAAACAGAAACTAACCGAGTATGAGACCAACAGTAAATTCAGAGTGCGACGTAGACGGGTGCCGGAACCCATGGAGCCTCATTTTGACATAGAGTCATGTGACATGGAGTCAGCCGAGGTAATGGATGAGTCTCGGTTTGGAGAAAAGTCTCCTGCGCTAATAATTCTTTTCATGAAAAATATAGAAATATCACCCAAATCAAATAATGAATATTCAAAAGAGGACATCTAAATCTACAAGATGTAAAAATATCAAAATTGTCCGAAGCAGGGATAACGGTGCAGTAGACTGATTCAATAGAATTCAAGTCTCGATACGCTAATATTTTTTATGAAAAATCAAGAAATATCACCCAAATTGAATTATAACTATATTATAACTATTGTGTAAAAAAATCAAATGTATCCGAAGCAGGGATAGCGCTCATTTAGAGTGATGAACTTCGTTCTCCAAACTGAGAATAGACCTTAATCAATATATTTTAATAAAAAGCTTAATAACAAAAGTGCTACATTGTTGTTATCTATTAAATTACATGGTGGCTATTTTGCTCTTCAAGGTGCGATATTTATCACTCCCGTCTTGTTAAATATTGTGTTACTGTAAAACGGGTATTGTTAGCGAGGGGTAATTGTTAGCGAACGCTATAGTTTCGCTAAAAATTCAATTCGCTAAAATAAACCGGGGTTAAAATAAACCGGGCGCTAAAATTTGCAAATTCCCGGGAAATTACATGAATACTAGTATTTAAGGAGCTTTTCGTTCAGTGCTCGACTTCCGGTTTGTAATTTGAAAAAGGTAAATATTTTTAAATCCACCCTATGCAGACAGAGCCTGTGGGAAATATTGGGTGCGGCGCAAATGAGCGGAGGGTGCGGAGCTAACGGTCATTTTTGAATTTAAAATTGGGATATTTCTGAAACTAAGCCGTTTTGGGACTTCAAATATACCAAGATATGTGTATTTGACACCAAATATCAATAAAATTGTGAAAATAGTAGTGCAATTCATTTTATAGCGACGCAGTATGCCTTAAACATTTCCCAGACCTATATATTTTGAGACTATCCTTTTAATACTGCGTCCCCAGCATTCATAAAAAATGGTGTTCAAGATACACTACCCATGCAAATTATTTTTGCATCTTGGAAGCCAGGCAGTATCTGTGTGATTTTATAAAAATTCGGAAATGTTCTTCAGATATGAGCCCCTCTAAATATTGGGTGCGGAGCTACGTTTATGGAGCTGCTCCGCACCCAATATTTAGAGGGGGCTCATATCTGAAAAGATTTCCGAATTTTTATAAAATCACACAGATACTGCCTGGCTTCCAAGATGCAAAAATAATTTGTATAGATAGTGCACCTTGAACACCATTTTTTATGAATGCTGGGGACTCAGTATTAAAAGGATAATTTCAAAATATATAGGTCTGGGAAAGGTTTAAGGCACACTGCGTCGCTATAGAATGAATTGCGCTACTATTTTCACAATTGTATTGATATTTGGTGTCAAATTCACATATCTTGGTATATTTGAAGTCCCAAAACAGCTTAGTTTCAGAAATATCCCAAATTTAAATTCAAAAATAACCGTTAGCTCCGCACCCTCCGCTCATTTGCTCCGCATCCAATATTTCCCACAGGCTCTGTCTGCATAGGGTGAAATCGTATGTATTTAAATGCTACCGTGATTTTGTGATTAGTCAGATGAGATTACAGTAGTTTGGACCAATACCATGTGCATTAGAAGTCTTACATTTTGATAATTCCTCTGTCATGTCCGTTATTCATTCTTCTGCCATAAATGATAAAATTTCTAATGCATTTCGCTAGTTTGATTTTTTAAAGATTAATCTTTATTTCGCTAAAATTTCCCGCGCTAAAACCCCCTAAAATTGAAAAATCGCTAAAATTTCCCGGTGTCAAAATTACCCGTTTTACAGTATTTGAATATTTTTATTTATCGAAAAAAATCATGACAGTTTAATTTATATTTTTAGAACAATTAGTTTGCACAGAATGTAGGAATGGCATCCTCTTGAATATCTTCATTTTCACCACAGTGTGCCCTGGAGATAGGGATGTCAGGCCAATAGCCAGCTTTTGCCAAGGGTGGGGGGGGGCATTGAGGGGGTTTGAATTTGACAATTTTGACCAACCTGAATCTCTTTGGCCATGTTGGCTCAGGGCCTGGCTATGGCACTATTTGAAGAGTTAACCCAGAGCTGATTATTTGAAATACATTTCAAGGGGATACTGTTGCTCCCCTTATACAAATTTACTGGCTGTCACAGCCCGCTGTCACAGCGCTCTCACAGCCCGCTGTCACAGCGCTCTCACAGCCCGCTGTCACAGCGCTCTCACAGCCCGCTCTCGCAGCGCTCTCACAGCCCGCTGTCACAGCGCTGCGACAGCGCTTTCACAGTGCTGCGACAGCGCTCTCACAGCGCTGTGACAGCCCATCGGAATGTACCATGCAAATGAGGCTGCGACAGCGCTCTCACAGCATTGCCATATATGGCATTGATTATGCATCCTTCCTACACATAAATTTTAGTTACCTATATAGCAACAAGACAAGAAGATAAGGGATATCAGAAAACATTTAGCTACCAAGACCCTGCATTTCCATCTAACTGATGACAATATATTTGCACCCTAGATCAAGTTTGCATTTAATTAGAAACTTACTTTATGGATTCAAGCCAGCTTATATATCCTATATGCACTCCTTATTTGGTTTTTGCCTTGAATTCCATTGTTCAGTTTGAAAGATGTGTATAGCTGTTATTGCACATGTACATGCAAAATTGCCCCAATTGTATCAATTTTATCCTTTATGATGCACTATAATGTCTATATGTGCTAATACATTGATATTTCAGACCTTTAGTTTAACCATGCAGTAAGTACTAACTTGCACAAAATTCATTTCATTTGATCCTTTTTCTTAGATCACTAGAACATTCCAAAGGTATCTATAAATAATCAGTAGTACAATACCTTACATATGCTTTGTAAATTAGTAATGATATGATGGCCATTTCAGCATAACTCCTTTGTTCTTTCCTCCTACAAAATTCCTGCTCTAACTGATTTTAAGTTTGAATTTTTTAACCCACAATGCATTGGTACTTCCTGCTGTGAGAGGGCTGTGAGAGTGCTGTGAGAGCGCTGCCACAAACTTTGGCTAAGAGAACATGTTGCTGTAATTGATCCAGCCACTTAATTACTGTCACATCCCTCTCGCAGCGATGGATGGAAATAGAATGCTGTGACAGCGCTCTCACAGCATTCTCGCAGCGTATGGATGTGAGAGGATTGTTGCTGAAATTGATCCAGCCATCATTTTAAGCCTATATGCTGTCACAGCGCTGCGACAGCGCTGTCACAGCGCTGTCGCAGCAATTATTTTCCGTAAGGGTCATAACAATTTTTACTTTTCAATAAACCCTTCCAGCTTTTGGTACATCAAAGAAGCTATCATATTATATTGGCTAGAGATTGATGATGTCTTATACGGTGGCAGGGTATATCTTGGAAAGGCCTATTACATGAATTGAATTCCTTATTTTTTCCACCAGGAAGACGAACCTCTCCAAAGTACTGAGGCAAATTCCCTTGGCCGACCAATCATCCCAGATGGAGTGATAGCAATGGGGCTAGGAAGAAAGACAACCACCAAAGATCAACCCAATAAGATCCATGACATAGCTGTCCACCCAAAAACAAACACCCTTAATACCATAGATGTAAATCAGCTGTACACCCCCAAAGATGATGCCAATAAAGAAAACGATGCAATTCACAATGTAGATGAGGCGGAGAATGCTGTAAAACTATTAAAGAAGTTCACTGACAATATGCTGGATGATGAGTTTATTGATGTGGTGAATAACTCATCAGATGATGACTCTAAAGATGGGAAGACGAAGGCTGATGGTGAGGTGGAAGATGAGGAAAATCCACTCCCAAAAAGTATCACTAAGAAAACTGATAAGTCCAACTCAGACTCAAAGATAAAATGTGATAAACCACCAAGCTCTGTCAGTATGAATGAAGACGCTGCAGCACCAAGGTCAAATGATGCGAACAACAAAGAGGATGCAGCGTCAACATTGGATGCATCAAGCAAACAGGACCTGGTAAAACACATGGCAATAGAGCTGATCAAATCAATAACACCAAAGAGCAGAAAGACAGCAACTGATAAAGGGTTGAGTGATGAATCTAAACATGATACAGAGAAGAAAGAAAAGAAAACACCTGATAATGACTGTCAAACCCAAGAGGACACAATTCCTAGCGAAGCAGAAATAGATGACTTGAGTGGAGATGAAGATGACTTAATATCAGATGAAAGTGTCCATTTAGATGACACCGATGATGAGAATCTTTCAACTAGTGTTACCCATTGGAAAATACAGATGGAAGATGATATTGAGCTCCAAGATGAGACCATTGATAAGAACAATAACAGCATGATGGAGCCAATCAAAACCCCAAGTGAGAAAAATGAAGATGCAACGAAAACGAAACATATTAATTTGGAACCAAAAGGAGATAAAGTAAATCCCGATGGAAAATCCATCGTATGTAGTAAATTAGGCAGCATTGTCCGATTCAAAGTGAAAAATCACAAAGATGTCTATAAGGGACAAAAGTTTAAAGTTGTTCCTCTTAAAACCCCAGTTACAACTAATCCATCTGTAGACAAGGCTACAGATGTACTGTCAAAGTGGGCCTCAGAAGTTGAGGTCAAAAATCAGAAAATCGTTGATCAGTTCAAAGAAAATGCAAAAAGCAAGGACCCGAAAACCACCTCATTTGGAGACTTTGTTACCACACCAGGAATTTGGACCACGATTACAGAACCGGGAAAGAGAGACAAGATCTGCATGAATAAGAAACTGTTGCAGAAATCAAAAGAGAAACGCAAAAGAAAACGAAGCTTGTCCATTGGAGAAACATCATACAATATGAAACCTGGTCCAATTGAGTTACATAAAAGACAGTCCCCATGTAAATTCCCTAAAAAAACAAAGCCAAATATCCCTGCACCAAGGGCTGTAAAATCAGATGGGAACCTTCTACAGTATGCATCGATGAGTGGAGATATTCCCATTATCCCAAAGGGTCTTCCTGCCTTACAGACCAACTGGATACCATACAGTCAACATGGTTATGTGCCCCTCCAAGCTCAAGAAAACGTACTGGCATTTATGAAGAATAAAACTGCGAGAAAGTCAAAATCTAACAAAGTACAAGGTGCTCAAAGGTCACAATCAGCAACATATAATGGTGCTGAAGATGCAACGGGAAATCACCACCAACGCATTATGAACCCACGAGCTAACTTCACTATTGCTACTCCGATGATGCCGAGATCAGAATTATCAAATATCCAGAGTCTACTTGCCAATAAGCCATCTGCGGTTAACTATCCCAGCGCAAGATACCCCCGCATGTTAAACACCCAGAATGCCCCTGCTCCACAGGGTCACCTTGGAAACCCATATAATACACAAACACCTCAGATGTCAACTGCTCAGCACCCAGTTGTACAAATATATGACCACTATAGCCAGAGTTTACTGTCCCCAGGTGGAGGGGACCAGCCAGAAATCATGTCCCTCGTACAAAAACAAAACAATTATCTATGCCCCCAAGTTTATTCTAAAAACAACCTACCTCAAAACGTCCATACCATGCCTCAAAATCCCCAAATTCAAAATGAAAGTAACCCTCCTCATGGGGTTTTATGGAGTCAAGGGAATGAGATCCATGTGCCAGAGGTCCTTCAAAACACACAGAAAGGATATTTGGCACTAGGTCCACAAGTCATTCAAGGTACACGAAAAGGCAAACTAACAATCCAACCACAAGTTCCTGACAACTCACAAAAGGGACAAATAACATTAGGGCCAGAGGTACTCCAAAATATACATAAGGGACAATTATTACTGGGATCACAGAAAGGACTACAAACACAGGGACAGGGGATGCAGACAACATTCAACTATGAAGGTAAATTTTTGTTCTAATTATATACCCAATATATACTTGCATTGTATACAATATACAATATGTAACACTAATCCTGATTGTAACACTAATCCTGATTGGTCAATGCCTAGTCACGTGTTCCGAAATAGATTTACTATTTCCCTCGGAAAGTTATATTCCCTCAAATGTGACGTCAGCGGGAATATACATTTGAACTATTGCCCGCTGACGTCACAATTGCAACTTCTTTACCCTTGGAAACGTCTGCGCATCATCACTGCGCAGACGAAAAACAGAAAAATGGAGGATGAGCACAAACACAAATCAACTCTGTTCACCATGACAAACGTGCGTGAACGATACAGTATAAGCAACGTGTATAAAGTTCCCTAAGCTCAATACGTCTGTGTAATTTCAAGTGTTATGATAATCTATTCCGCGTGTTAAACGCGATTGAATTTGTCAAGTGAGAGTCTCAGAGGCAAACATTTCTGTTGAGCATCTGATGACGTTACAGCTTATAATGCTAACAATGGACCCGGGGAGGGGGCTTTCTAAGCCTTTTTGGCCTTCGCAGAGGAAACGGGACAAGAGTCAGTATAGGGTATATAATAAAACAAATAGTGACTGCCTAATTTCGAGCAATAGTGTAAATGATTTCCCCTTGGGAATATCCTCTACAATGTACTATTCCCGAAGCCGCAGTCACTATTTGTATAATATTAACCTCTTCATGTCCTGGAGTGACAAGATTTCTCGTCACCTCAGAAATGATCTTGAAACCCAGAGCAACGAGAAAATCTGTCACAAAATTGCTAACTAAAATTGCTCTTATTTGAACAATTTCCATCAAATTTACACCAAATTTTTTTAAAATGTGTAGAAATGATCTCTGCCATCTAATTTTACTAAGTTGAGCATCTAAAGTTGTATAGGTATGTCAAAAGGTGGCAGAAACAAAACATTCTCTGGTTTCAATTGATTTTAGAATTAGAGCCTGGGATTCAAGAGGTTAAAAGAAAAGATATTCTAAGAGATAACTACATCAATGTTGAAGCTAAAAATAGTCTAGAAGAAGTTCAGAATGCAACTTAAATACACCATAATCTTGCACACGGTTGATTGAAAGACTGTCTTCACACATATTGTGTCATACTTTACATAACATCCACAATAGTTCAACTGTGTCATACTCTAGAAGTTTGAACTATTGTGTCATACTCTACATGGAAGTCTGGACTATTGTGTCATACTCGAGGAGTCTGAACTCTCATGCCATACTCTACATGAAAGTCTGAACTTTTGTGTCAAGCTCTACATGTAAATCTGAAATCTCATGACATTCTCTACATGAGAGTCTGAACTATTGTCATACTGTACATGAGAGTCTGGACTATTGTGTCATACTCGAGGAGTCTGAACTCTCATACCATACTCTACATGAAAGTCTGAACTTTTGTGTCAAACTCTACATGAGAGTCTGATCTATTGTGTCATACTGTACATGAGAGTCTGGACTATTGTGTCATACTCGATGAGTCTGAACTCTCATGCCATACTCTACATGAAAGTCTGAACTTTTGTGTCAAACTCTACATGAAAATCTGAAATCTCATGACATTCTCTACATGAGAGTCTGAACTTTTGTGTCAAACTCTACATGAAAATCTGAAATCTCATGACATTCTCTACATGAGAGTCTGAACTTTTGTGTCAAACTCTACATGAAAATCTGAAATCTCATGACATTCTCTACATGAGAGTCTAAGCTTTTGTGTCATACTCTACATGGAAATCTTAACTGTCATCCCATACTCAACATAAAGGTCTGAACTATTGTGTTATACTGTTTTTCAGGCTGCGATGTGCCAGTGGAGTGTACTCAAGGATTCTATGAAGGATGGTGTGATCCCAGCATGCAATACAACGGCACACCCTACAACAATACCTCCTTCATGTCTCCTACAGGTTTTACTGGTGAGCTCTACATCCCCCCCCTTCCATTAGTTTGTCAACATCCTTGCTGGAAAGTGTGTTTAAAGCATGTTTATGGCTCAATCTCAACTATTGTTTGTTTTTGAAAATACCTTCAAAATAATGTCCAGGGTGTTTACTACAAGGGAAAAAACAAGAAATTATGGTTTACCTTCATTTGAATCATTAGGGCATCTAGTTAATGAACACCATTAAGTACCAGCCCGGCTTTCCAAATTTTTATTTTTCATGACCTCATTGGTCATTTTGAGCATGTTAATTCCATCCATTAAGCACAATCTGATTTCATTGACATAGTTGTTAATGGTTTGTAATTTCAGGCACTGGTAGCTGAAAATATATACAACTTACACATCACAAACTGACGATATTATTATCGTGTGCTGAACTATGACATGCAACATTTTGTGATACTGGTCAAGGTTTCACTGAAACCCCTCAACACAATATTTGCCAGTTGCTCAAGCCAAAGTGAAACATTGCTGGATAGTTTGCCAAAAACATTCCATTTAAATATGAACTTTGTGCCAAATGTTGAAAGGCATTATAAAATGCACATTGTGCCAAGTGCATCATAATGTGAACATTGTGCCAAATCTTGAAGTGCATTATAATGTGAACATTGTGCCTAATCTTGAAGTGCATTATAATGTGAACATTGTGATAAATCTTGAAGTGCATTATAATGTGAACATTGTGCCTAATCTTGAAGAGCATTATAATGTGAACATTGTGCCTAATCTTGAAGTGCATTATAATGTGAACATTGTGCCAAATCTTGAAGTGCATTATAATGTGAACAGTGTGCCTAATCTTGAAGTGCATTATAATGTGAACATTGTGCCAAATCTAGAAGTGCATTATAATGTGAACATTGTGCCAAATCTTGAAGTGCATTATAATGTGAACAGTGTGCCTAATCTTGAAGTGCATTATAATGTGAACATTGTGCCAAATCTAGAAGTGCATTATAATGTGAACAGTGTGCCTAATCTTGAAGTGCATTATAATGTGAACATTGTGCCAAATCTTGAAGTGCATTATAATGTGAACATTGTGCCAAATCTTGAAGTGCATTATAATGTGAACATTGTGATAAATCTTTAAGTGCATTATAATGTGAACATTGTGCCTAATCTTGAAGTGCATTATAATGTGAACATTGTGATAAATCTTGAAGTGCATTATAATGTGAACATTGTGCCAAATCTTGAAGTGCATTATAATGTGAACATTGTGATAAATCTTGAAGTGCATTATAATGTGAACATTGTGCCAAATCTTGAAGTGCATTATAATGTGAACATTGTGATAAATCTTGAAGTGCATTATAATGTGAACATTGTGATAAATCTTGAAGTGCATTATAATGTGAACATTGTGCCTAATCTTGAAGTGCATTATAATGTGAACACTGCTAAATCTTATACTGCATTATAAAATGCACAAAAGTCAAATCTTTAAGTTTATTATAACATTGGAAGGAAATACAGGAAACCTTCACAGATTATTTCTTCTTTTTTGATTTTTTCTTAGTTTGTTGTTACAAGTTGACTTTGTAATAAAACAGAAATACATAAATTATTTTCAGATTTAGTAACACTTTATTGTGTCATTGAATTTTCTATGGTCTATATGTCCATTTTGGTACATTGAATACACACTGTACATATACAATTCATTTACATTCATAGAGATATACATGTACCACAATATTACAATACAAATTGTCGCTTTATATTACTCTATGGCACATCTATTTATATGTTTATACATTTAGTGTGCGCCTCTATTTACATCTATACACCCTATGAGCACTCAGCTGTAGCCAATCGAACATACGGTTTCATTAACCAATCAAATAAACCGTATCATTAGCAAATGAAATGAACTGTAACAATAGCAAATCAAATGTATCATATCATTAGCCAATGAAATGAACCATATCAATAAACAGAATGTTTCATTAGCCAATCAAACATAGCGTATAACTAACCTATCAAATGTAACCATAATAACCAATGAGTTATTTCCTCCATTTAATATCTTTCAAACAGAACTTGTGGACTTCGAATCGCGAGCTTGAGTTTCCGATTCAAATATTGAGCTGAATATCAGAGTATGACATACATTTTACTTAATCACACTTTTGGGTGATGATAAACCTCAATTTATTTACAAATGTGAAATAAAGTCATTCTTGAAAAAATATGCAAAAAAGTCATGCTCAATTCAGAATTCACAACACATGTTATGATGAACGAAATATAACATACTCAGACGAAAACATGCTCAAAATGGAAGATTGGGCTACAGCTGACTTGCTTTATCCAACCAGATTTACATGATTTGTATAGCTTACAATATCTTGTGAAAAATCCTAAACCAACTATTCATTATTCTCACCTATAAATTCATAGGTCCTTTAAATATTACAGCTACATGTTATTTATACATCAAATGAGACATACATTTCTCAAATTTCTGGTACATTTAATAAACTGTGTTTTGTAAATAGTAAACACATCAAAGTCGGTTGCTATAGTATTATCTGACGAGTAGATATAAATTTAAGTTTTTTAATTATCTTATTTGAATGGATATCTTCAACCCAAAGGACCCTTTATTGCAGTTAACAATAATTGTTTCATACATGTAACATACTGTTACATTCATCGAAACTCAGATACTGTAACCATGCTTAATATGTGATAAATATATGAGGGTTAGGTTATGGGATGTTTTAGATATGGGGTATATTCTGAAGGAAATATAGACTGATAGATACCTTCCCAAGGATGCATACAAATTACTCACTCAGAAGCTCAATGTGAACCCCTACGGTCACATTAGCTATGGTTACAGGATCGTGGCAAACAAGCTCATGCTATCATAAGATATTGTTCATAACTTTGTATTTAGGACGCTGAGCTTGCTAGCCCCGTGTCTTTGGCAGCCACTGATAAAGCTCATGGTACCAAAAGATATTGTTTAATACCCATGTATTTAGGATGTAGATAACACTGTTAAGTCGTATGTACATTGAAAACAACTTTCATTTGGCAAATATGTTACATGTTGAAAAAATTCAATGTTTGAATCAGTGTAAGACTGGTCTTAACCCTCATCAAACTCAAAGATAAGCCCAAAAACAAAAATAAAATTTAATTTTCTCTCAAATTTTATGCTTCAACGATTAATGAAAAACAGTCCATATCTAAGACTTCATCAAAATGCAAGTTTGTATGAGTGTTTAAAAATATTTAAGCATGTTATAAATTCACACCATGCATGACTATAGCCACATACAGTTGGATGAGGGTTAAAGATATCCAAAGAATTAAACATTAAACAGCTTGGAGGATAGTTTTTCACAAAACTGACTTTATTTTACAACATTGATCGTCAGCATGGAATGTTTTGTTAATTTTCAACTTTTGCGAGTGAAAAAAGAAAGCAAAGTGATTTTACTTTTGTTATCTTTATGTCTTTTTGTTTGATAAAAAGCATTTCTTTTGATGGGGATAAATGTATAATCTTCAAGAAATTTGATCCCAGAGTATCTGAATTTTGCCATTTCCCTAAAATAGCCACCGGTTACATGGAGTATAATCAGGTTCATATATATCCACCACACGTGCAGGGTTACTAGAAAATTCATTCCCAGAATCCCCATGATGAATTCTTCACTTGGTGGTCAAAAATGTATCATTGTATTTTCAGATAATATTTTTCACAACGACGAATAATTACATAAATTTGGGTAATATTCTACATAATATTGATACAAGATGCATATTTATTTTTATCTCATGCTATGAACTGAAATTAAAAAGTGAATAACAATGGAATATAGGAATATACAAAAGTTGAAAAAGTATGGACTGTACACCCTTTCATGGAATAACATATACAAATATGGTTTAGACCTAGGCCCTACAGGGTGTTCAAAAAATACTAGAAAATCTGATCAATCCTAGAACTTTTTGGACACCCTTTACATACAACAATGAGCGTTAAGTGACTACACTCTTTGAAGAATTTCACTTGAAAATAAAAACAAACAAAAAAACGTGATGTAAACATACAATTCACTATAGCCTAATAATAGAAAACCAACAGTTCATTAAATGTGACAGCCATGATCATCACTAAGACAGTCATGATCATTAAGACAGCAATGATCATAATTAAGACAGCCATGATCATCATTAAGACAGCCATGATCATCATTAAGACAGCCATGATGAAAAGTAAATCACTGCACAATGTACAATAAACCTAAGGGCTGCACTATGCCTAACTAGGAACAATGGGCAATACACTAGTTTCCCCCCATCCCTTCTTTAAATGGCAGGAAGGGGTCTACCATTATGAGGTACAAGGGTCCCCAAAAAGGTAGACTGACATAATGTGTACAGTTTATTACAGCTCAAATTTTATAGGATACAACGATTCAATAATAAGCTCATCATCTGAGCCAAAAATGACTAAACACTCAGAATTCTGGTGCTACAAATACTCCCCTCAAATGTCTCCAAACTTAACAAAATATCACTGGAATCACCCATATAACGACCCCTCGGAATAAATACTTGCATAATGATGTAGACCAGTGATAGAACAGGTCCACATGGAAGCAAGTAATTGGTTTTCAAATGGCTCACTCAGTGTAACAACTAGAGGTGTAACTCCCGAGTCAGTAACTCGAGTACAGCTCGTCAGAGCTGCCTATACATTGGCTCGAGTTGTCCTCTAGAAACTCGCAATCTATTTCAACTCGCGAGCTAGCTATAACTCGAGTCAACTCGCGAGTTTTGCCTATCTTGCAAGCATGTAAAATGAATTCGGGTCCCAGAGATCGTGCAACATTACTTCATTAGTGGAACAAATATACCAATGATCGCCATATTTAGCGCCCGTCACCTAAAAACACTCTCAAAGCTTCACAAAGTTCAACAAATATCGTGGAATGAAGAGTTACACCAAAAAATCAGAAAAAGATCGACTATCGAAGGAACTCAACGGGCGATAATAGAGTAGTCACTAAAATTGAATAAAAATGGCCCCCTTATTCTCACGTCGTTTACACGACTTTTACATAAAAAAGATGATCTATCATTAAATTAAGATCATAAGTCTTAACTTTAGATCGATAACCAGCAGTCTTTAGTATAAATAATGAAGATAATCCGGGAAAACCATTCATTAATTTGAGGGGCCCTTCTGGGTTTTCTAAAATATTGTTTGGTTAGATTCTAGCGATCTCTCGTCCTTACCGTATGTGGTGACGTCTATACCAGATCGTTTTTGATTGAAATATGAGATAACTGCAATGAATACCACACTTTCTTATGGCCTCAACGTGTTAAACACCTTTTAGATGAGATTAAACCAGATAAACTTGCCGCTTGAAGTTACAGTAATTTTTATACCCGGGTTTACAATATGTACTGGACGAAATGAATGAACTCGAGTTTTACTCGAGTTTTGGAAATATTTGGCAAGTTGAACTCGAGTTGGATTTTTCTGGCGAGTTACACCTCTAGTAACAACCACCCAGAGAATAAGATTCAGAATTAACAGTTCATTGCCAGTGAAGAGGGAGGGGGATACCCCAGAATGTATAAATGTTTTCTTTACATACATGTTCATCTTTAGTATTCTTTACATAGAGATAGGTTCACCTATGAATTATGGGGCATTTCCTCTTTTGCCAAAGGCAACCATTTGGAAAAAACTGGTTGCCTATATATGGGCAATATGGGCCAAACTGTTTTCAATGTTAGCACTGAACCCTGCATGGAAGTTTTCAGTGTTTGTATCATTTCTAATTGTTTCCATTTCCACATTCATCATCATGTAGCTTTCTAGCATTTAAGCCTTTTTAATCTTATTGTCCTATAGTTAGTCCTTGCCTTCATTTTTTATTTGGAATCCATTGTGAGGCTCAGGTATGAACCTGAAGTACTTTCAAATTCTTCTGTTTGCAATTCTCTAGACGCACTACTCCATCATAGTCCATGTTGTTAAATGTCTGGATGACATATTTCGGTTCCCAATGGTTTCATTATATCAGCTTTCAATTGGTATCTCACTCATTTCAGCTTTCAATTGGTGTATGTGTCTGTTTTATTAGAGTTGTGTTTCTAATAAATCGCAAATAGTTTGAGAAACTGAATCTTTACTACATCTTGCGGTGAGTCGGTACATCTGAAGTAAAAAAAATTCACAAAGTAAGTTGAATAGTCAAAATAATCATAAAAATACTCTAACTAGAATAGTCAAGTCCAAAAATAGGTTGAGTCAAATCATGCAAGCAAATTAGAAATTATCACTCCACAAGGATTAGTATTGGATAAAAACTTTAGTTTTGATCAAATTGCACGTTTGTAAAAATGTTTATCTTTTTTTCAGAAATATATAAATGTACGTGCAATTATGAGAATTGTCTTGCATTAAGTTTTTGTGTAGCCACCACTAGTATTCTACTTCTAGACTTTTATGCAAGTTAAGGAATAAAATAGAAAATAACCTAAGTGCCCATACATAATTTACAGTGTAACCACTAGGTGGCTCTGTGAGGATCTATGTGACTTAATATGTTTTCCAAGAAAATTGAAGTTTCAAAACTAAAAAACTTTAAAACCACATTTTTATATGCAATTTAGTACGACTTTTTTAGATTTCAAATATGATATCACTCTGACAAAAATTTTAAATCAATAGTATATCTAGTTTATTGAGAGGGGATTTGATGCAAGATGTTAATTAGGCTAATTAGCTAATGAGTTCCTCATTTGCTATGAATATTAGTGCTTAATTAATTCAAAAGGGAGCAAATTAGAACAAATACAGTTAATCGTTATACTGTATGTTTTATTGAGGAGCATCAAAATAATTATTTTTGATTTAATTGGTTTAATTAGCAAAGCTGCAGATGATCAAAGCTAATTAATTGGTGATTAAGAAAAATGACTGGACTATTATGCATGTACAAATAACAAAAAAGTATTCCATCAATTAATGATTTTCAATACACACATAATAATATTTTTTAATTGAAAAGTCAGTGCATGGTTATGTGAAAATGTGAAGGGATTATTTGTTATAAATGTGAAAATTAATAACCAATGTGAAACCTGGATGGTTATGTGAAAATGTGAAATAACTATATGTTATAAATGTGAAAGCAATGTGAAAATGTGAAATAACTATATGTATAAATGTGAAAGCAATGTGAATTCTGTCATGGGCTGCAGAGAAGAAATACAGACATTCTTAGTTATGTAATTTCAGTAACTTCCCAGACTGGATTTGTTTGGCTTAAGGTAGCGGAACTATTTGAGCCATCTATTTTGTATTTATAATTTAATTGCTTAAGTGTGAGTCAGTTATGAGAGGGATTCATGTCCTAGTCAGACATTGATATTATCTTAAAGGATAAAAGGGAAATTTTGAGTTATCTGGTTTATGTTTGGCCAAGCAGGCCGGGTTCGGCGAACCCCCCCCCCCCAGCCAAAAATTCTTTCAAAATCATGCGGTTTTCACCATTTTGAGCACTTCTCAAGTGATTTTAGCCATATTTGGGCCAAAATTGTCAAATGTGAACCCCCCCTGGAAAATTTTGAAAACTGAACCTCCCTTGGCAAATCCTGGCTATGGGCCTGCCAAGCAACACATTTTAAGAATTTTCATAACTAAGAATGTCTCTAGCTCTAATGGTGCACCAGAAGTGATAGGTAACGAGATAAAGAAACTACCACAAGACAAAGGAGATCATATTAAAGTTTTAAAGTTGCGTCTCGAGAAGAGTTGCCATTATTCTCGAAACATCATCTTTGCTGGTTCTGACAGTTAGTCTCAACATCTGTTAATAAACGTAAAAATTAATGAATACTGTATTCCGCTTTAATTTGGCGTTATATGACTTTTGGGGATACTGGACATACTGTTGTCTATTCAATCTGGTGTTTTTCAAGGGGTCTCTTCGTAAATCTTTTTTTAATAATCTAAATGAGTATTTTGATGACAATTTAAAATGGTTACAATTTTGATTCGCCAAATTAAAGATGAATACAGTATTCAATGTTTTATAAAACCAATAATTTATTTCTTCATTGGTTTTAAGTATAACATGCATGCAGATAAAAACAAATAAAAAATAATAATTATAAATAATAATTATAAAAAATGGTTAAAAGTGCAGGTCTAGTAAAAAATAGAAGAATAAACTATTAAGAACAACTAATTAAAGGAATTCAAGGCAAAAACTACAAAACTACAGTAAAAATCAAGAAAAAGACAACATGTAATCAATGGGAACAAAAAATGTTCAAAGATACAGAACTATAAGCCGCTCCTTATTAACTTTGCCCATTTCAAGCCAATAATAGACCCTAGGGCTTCATCATAATCTACAGTATATAACATAATAAAATACCATGCAATCATTTGACCCCTAACATAATCCATACAATTATACGAAGAAAGTTTCCATGTACCTGTGCCTGGTTGTTGGGCTCCAATCTAACGAGACAGCCAATCTGTTGATTCCTCGTGTGTAATATAGATGCGCACACAAAGTTCACTGGATTAGGGTCAACCCCATCAAGTACACCCAAGCAAAATCCAAGTAACTGAAATCATAATTTATATTCAATTATTTATGTTATTAGAAAATAAGACTACATAAATACTGAATTTTGTCAAATGAAATCACATCTGAGACCTCTTTTACCTCTCGACTACCCAGGGTGACAAGATTTCTCGTGATGAGAAAATCCGTCACAAAACTTTTCACTAAGTTGCTCTTTCTTGAACAATTTTCACCCAATTTACACAAAAATTGTTTTAAAATGTCTAGAAATGATCTACATCTAATTTTACTAAAATGAGCACCATCTGTTGTATATGTATAAAGTAAAATGTCAAAAGCTGGCAAAAATGAAAAAATCTCTGGTTTCAACCGATTTTGGAACCTGGGATTCAAGAGGTTAAAGTGTTCCAATTGGAAGTGTTACAGGTTCCATTACATTAAGCCAATTAACATCGAGTCAATTGAAAACTGCAAATATGGAGTTTAGACACAATGAACTAAATAAATGATTTCAACATCTTTGATCAAGTTATTTTCAGTACAGATTTACTCTCAACGCACATAGGTAGGCGTTCCACTTCACAAGTTTTTTGTACAATGCATTGTATGTTTTTATTGTATGTTTGTTACGATACCTTCAGTTTAATGGTTTCAGTGTCCATGGGATGTTGTGCTTTGAAGATTTTCTGACATTCTTGTCCAGGGCTGAAAATATCAAACAATTCATTACCTCCTGAAATAAGCTTTCATATGATATATTACATCCAACAATTCATTAACCACTTGAAATATAAGCTTTCATATGATATATTACATCCAACAATTCATTAACTTCTTGAAATATAAGCTTTCATATGATATATTACTAGGGTATATCGCCATAATGACAATTGGCAAAATGGCACCACCTGTAATTTATTATAGGCCCCGACCACCAAACACCAACCACCGTACACCATCCACAAACATGCTGGAGACCATAACAATGCTATGGTATTCAATAAATTTTTAATAAGTGAAACCTTACCTTGAAAGTGACTTCCACCTATTGAAGAAATCTTCAGAATTCATTACTGCCGGAGTTAGGAACTTATTCACCGTCAAAGGTAGCTTAACTCTGAATGCTTGCGGGGCACCGTTGTTTCTAAAATAATGCAAAACACAGGTAAATACGATATAAAACCCATGTAAGTGAGGCATTAAAATATCTAAATAATGCCTTAAACTGTCATACATAAAATTACTGGGAGCTTTTGACTTCTTTCATAACGGGGCACTTATTATGGTCAGGATGAGGTTTTTTGAATTTTCGAAGAGTCCCAGGAAGTAATTACAGAGAATATGGTAAGACATAAGACACACATATATATATATATACATAATGCCTAAAATTCACATGAATAGTAAATACTGCATAAAACTTATTGTAAAAGGGAGTAAAACAATTGTAAAATGAATTTCTGATTCCTGAGATGGATTTTACAATAAAATCAATTTGATTATAAGTAATAAATTGCAAAGGATTTATTCAGAGGTAAATTTCAAATTATGCCTTGGTCACATTTGCTCCGATCCATCGGCCGGCGCCCGCCCGCCTGAGTGTTTTGTTCAACATTGTGTTCAGTTTTGAACAAAATACTCAATCGGCCGGGTGTCGTAGAGAAAATTGGAGCAAATGTGACCAAGGCATTACTAATTAATTTCATTATATGAATACAATGGTGATGCACTCACCTGAACAGAATGCTAAGTTAGGATGCTTAAAATTGAAATCAAGTTTGGGTGCTATTAAAAAAAGTCTAGGTGCCATGGGGTAGCAGAATGGAGACTTTAAGCAATGCATATAAAATCGAAACGTCAACCTGTACGCACAAATTGCCCCATACACAAAATTACTCACATGAACTCAAAGCTAAGTACAGGTGCTTAAAATTGAAATCAAGTTTGGGTGCCATTAACTGAACGTCAAGGTGCCATAAGGTGACACAAAATTACTCACATGAACTCAAAGCTAAGTAGAGGTGCTTAAAATTGAAATCAAGTTTGGGTGCCATTAACTGAACGTCAAGGTGCCATAAGGTGACACAAAATTACTCACATGAACTCAAAGCTAAGTAGAGGTGCTTAAAATTGAAATCAAGTTTGGGTGCCATTAACTGAAAGTCAAGGTGCCATAAGGTGACACAATATTACTCACATGAACTCAAAGCTAAGTACAGGTGCTTTATATTGAAATCAAGTTTGGGTGCCATTAACTGAACGTCAAGGTGCCATAAGGTGACACAAAATTACTCACATGAACTCAAAGCTAAGTAGAGGTGCTTAAAATTGAAATCAAGTTTGGGTGCCATTAACTGAAAGTCAAGGTGCCATAAGGTGACACAATATTACTCACATGAACTCAAAGCTAAGTACAGGCGCTTTATATTGAAATCAAGTTTGGGTGCCATTAACTGAACGTCAAGGTGCCATAAGGTGACACAATATTACTCACATGAACTCAAAGCTAAGTACAGGTGCTTCATATTGAAATCAAGTTTGGGTGCCATTAACTGAAAGTCAAGGTGCCATAAGGTGACACAAAATTACTCACATGAACTCAAAGCTAAGTACAGGTGCTTCATATTGAAATCAAGTTTGGGTGCCATTAACTGAACGTCAAGGTGCCATAAGGTGACACAATATTACTCACATGAACTCAAAGCTAAGTACAGGTGCTTCATATTGAAATCAAGTTTGGGTGCCATAAACTGAAAGTCAAGGTGCCATAAGGTGACACAATATGCAATATTACTCACATGAACTCAAAGCTAAGTACAGGTGCTTAAAATTGAAATCAAGTTTGGGTGCCATTAACTGAAAGTCAAGGTGCCATAAGGTGACACAATATTACTCACATGAACTCAAAGCTAAGTACAGGTGCTATGGTGAATTCTGAAATGCACTCCGAGTTCAGAATTTGTTGTTTTTGACTTCCACCTTCTATCGTTGGATCAACATCTTTCAACTGAACACTTAGCCCTGATGCTAGTTAAGGAATATCTCATCAAAATTTCTAACAAATTTTTCAAGTAGTTCATTTGGATAATTTAAAGACTAATAATATTTCATCATATAAGGACTGAAGGAATATCTCATCAAAATTTCATGTTCTTACCAATATTTTTTTTACGAAGTTGTACATTGACTTACAATTCAAAAATTTTACAAATCAAAAACATTGATTTTTTTTTTAATAAAGTTGTACATTGATTAATATCTCAACAAATTTTTGGCAAATCTGAACAGGTTGTCAATGATATGACTACATTTTTCAGCAGGTATGGCCTGAATGACATGGATGATCTGCTTTTTGAGGTCTGCAGTTGTCCTGAGGTTATTCTCGTACACTCTTTTTTGGTGTATCACCACAGGTTGAAGTTAGGTAGGGACATTTTAGATGATAGGTGCAGGTTTGCCGAAAGTGCAATATTTGCCAATGGAGCATGTTGTTTAAAGTGCTGTAATATTGTGACTATCAATTTGATGGTCATGAAATATGGAAGGCTGGTAGGAAATTGAATGATGTACAAATGTGCTAAATATTAGGGAGTAATTTCCTAAAATGACAAAGATATGAGGAAAATGGCGACAGGGTTTCCATATTTTTTGACCACCCTGTAGATTTCATGAAAATACAAATTCAAAAATACATGTCAATGTGTCCAGTTGACACTCTGATGATGAGCATATCAGAAAGTGTCAACTAACTTCTAATTCTTAATCCTCATCTTCCTGGAGACATTTTGAAAAATAATTCCTTAATGCAAATTTTTGCCATTTTAAGTCGGGAGAATAATTATCATTCAGTACAGAAACACACTATAAATGCACATGTTGAAAATACACACATTGGAAATGCACACCTTCGAAATTCACACATTAAAAATGCACATATTGAAAATATGCATGTTAAAATGAAAATTCACAACTGGAAATGTACACATTGAAAATGCACACATTGAAAATGCACAAATTGAAAATGCACATATTTATAAAAGGATATTTTCTTTCAGATCTCCGGGGTAAGACACCTCTGTCAGAAAAGCTGCGAAGGTAGTAGTTGTCTTATTGCCATAGAACAGCGTTACCCGGGCAAGGTTCTGGCGGTATTCCGACTTCATACCAACTTGCAGTAAATTATTTTCAAATATTACACCAGAGTTTTTACATATAAATCTGAAAAAGAAAAATTGAAACAGTTATTTAATTAATAAGACAGGATTCTCTGTCTGACATAAAATAACCAAAAAAGCCCACTCATCCTTTTATTTAACATGGGTTATTTAGCAAATAATACATTTCTTGGAGCAATGGGCTAAACTGTACTTGAATTACGAAACTATTTTGACAAAAATTGTCTTTAACACTGAATTCAGGAATTGGAATTCACACTTTTTTTCAAGCAAGTCACCAGCTTATTCTGGCGTTGAAATACATTGTAAGTATCACCCCTTTCAATACTTTGTATGAGTGAAAATATCAACAGTTCATAGCAATTGTTATCATATATATTACTTTAGATGATACAACAGTGATCTCACCAGCATTAAAGCAAGTGGGCGCAGCACCCACCTGAGATTTTAAAAAACAGGCTTGCACCCAACTGAAAATCCATTTTCACCCACTTGAAAATGAGAAAAATCATGAAAACTTGGCATTTTCGACCAATTTCAGTGTGAATTGTGAAAATGAGAATTTTGCACCCACTTGAGAAAAAATCCTGTGGAGATCACTGTACAACGACACTGGGAACAATACAACACTTACTTATTAAAATGTTCCTCATCGACGACTCCAGCTCCGACATTATTACTAGTGGGTGGTGCAGGTGTTGGGTCACCAAATATATCGAGTAAGACAGCTGAGGCTGGTGGGCCGCCATTGTTGAGTGCATTTGGAGGGGCAGAGGTTGCCACGGGGGTAGAGAGGCCCAGGAGGTCATCTGAGGTTGCAGCGGGGGCGGCTGGAGCCTGTGAAGGAGGGTCAGTTTGAAACAAACTAGCAACAGGTTCCTAAATGTATTTGCATGCATTGTTATTATTGCATGCAGAAATGTGACAACTAGACTACAGGCAAGCTCTTTAAAGACCCCATGTAAAGTTTGAAAATATGTTTTATTCTACAATGAATAGACTATTAAAAAAATACTGGTATGGAAATTCATTGTTCTACAATTAGAATGTTGAAAATCAAAATCCATTAATCCCTAATACATGCATATTTTTAGAGCTTACTCAACAAGATGTATATCTCAGGAGATTTACAAAATTGAATTGAATATTGAATAAAGCCAATTAAGAATGATAACTCTTAGTTGGTAATTTGGAAACAAACTGATTTATCAAAACTAAGAATTGATTTTATGAAGAAAGGAATATGGTAGAAAAGTATCACCTCAATTTGAAAGAAAAATGTCACCACAATTCTCAGCAATGATAATTCTACATAGTTGGCTTTTGACCAAATGAGATAAATGCAAAACAAAACCCAAAAGAACTTTACACTTACAACATTGACATTTGCATCAGGGGTAGCTCCAGAATTGACCTGTGCTGTTGGCATCGTCTTTGGCTTCTCCCCTTCTTCCTTCACTGCTGTTGGTTTCTTCTTCTTCAACTTGGCCAAGATGGAGGACTCCCTCTCTGGGAATGCGGGCATCTCTTCCAATACTGTGGCCTGCGTGATGGAATCAAATATAAATCAGTAATTTATTTAGTTTTCATGTTGAGGGGTTTCAATACGTCTTCAGACTTATAACTGAATTATGGACCAGGATCGAGGACTCCTTAATTAAAAAAAATTTGAAATTGGTAAAATTAGATTCTTTGAACACAACATTGTCTGAAATGAAGAAATTAAAAATATTTTGAAAATCAGACCTTGGCATGATAAATAAAAAATCATCAGAAATATTTAGAAATGACTTACCAGTACATCTGTAGAAGTGACAGATGTTAACTGGAGATATTCAATTGCACGCTGCTGTAGTTCAACATCTGCATTGCGCACTTGGTTGTTACTCCTAAACACCTGCAAACAGAAAAACATTCATTCTTGTAATCAGTAAGTGAGGTAACTTTGTAATTTGTGAGTAAATTTGAATTTAAATGGATTAAATTTTAATCATGGAGTTGGGATCATAAGTCCTCCATTTCACACCATTTTTTATAAATAAGTAATAAATATCTGTAGATCAAAATTTGTAATTTTTGCACCATTTTAATTTTCTTTATCATTTATTTAATTCATTCTTACCTCTTGAATTTGTGGTTTTATTTCTGGGAAGAGATTGATAAATTTGACATAGGTTGAGAGTAAGAGCCCCCTGGTGGCGGGACTACACAGGTGGAACTTTGAGTGGAGAAGCTGGAACTGAACGAGGGGACTTGATCTAGGATCACCTGCTATTAGGTTACCAAATTCACCTGGAAATACAATGTTCACATTCACAAGTAATCACGAAATATATTAGTGGTTAGTTATTTGATTATTTAGATCTGATGAAAAATGTCAACACCTGATAAGTTATTTCAAAGGGTTACAAAAATGTAACAATACGTCACAGCAGTTGACTCCAAACACTAAATAAATACACTTCACAATATATTGCCACTTCTCGCGTGGACACAAGACACTGCACTTCTATATTTATAAAAATTCAATATAGTCTGCTTTACAGTTAAATTCTCGGCCTATTGGTCAACTTACCTAGAATATAACCGCCAACTTTCACCATGTTTTCATGGCAAGCTGGGGCTTGGAGAGCTTCAAATACTGTTTTGGCGGCATATCCCTGGACATCATCTCTGTTTATTACTATCTGGATTACACGATACCAAACCTGCAAAGATCATCAAAAATACATATCATTATATTTATGTGAAATACTAGACAAGGAAAGAATTTATAAATATGTGAACTTTCTGAATTACATGATAACACACCAGCGAAAATTATGAATTTTATTTTTCAAATTCCTTATCATTTTGTTCACAATTTTGAACTCTTTGAAAAACACATTAATATGAGCATACTTTCACTAACTTTACAACTGAATTAAATCGGTCGGATGACAAATTCTTACCTCTTCACTGACATAATCTCCAGCGACCCTGATGAGATTGAGAATGGTGTCCACAAACCAGGTGTAGTCAACTGCATACTTTTCTGCCAAAATGGCCACCTTTAACACCTGCAACCAGAATTTAATCACTCATTGTTATACATACTTTCATCGTATAGATTGCCAATTGCCTTTATGACATTATAGACCAAGCTGTGCAACTAGACTCATACCATTTAACAATATTACAAGACACCCAGTGATAAATATCGCACGTTAAAGAGCAAAATGGACGCCATGTAGTTTACCCAGCATGCCCAAAACCTAATCAGATCTTGGCACTAGTCTGCTCTTACATCTGTAAAGATTTCCATTTGAACAGGTAAGTGATTTTTCTGGAACTTTGGTGATGACAAGCCCAGGCCCGTAGCCAGGGGGGTTCGATGGCCAAAAATTCTTTCAAAATCATGCAGTTTTTCACCATTCTGAGCACTTTTTAAGTGATTTTGGCCATTTTTGGTCCAACAATGTCACAAGTGAACCACCCTGGAATTTTCAAAAAGTGAACCCCCCCTTGGCAAATCCTGGCTACGGGCCTGAAGCCTCATGTGAAGCCTGCCTGCCCACATGCCTGCACATTCAACAGCAGAAGACAATGACAATACAATGACAATACAATGACAATACAGCACTTTGAAAATATGTTATAACAAGGCATTAACATGCAAAATGTCACCACCTGCCATTTGCTACAGATACCAACCCCTGATGCAGACCGTTACAGTCCACAAAAAAGTTGGAGACTTTAACACTTGTGTTGGTGATGTAAAAATGGACAGAGCAAACCTACCATTTCTTCCCTTATTGAGTAATCTGCAGTCTCCAGGTAGGCCAACATCTCAGCCACAATCTCCTGGGCATTAGTACGATCACACATGGCGTACAACAAATCTACTGCCCTCTGGCGAACACTAACATCTCTTTCCGTCTGAAACAACAAACAAAAGCACATTGAAAGAAGATCTCAATGAGATCTTACAAATACTGTATGTATTTCATTAGGCTTATTCTTTCTTGTTCTTTTAAACTACACAAATTGCAGACATTCAAATTTTTCTAATTTGATGAATTTTTAAATTGTCAAACATGAAACAGGCTTCAATAACTGACACAAAAGGGGACTTCCAGTTACCAAACTTATTTGGGGGAGTGTTGATATAGATATTTATTGTATGATCTGTAAAATGAAGCCCTCAGTTCTTGTCAGTTCTTGTGCTGTACCAATCTGTATTGCTACTGAGATTGTCCCCGTTGATCATCTCCATCGCAATACAGAAATTATTGGTACGGAGGGGACATTCTCAGTAGCAATACAGAGGATCACATGATAAAAAAAAACGTTATTGAATGATTTGAAGTGCAATACAGGATATATTCGTCTCGTTCCAATACCGAAATTTCTTGAGCAGAATATATCCTGTATTGCACTTCAAATCACTCAGTAACTTATAATTTAACTTATTGAAGGGAGTGTACCTTCAATGCTGAGATGACAGTCTCCTGATGCGTCTTCACCGCTTCATGTGAGAACTCAGAAGTTGCCAGTAGACACATGCTCTCAAGGGCAAGGTACCTACAACCATCAAACAAATGGTCTATGTTTACACAATGGAGTAATGTCAAAATGCTCATCTCATTTTTTTCACTGAGATGACCCCCTCCCACACCCTCTTCACATATAATAAAAGCTGAATTTTATATTTCATCAAATGGGCTTTTATCTTACTCCTTTCTTAACTCTTTCTGATTTCTTAAACAAATATTTACCCTTTTATGACCTAGGATATTCCTGATATCAATTCCATCCCAGTGAATAACACAACTTTAGTTCCTATTTTTATTATGGACTAATCAAAGATTTCATTTTTGTTCGAAGACAATGTTGTGACTGACAAAACATCCAACAGTTCTTAATTCCCGTAAAACTCCTATATGCGTATCTATTTACCTTAAATTTGTCTCCCTATGCTGCAGAAATTGGCCTAGCTGAGTACAAGCTCTGACTAATAAATTGGGAGAATTCCACTTACCTTAAACTTGTCTCCCTATGCTGCAGAAATTGGCCTAGCTGTGTACAAGCTCTGACTAATAAATTGGGAGAATTCCACTTACCTTAAATTTGTCTCCCTATGCTGCAGAAATTGGCCTAGCTGTGTACAAGCTCTGACTAATAAATTGGGAGAATTCCACTTACCTTAAATTTGTCTCCCTATGCTGCAGAAATTGGCCTAGCTGTGTACAAGCTCTGACTAATAAATTGGGAGAATTCCACTTACCTTAAATTTGTCTCCCTATGCTGCAGAAATTGGCCTAGCTGTGTACAAGCTCTGACTAATAAATTGGGAGAATTCCACTTACCTTAAATTTGTCTCCCTATGCTGCAGAAATTGGCCTAGCTGTGTACAAGCTCTGACTAATAAATTGGGAGAATTCCACTTACCTTAAATTTGTCTCCCTATGCTGCAGAAATTGGCCTAGCTGTGTACAAGCTCTGACTAATAAATTGGGAGAATTCCACTTACCTTAAATTTGTCTCCCTATGCTGCAGAAATTGGCCTAGCTGTGTACAAGCTCTGACTAATAAATTGGGAGAATTCCACTTACCTTAAATTTGTCTCCCTATGCTGCAGAAATTGGCCTAGCTGTGTACAAGCTCTGACTAATAAATTGGGAGAATTCCACTTACCTTAAATTTGTCTCCCTATGCTGTAGAAATTGGCCTAGCTGTGTACAAGCTCTGACTAATAAATTGGGAGAATTCCACTTACCTTAAATTTGTCTCCCTATGCTGTAGAAATTGGCCTAGCTGTGTACAAGCTCTGACTAATAAATTGGGAGAATTCCACTTACCTTAAATTTGTCTCCCTATGCTGTAGAAATTGGCCTAGCTGTGTACAAGCTCTGACTAATAAATTGGGAGAATTCCACTTACCTTAAATTTGTCTCCCTATGCTGCAGAAATTGGCCTAGCTGTGTACAAGCTCTGACTAATAAATTGGGAGAATTCCACTTACCTTAAATTTGTCTCCCTATGCTGCAGAAATTGGCCTAGCTGTGTACAAGCTCTGACTAATAAATTGGGAGAATTCCACTTACCTTAAATTTGTCTCCCTATGCTGTAGAAATTGGCCTAGCTGTGTACAAGCTCTGACTAATAAATTGGGAGAATTCCACTTACCTTAAATTTGTCTCCCTATGCTGTAGAAATTGGCCTAGCTGTGTACAAGCTCTGACTAATAAATTGGGAGAATTCCACTTACCTTAAATTTGTCTCCCTATGCTGCAGAAATTGGCCTAGCTGTGTACAAGCTCTGACTAATAAATTGGGAGAATTCCACTTACCTTAAATTTGTCTCCCTATGCTGCAGAAATTGGCCTAGCTGTGTACAAGCTCTGACTAATAAATTGGGAGAATTCCACTTACCTTAAATTTGTCTCCCTATGCTGCAGAAATTGGCCTAGCTGTGTACAAGCTCTGACTAATAAATTGGGAGAATTCCACTTACCTTAAATTTGTCTCCCTATGCTGCAGAAATTGGCCTAGCTGTGTACAAGCTCTGACTAATAAATTGGGAGAATTCCACTTACCTTAAATTTGTCTCCCTATGCTGCAGAAATTGGCCTAGCTGTGTACAAGCTCTGACTAATAAATTGGGAGAATTCCACTTACCTTAAATTTGTCTCCCTATGCTGCAGAAATTGGCCTAACTGTGTACAAGCTCTGACTAATAAATTGGGAGAATTCCACTTACCTTAAATTTGTCTCCCTATGCTGCAGAAATTGGCCTAGCTGTGTACAAGCTCTGACTAATAAATTGGGAGAATTCCACTTACCTTAAATTTGTCTCCCTATGCTGCAGAAATTGGCCTAGCTGAGTACAAGCTCTAATAAATTGGGAGAATTCCACTTACCTTAAATTTGTCTCCCTATGCTGCAGAAATTGGCCTAGCTGTGTACAAGCTCTGACTAATAAATTGGGAGAATTCCACTTACCTTAAATTTGTCTCCCTATGCTGCAGAAATTGGCCTAGTTGTGTACAAGCTCTAATAAATTGGGAGAATTCCACTTACCTTAAATTTGTCTCCCTATGCTGCAGAAATTGGCCTAGCTGTGTACAAGCTCTGACTAATAAATTGGGAGAATTCCACTTACCTTAAATTTGTCTCCCTATGCTGCAGAAATTGGCCTAGCTGTGTACAAGCTCTGACTAATAAATTGGGAGAATTCCACTTACCTTAAATTTGTCTCCCTATGCTGCAGAAATTGGCCTAGCTGTGTACAAGCTCTGACTAATAAATTGGGAGAATTCCACTTACCTTAAATTTGTCTCCCTATGCTGCAGAAATTGGCCTAGCTGTGTACAAGCTCTGACTAATAAATTGGGAGAATTCCACTTACCTTAAATTTGTCTCCCTATGCTGCAGAAATTGGCCTAGTTGTGTACAAGCTCTAATAAATTGGGAGAATTCCACTTACCTTAAATTTGTCTCCCTATGCTGCAGAAATTGGCCTAGCTGTGTACAAGCTCTGACTAATAAATTGGGAGAATTCCACTTACCTTAAATTTGTCTCCCTATGCTGCAGAAATTGGCCTAGCTGTGTACAAGCTCTGACTAATAAATTGGGAGAATTCCACTTACCTTAAATTTGTCTCCCTATGCTGCAGAAATTGGCCTAGCTGTGTACAAGCTCTGACTAATAAATTGGGATCATTGTCCATGTGAATTATCAAACTTATTGCCTCGAAAAGTACAGCATTTTTAGCATTGGAGTGTTGTATTTTCTTAGATTTAGGTGGCTCCTGTGCTTTGTTGAGTATGGTCTCTAAGCACTCTGGTAGACGCACTCGCAGTGACGGGTCATCTGGAAATTGAGAGCAAAAAGATATGTAAGCACACATGGATTATAAGGGTAATAATGAATGGGTTAAGAAAGGGAATACCCCAGAATTCACAGATGATCTCCATGTAGAGATCAACCATCTTTGCATGGAAATAGGCTCATCTATGAATCCTGGGATATGTTCTCCTCTTGTAAGCCATAAAAGACAAGGAACACTTGGGTACAACTTGTCACAAGGGAATAAATCCCCAGCATCCCCTCAAAATGAACAAAAATGAAACTTGAAACTTGATATGCACAATAATTAAACATTGTTAAACTATTTAAGTTCTTTGAGGACAAGAGTGCTTTGTCCTCTCGTATGAAACCATTTAGTTTTATCCAAAGAGAATTTCGATAAACATATTCCAAAAAGGCAACATGAAATAGAAAAATGATTTCTTCTCAGTATATCATGAAATCTAGTATATCATAGTTACTGTATACCTGGAGGTGGATAATTCTGTAAAAGTCTCAATAGTTTCACTGACAACCAGGGTGCGGGAACAAAGTAATAGGTGTAGTCTTGAAGGTCTGTATAGGATGATGTCACAATCTACAAAATACAATGTGACATAAAAAATACAATGTGATGTAAGACATGAAAACGAGAGAAACAGCATTTGCATTGACTAATAAATCACATTAACATGATGGGGGTAGAGAAGCTCTCAAGATATTTCAAATAGAATATTTTTTGTATAATAATAGATTTCTTGATAAATTAACAGAGATATTATTAGGTTTAAAACATTCAATTTGTCTGTGTAACGTTTTAAGGTTTTGGAATTACGAACATTATTAGTTAAAAATTCAGGATTCTGATATTTCTATGTTTAACATTTTAGGATTTTGAAAAGTTAGGATTTTGAACAATCAGGATTTTTAAATTTTCAGGTATAACATTTTGGATTTCTGAAACCATAATATTGAATGTGCATTGTAATGATGGAGGCAAAACTGGGTTACAAAAATTATTTTGAGGTCTATGTAATGTTGGGGAAAGTCTATAGAATGTAAGAAAATATTCAATTCAGTTCACTTACCCTACTTAACCTTGAAATAGCTAGTGGCACGCAGCCTTTGAAGTCTTCAGCATTTTTCTTGACAAGATTCTCTATAAGACTAGTGGCAGATGTTACAACCCCCTGAAATGTATGGAAAATATGTTATACACCAGAAATGGATAAGACAAAACTCAAATACATGTAATATATTTTTACATGTAAGATATTAGCGTCAGAACTTTTGTACATAGTCTATTTCCAATTGAACACTCAACATGACTGAACCTATCATTGGATTAAAAATAGTACAAACATACTTCTGCAGCAACTCAATTATTGATCAGAAATAGAGTAAAAGCTGCAAACTAATTTATTTAAATAATTTTGAATAGAGTTCAATGACCTATTTATTGCCTTGGTGCTAAATGAACCTTTGTAAGTGGAACACCTCCCAAGTGGTACACCTCCAAAGTGGAACACCTCCCAAGTGGAACACATTTTGAAGGTGGCAAAAGTGTTCCACAGTTTTACAGTACATACACCAATGAACATAGTTTAACTATGTCTAACTTACCATGTGCTGGTCATTTAGTAGATGTATCACCCTATTTGCCCATTCACTCATATTAAACAGGTCAGAGTTGGTTCTGAGGAGGCGTAGAAGACATAGGGCAGAACTCTGTTTCACTGAGTCTATGGTATCTCTGTAATATAAGAAAATATGCATGATTTTATGGGTAAATGGATCAGGATATATTTAATTATATATTTATTTATTCACTTTTAAGTTTTTTTTCACAAGATAATGCCAAATTCCCCTAATAAACTAGTCTTAACTTAGGACACAGAAATGTCCAAAATGTGTCAAAATATCCTGTATAATGATTTTCTAGATTTTTTCGAGATAACTGATAGGGCAAATGGTTGCCCAAAAATCATGTTTTCAACCCTAGTCACAAAGCCTGGTCTCCAAACTTACCCCGACACTAAAAGCTTTGGAATATCAGTAACGAGGGCCTCTGCCATTTCTCGACTGCCGATATTTGCGACACATTGTAGCGCAAGACAGACAAATATTGGGTTACGGGCCTTGATGTCTTCTTTGATGGCCTGTATAACAAGTTTCATGAGCTCACTTGTACCACTGACCAGTACGGAGATGAACAGGTAACCCTGTAAAAAAGTAAAATGTTTGTTAAAGTCATTCTTTAGGTGACAGGTTATTTTCAACCCCATATCAACTCAAACCAGTAAGACTAAACACTGGTAAAACTCAACTCACTAAAACTCAACCCCAGGAAATTTAACCCAGTAATTTAAGCTCTTTTAAAATTCAACCCTAGTAATACTCTTAAACCTTTAAAAAACTGTGTTTGCTTCAAAAATCCTTTATTCTATCACAACAATGATTTTTGTATGCAACCTTTACATTGGTTCAACATGCGTAAAATTCTTTATGTAACTTTTGCTCAAATCTACAATAAACAATTGTAGATTTGAGCAAAAGTTACATACTTCTGCTCAAATCTACAAATAACAATTGCACACACATTTGTTTGAACAGCTCTGCCATAAAAGTTAATAAGCTAACTGCATGTAACCCAGATGATTACAAAGTGTAACACTTGTTACAGAAACTGACCACCAGTCCAGACAATGGCTGTGACAAATAAAACCAACCAATGAAAAATTCTCCAAATACTTACGATTTGTTTTTCTGTGTATTTGTTGGAGCTGAGTAGATTGACCGCCTCCATGTGGCCGAAGTCAATGTCATGTCCCAAAAGGAAAATAAACAGTAACTTGCAAACATATTTCTTTTTCTGGTAGCCATCTAGTGTTTTATCCCCTGAAAAATACAAATTGAATAAATATAAAAGTACAGAAAACCAGTCTCGTTCAAACGCTACTGGATTAGGGACAAGTAAAGAGAAAAACATGATGATAAAAAAATATGAAATTGGAAGTTTGAAGATGAGTCAATTAAGATATCTATCTTGTCAATACTATAAAATTATGTTCTGAGGATTGAATGATTGTAAATACCATTAGATATTATATTTTACTTTTTTTGCATCTGATAGAGCTCGATTCAATTTCATGGTCTACTAGCCTGAGTTTAGAAAACTCATTTGAGAACGATCCATCTTACAGATTATATAATAACTGGATGTTCTTTGATTTAAACAAAATGCCGAATTTTGCGTAACTACATTTTAGAATCTCTTGCAAGCTTTAGAAAAAGATTTGCAGTTGGCTGGAGAGATTTTTGGTGAGATAGACTACATTTCCAGTCAATAAGTTATTTTATTAAATGAACAGGGTTATTTAAAATGGAAACTAATCAATAGGCAGAATATATGATTGAGCGACCTGCACTTGTGAAACCATAAAAACATGCATTAGCGATCTTCAAATTACCTCATTGGAAGCTTATTCTCAATTTGGTTTGGTCTTTTACACATGTTTTTTTTAAAACATGGTTTCAGTGATATCAAGAAAAGTGAAGAGCAAAATATTTTAGGGCTCTTTTGAAATTAATTTTTTAGAAGAGACTACTTCTGGTGGTGATATAAAAATGAACTTACCTTTAAACTTAGATCTTATGTTGGCTAATTCTTTATTTATTCTTTTGATTTCGGCCTCTTTGCTTTTACCTGAAAAAATAATAATTATCAACTTTAGAAATCTGATTAAAACTACATGTTATATTACAATGCTTATATTTACATGCGCATCTAATCTCAAAACTCAGCAATATTAAACGAAGCTTCTTCTCAAAACTCAGCAATATTAAATGAAACTTCTTCTCAAAACTCAGCAATATAAAACTTCTCAAAACTATGCAATATTAAACTTCTTCTCAAAACTCAGCAATATTAAATGAAACTTCTTCTCAAAACTCAACAATATAAAACTTCTCAAAACTATGCAATATTAAACTTCTTCTCAAAACTCAGCAATATTAAATGAAACTTCTTCTCAAAACTCAGCAATATTAAACTTCTTCTCAAAACTCAGAAATATTAAATGAAACTTCTCAAAACTCAGCAATATTAAATGAAACTTCTACTCAAAACTCAGCAATATTAAATGAAACTTCTCAAAACTCAGCAATTAATTAAATGAAACTTCTTCCCAAAACTTAGCAATATTAAATTAAACTTCTCAAAACTTAGCAATATTAAATGAAACTTCTTCTCAAAACTCAGCAACACTAAAAAATGAAACTTCTTCTCAAAACTCAGCAATATTAAACTTCTTCTCAAAACTCAGCAATACTAAAAAATGAAACTTCTTCTCAAAACTCAGCAATAATGAAACTTCCAAACTCAGGAATCATGAAACTTTTAAACTCAGTAATTAAAGCAATTATTAAATGAACCTTACAACCAATTTAGACTTAATTATAATGAATTCATGTTCAATGGTAAACATAGGACTCATCTCACATCAATCCTATTGTTCTACTTCAACTTCATTAGTAATTCTTTGACAAAACAGTTCCATAAAACACTACAAAACTATCATTTTTAATCAATATAATTTATAACAGAACCCTCCTAAATAGTCTGATATTAGATATCTAAGAATGGTTTGAAAGCTCATTTTTTCTAAAAATGTGATTTAGCTGAGAAATAAGAGTTAGAATTCTGTCTTTTTAAGCCAAATGTTCATTTTCAAAATGCCTTAGAGAGTGACCAGATCAGCTTGACCTTGGAATTTTAGTATATGTAATATATTTCGTTCCAAATATGGCACATGTAAAAATAGACCTGTCAATCAAATCTGAAATTGTACATCACAAAATTGAATTTGCTTGGCAGTTGATTTCTCAATTCTATTGAATTTGAATTCTATTGAGACTGAATGTTTTTGCGAAGAAAGTGTTAAATTAATCCAATTTTATCAATATGTTGTGGGGTCACAGTGACCTAATTTTCAATACTGTTCTTTGTTAAGGATGCAGTACCGGGTCGGTTTTCACGTCTGTTTGCGCAGGTTTGACTTCCGGTTTGAGAAAGCTAGCTCCCAAGAACGTCATTTTCGCATTTAGTCTTATTCAAAAATTATAGTTTATTTCGATAATGGTGTTTCCAGAAAAGAATTAAATTGCAAACATTTTATCAAGCATATTTTATCCCTTTCACTTTTATGGGAAAACTTGTTCTTGAGTCGCAATTAGTGGATATGAAAACCAGGGTTCGAAAGGTGCCAGCTCTATTGAAAACTCAAAAAAGTAAAAAGATTCATTTTGGGTGGGTAAAATAATTTTTTTATTTTGTAATTACCAGACGGTCAATCCTCTTCATATTGCACTTGGATGATGATAACATCATAGTGCACCCTATGCAGACAGAGCCTGTGGGAAATATTGGGTGCGGAGCAAATGAGCGGAGGGTGCGGAGCTAACGGTTATTTTTGAATTTAAATTTGGGATATTTCTGAAACTAAGCCGTTTTGGGACTTCAAATATACCAAGATATGTGTATTTGACACCAAATATCAATACAGTTGTGAAAATAGTAGCGCAATTCATTCTATAGCGACGCAGTGTGCCTTAAACCTTTCCCAGACCTATATATTTTGAAATTATCCTTTTAATACTGAGTCCCCAGCATTCATAAAAAATGGTGTTCAAGGTGCACTATCTATACAAATTATTTTTGCATCTTGGAAGCCAGGCAGTATCTGTGTGATTTTATAAAAATTCGGAAATGTTCTTCAGATATGAGCCCCTCTAAATATTGGGTGCGGAGCAGCTCCATAAACGTAGCTCCGCACCCAATATTTAGAGGGGCTCATATCTGAAGAACATTTCCGAATTTTTATAAAATCACACAGATACTGCCTGGCTTCCAAGATGCAAAAATAATTTGCATGGGTAGTGTATCTTGAACACCATTTTTTATGAATGCTGGGGACGCAGTATTAAAAGGATAGTCTCAAAATATATAGGTCTGGGAAATGTTTAAGGCATACTGCGTCGCTATAAAATGAATTGCACCACTATTTTCACAATTTTATTGATATTTGGTGTCAAATACACATATCTTGGTATATTTGAAGTCTCAAAACGGCTTAGTTTCAGAAATATCCCAATTTTAAATTCAAAAATGACCGTTAGCTACGCACCCTCCGCTCATTTGCGCCGCACCCAATATTTCCCACAGGCTCTGTCTGCATAGGGTGTAGTGATACACTGTAAAAAATATGAGCAAAATTTAATGTCTGGAACTTTTTCTACGCTGACCTGGTACTGCATCCTTAACTTAAAATGTGATTAATTTCACAATAAGAGACATTTCCAGACTTTTATATGTGTTCTTGATATGTACATAAGGGGCTGTTTTTTGCTTTTCCAACATTGGTACTTGTAAGGATTAAATTGCTTCCTAACCCTACTATCACACCAAACTAGTTCTCACTACGTTCTCGAAAACGGGCTTCAACTGTGTACGAACGGACTCGACCTACTAAGAACCGTTTGGGATCTATTTACAAACTTCATCGAATGTACTCGAACGGGTAGGTCCTTTAGAACTTAGACAATGCTCAAAATGTTCTCGTGGTCGTCACGTTCTACAACGACGAGCTGGACGTACTACGAACGGAACCATCGTACGTCAATCCTACTAGGGACGTTTTAACAACGAGTTAAACTGTCTGAGGACGTGTTGAGAACGAGGTAGAACTAATTGCAAACGGGTTTAAACTGATTAAGAACGTATTTAACACTGCTTATGAACGAGTTAACAAAAATATGGCTATCACACCAAACAAATTGCCACTGCGTTCTTCAAAACTGGTTTTAAACTGTGTGTGAACGGAATGAACGTAGCTGCAACTTTCTAAGGTCTATTTACGAACTTTATGAACGTTTTCAGACGGAAATGTGATTTTAGAATTTTGAATCGATTCAAAATTCGACGGCGACCATACCGTTCTAATAAATCAGGTCATGTTGACCTTCTAGACTAAGGGACGCGTTCTACTACGTTGGACACCGAACGTGGTGCGACCTGAACGAACTGCGAATGAGATGAACGTATTGAAGACTGTTTATGAACGAAGTAGCTAATTATTTCAGACATATTTCCCGACCACAGCCAGATTAAGCCCATTTTACGACGTTTTCGTTAGGACTGGCAAGAACGGGTAAGAACTAGTTTGGTGTGATAGGGGGGTTATGAAGCATTTTGATAAAAAGCTTCATAACAATATATTTTTGTCCCTTTGTAACACCTCATAAATTCTTTATTGTGAAGTTTTTCATCAAAATGTTTTGTAATAAAGCAATTGAACCCTATTGTGTAAAATATACCATTGTTTCTTCATGGAATCACTAATTGAAGAAAAAATGAAGCCATAATAGCCCATAAGGTATGATCAATGAACAATTGCTTGTCTTTACATCAAGAATTTCATGTTAATCTTGGTAATTGGAGACCACCATCTATTAAACATTTCCCCTCTTAGAAAGTCAATAAACATGATTTATACCGACACCTAGATTAATAACTCTAGCTGAAAATAAAATTGGATGGTAAGATAGAGATTTAAAAAACAAGACGTGAAAATGCATTCTATAAGATATAATTAACTGTACCTATCTTCAAAATAATTTTTATCAAACTTAGTTGCAAAGCAATGCTGACTCATCGTAATTATCTGAAAAATACTTTGGCCTTCTTAAAAGTTATAAGAAGTCCTTTAACAGGCTTTAATAAAATTATACAAGTACTTGATATGCACTTTTATGGGCTAAAGATTTTATTATAATTTCTTTATGGTAACAGTATAGTACAATATTTTGGTGATTTTCAGAGCAATATTTTAGGAGTTTTGAAATTTTCGAGTGTAATGTAACATTTTGGGAGAGGCAACCGATCACAAAATACCAAATCCTAAAATCCAACCGAGCACTCGGGGAGTCAATAATATAAACAAATGACAAGATGGCTTAATAAGATTGAATTAGACGTCAAAGTATAGGTTAAAGTGACTAGACAGTGATATATTATCCATAGCAGATCTAAAAGTTCAATAAGATTAGACTATCTATATTACACCATGTCTTAAATACAAATTCAGAATACAATTGTACTGTATATATACATGTATTTTAACAAGATAAGTGTGTCTTTTATGTAAATGATAACTATGATAAGGCATGCTTTACAAAACAATAGACTGAGTGTCTAAAGTACAGAACAAGTGCTACTTTGGTGATGTTTCAAACAATTAACTTTATTACTGGTCGTCTGAGATTTTCATTTTGAGTATATACTTAAATGTTGTATGTAAAGTTATTTGATTCCAATATAACTTTCTACCACTGTATCAGTGAGTATCCATTATTCTCAGCGATAACGTCGTCTCGAAAATACAAACATTTTTTCATTAATTTCATCAAAAATTCAAATGGTGGAAAATATTACCAAATGTTCAGATTAGCATGACATGTTCTCATTTCAAGGTTTTTTAACATGGAAGTATATAGGCGATTTAATGAATGGTATCAAAAGGAGTGTTCAACTAAAAGGTGTTCAGATTAAAGAGGTGTTCGCACATACAGGTTTTACAACATGACATCTTTGAGATAAGCCATTTGATATAAGCTTTTTGATGATATAATCTATTGAATAAGCCTTTCAATTGATGAAATAAGCAATTTGATGAAATAAGCGATTTGATGAAATAAGCCATTTGATGAAATAAGCGATTTGATAAAATAAGCCATTTGATGAAATAAGCCATTTGATTACATCTTTGGTAATTTCAAAAGATGAAGGCTCACAATCTGACCCAGAACGAAACAAGATATAACTAAAATTACTCTAGTAATTGGAATTGATTTTTCATGCCAGCCTCCGCTAAGATTACTACACCCGTGTTTAACCAAACGCAAGTAAGGCAAGTAAACATGCCTACTTGTCAAAAATATGTGTCATTTTCTCTTTAAATGTATTTACATGCAGCTATTATCAAGATAAAACATTAATCCATTTATCACTGTCTAGATGGTTTAATCAAGAATCGTTTGAAGTTATCAGTTTTCCAGCTGAAATCTTTGTATTTTCAAGATACAGTAAAACCTGTCTGATTTGAATGCCTCTTAGACTCAACAAGTGTTCAGATTAGCAGGTGTTCACATTTCAAGGTTTAACCAGAACAACGGCAACGCCAAAGCGTAGCGAATCCCATCGAACAGAAATGGCTGGCATTTTTACAAACGAATAGCAAATATCATAAAACAACACACCAGAAAGGCCACCATTTTCAAAATGGTTGCTCACTAGCCAAGTTGTCATCAGAAGAAATAATATGCTTTTAAGTAGCCACCTCTAAAATTTTTGAAAAATCGCACACGTACTTGTTAAATAACACACATAAAAATGGTGGCCATTTTTCAAAATTGCTGAATACTCCCAAAAGTTTTATTAGACAATGTGCCATGTTTAAAGTATTCACATATCAAATATGAACAAAATCTCTCAACTACTTTTCGGGTTATAGTAAAATATGTTAAAATGGTGGCCATTTTTCAAAATGGCCACCTTCTACCAAAAGTGTCATTACAAATAGACAGTGTGCCATGTTTATAGTATTCACATACCAAATATGAACAAAATCGCTCCACTACTTTTCGAGTTATAGTAAAAAACGTTAAAATGGCGGCCATTTTACAAAATTTTTTTTCAAAATGGCCGCCTTCTACCAAAAGTGTCATAGGACAGTGTGCCATGCTTATAGTATTCACATACCAAATATGAACAAAATCGCTCCACTACTTTTCGAGTTATAGTAAAATACTTTAAAATGGCAGCCATTTTTCAAAATGGCCGCCTTCTACCAAAAGTGTCTTTAGACAGTGTGCAATGCTTATAGTATTCACATACCAAATATGAACAAAATTGCTCAACTATTTTTTGAGTTACAGCAAAAATCGTAAAATGACGATTAAAGGCCGCCATTTTTCAAGATGGCTGCCATGTGCTTCTTTAATATCTACATTTGTAGCATTATTAATGTCCTTTATAATTTTTTTACATTTAAAACATATTGCTATTACAGTTTTACATATTGCACCTAAATTACTGTAAAATCGGCACTAAAATGGCCGCCATTTTGAAATGAGCGGCCATTTTGAAAATCGGCTTACGAGCAGAACTTCTACCCCCATAGGGTATATGTGTACAAAATATGAACAAAATCGGGCCAACGGTATTTGAGTTATTGCCCGCACGGACGGACAGACGGACGGACGGACAGACGGACGTACGTACATACAGACGTATGTACGGATGGACGGAGGCGTTCCCTATATCCCTCTGAACTTCGTTCGATGGGATAATTAACAAGTTGGTCAATGGGAGATAACAAATCTGGGACCAAGAAAAAGTGTTCACATTGAGAAGTGTTTGGATAAGTAAGGTGTTCAAATTTACAGATTTCACTGTATACACACCACCTTTAAATAATACATGTGTTTGTACGATATCTTTTATGTTATTTGCTAAACCTCACAATATCATGGAATGTCTTTATAACCAAACTCAGACTTATTGATTCTTTAAAAGCTTCTCTAGAATACTCAGACAGTACTAGGCAAACAAATTCCAATTATTATTTTTTGAATGTAAACATCATGCAATAATCCTAAAATGTTGCAAAAAAATAAAAATAAATAAAATTTGCAAGAAAGTTACAAAACCTGAAGATGCACGGAAAAAAGACAAAAATATTAAATGTTTCACTTAATAATATACCAAAATCTTCAAGCAAGAATAAAATCCACAATTCACTTAAAAAATACTCACAAAGGCATAATTATCATGTCAATATAATATGGCGTTTATTCAATGATGATATCTCCTGTATCAAAAATGGGAAGATTCAAATAGGATATTGCTACAGGATATAAATCACAGATTCTCTCAGAAAATATGTTCGCAAGAACAGAGAGGTCTGCTTACCATTGACTTTGTGACTAATGTAGGAATAAAGATCTGCGTTTAACGAATCAATCAATACATTTAAGGGTGCTATTTCATGTCGGCTGATATTCATACCAGACCTTCAAGCAACATAATCTTAGTGTAGTATATTGATTCTTTTATATTTGACACATGGCCCTTTACAGTAGAGAGTGCAAATAGAAAACTGAAGATGTATTTTCCTGATTCTTGGATTAACAGCAATCTTTTGTCCCCACCTAATATACACATTTCTAGAATGGGAACGAAATACATGGGAACTTCCAAGAATGGAAATACACATAATGGGAACTTCCTATCTAGAATGGAGATATATAATGGGAACTTCCTAGAATGGAAATACATAATGGGAAGTGGGAAGGGAGGGGGCAGATCATTTTCCTTAGAAAATAGAAACTTCAGTCAGTGGTCATTTTGTCATGCTTCAAATCCCCCCCCCCTTTACCTACATCACACCGGTATGAGCCAAATGACTACTGAGCAATAAAATATAACTTTAAGCCAACTAAAAACGCCGTGAATGTTTTTGTTTACATTAAAAATAATACAAAAGCACTCCAACATTACATTATTGATTGGCCAGTTAAAATACAGCCTGGTGTCAATGTTCAATATAATTAAATTAACAAGTGAAAAACAACATTAATCTTGCAAAAATATTAATTCTAATAGGCCTTTTATAAATATTATGGTTGCTTGAAGCAACTGCAACTGAAAATATTTTATTAAATCCATAAAGTGTAAAAGTGCCAGTTGTGTTCTGAATGAATCAGATTAGTCATAAAAATAGAATCAGCTGCCTTCGATATTTACTGTCGATAAACAGTGTTGTAAAAATAACACATTTTGCTGATTAACACATATTGCTGAATAACATATTGCTGAATGACATATTGCCGATTAACATATTGCTGAATAACACATCTTGCTGATTACATATTGCTGAACAACATATTGCTGAATTACATATTTTGCCGAATAACATATTGCTGAATAACATATTGCTGATTACATATTGCTGAATAACATATTGCTAAATAACATATTTCTGATTACATATTGCTGAATAACATATTGCTGAATTACACATATTGCTAAATAACACATATTGCTGAATAACACATATTGCTAAATATCAAATATTGCTGAATGACATATTGCTGAATAACATATTGTTGAATAACACATATTGCTAAATATCAAATATTGCTGAATAACACATATTGCTGAATAACACATATTGCTAAATATCAAATATTGCTGAATGACATATTGCTGAATAACACATATTGCTGAATACCATATATTGCTGAGTAACACATATTGCTGAATGACATATTGCTGAATAACACATATTGCTGAATACCATATATTGCTGAGTAACACATATTGCTGAATGACATATTGCTGAATAACACATATTGCTGAATATTGCTGAGTAACACATACTTCTGAACAAAGTAGTAAATATAAGACAATGAAGAAATACAATCCACATGATTTATTGAAAAATCCAAATAGCAAAACTTTCAATATTAATGAATTGTTTATCAACAATGTCACAATAACCTATAGTTTAATAGGCATTATTCTTTTCACAGATATGGGAAAGGGCATGCAAGAGGAGGGAAAGCCTCAGAGCTTTAGAGATAACATACAGAATACATCTCTTGCTTACTAACCTTGTAACTTCATTTGTTTGAGTTTTCACTGGCTGTTTATTCGAAGCGTATTTCAAAAATTTTGAAGCCTCCATTGATGACAGCATTTATTTGTCAACTTTTGACCAATCAGAGATGTATGTCATCTCAATACAGGTTTACATTATAAGCGTATGTCATCTTTGAATTCTGGGGTTATTCCCCCCCTGGGGCACGTGTTGCTAAATGATCACAACATTTTGCTCTTGTTTATTGAAGCAAATGTCAAATAGCAAATGGAATATAAAATCTACTGAAAAATTCACTTACAGTTTCTTATGTCGGATATAAAGACAGCAAGGCCTCGCATCCCCTCTCCCTTGACGGCAGGCATCTTGGACTATTTATATACCACCTGAAAGGAAACAAAGAATGAGTGAGATTCTTCAGCAATATACCATATGAAAGCCCATTCAAAACAGTGTTATATTCTTCAGTGGTAAACCATTGAAGAAAACAGAAAATGATGTGTAAGAAAATGATGAATGAGAAATATTCTACCATCTGAATGGATATGAATATCAATATACACATGCATGTAATATGTTATACGGGCCTATAATATCATAAAACATCTATATTTGATACAAAAAGAGAAAATTTAGGAAATTTTTATTTAGATAGCACGAAAATGGAAATCTGAGATACTAAAAGGAGTTTATAATATGCAGACAGTTGACAATCTGGCAGTTGGGATCCCGCATTCATTTGAAATGATGGCTACAGAATGACCAAAGTATCAAAAATATATGATTCAGCCTTCAGTTATTCAAAAGACTTAATATTACTTTGACTTTTTACATCTGAGCTAAGTTTCAAGTTGTTCTTTAATTTGACTGAAGACATGCAATAGTACAAGATAGTGGGAAAATGAGCCCATGATAGAAATTAAAACAGTTAAGAAAAACCTCATTAAATTGCCTCGAGATTAATCAAATCTTAAATGAGTGCTCGTTAAAACATTTTCAAGCAGTTATTTTACTCCCGCTGTGATATAAAGCATATCTCTGAGACGGATTATCAGCTAATTCATGTTTAACGACCAATAAAACTAAGAAAAAACTAAAGGTTACTGTATCATACATAAAACTGTCTGGTTGAGTTTACTTGGCCACAAAATCACTTAATTCTTTCATTCTTTGACATTTTTATAGGAAATAAATATAATGAAATGAAATGCCCCACACCCATCTATTTGCCTGTTTGCCCTTTTTATGGGGGGGGGGGATTCTTGCAACTACCAAATATTGAAACAATTTTTGCATTTCAAATATGACCCCCTTACATTTCACACCAGGGCAAAATTCCCAGGGTAGCTATATATTACTCCTGGATAAAATGTCATGGTGATGGTGTCTGCTTGCTAAAACAAAGACGAGGAAATATCCCAGAATTCATTCATCGATGAACCTTACCCCAGAAGAGGTGAGTAAGCTCCCATAATTCTTTCATATTCTATTGTATTCGTTGATTCCCCATTATACATGTACATCTCCAATCATGATAACGTGAACAATCATGAGCACGTGCTTTCTCAGTGCTGTGCATGTGCAAAGTAAAATTTGAAATCGGTGAAATGGCTTTATTTCATTTTAACATCAGTTCAACATCATCATTTCAAAACTACGGTAATACTGTTGAAGTTACTCGATCGAAACTTTCAGAGAATACTCATAAAATACAAGCGAACATTGAGAGATCCATTTCAAAATTGGTTATTGAACGTGCCAATATGAAAATTGATCTTTGGGAAATCTCCCCCCTGACCTTACTCCATATAAAGATAAAGACTATTAGATAGAGATAAGTTTATCTTTGAATTCTGGGATATTAACTCCTCTCAAAATATAATAGACTGGAATGCAATGTGGCAAATCTTGCATCAAGATCCTGCAAAGTGATCTCTACAGCTAGCAATGGCCAGCATTTAACCATTTGAGGTTTTAAGAATAATTGCACCCACTTGAGAACCCATTTGCGCTAACTTAAAAATGAGTAAATCATGAAAATAGGGTGTTTTTGACGAAATTTAGTCTATTGTAAAATACCTTATTTATCACAGAACAGGAAATGGATAGGGAGGGAAGGCGTTCAGAGTCTTGATATAAAACTAAATAGGCCAAGTAACGAGGAAATAAGGTCAAGGTCAACAAACACAATGCATCACATTCTGTATGAATGCATCTACTTCACACATTTATATGACTGCATTATATGATAACAGTTATCAAAATACAGATAACCAGATTCTATTTTATTACCCTAAAGTCTATAAATAATGCTAGAATTTTCGTATCACAATTCTGGAGACTAAATATTGCTTAAAATTTAGCTAATTACCTCAGAATCCATACACTACCCTAAAATCATATTCCTTCATAGGATCGTATTCATTCATGGCACCAATCAGGTGTTTTCCTTTATATTACCCAATACCATATCACAGGCTGGTATCGAAAGATTTGTCCGCTGTGACGGAGCATGCTATTTTTCGTAAAAACACTAAGAATGCTTCACACTTTATTTTTTAACTCATATGTTTCGTTACATCAAGGAAAATTACTTGCTCCATGCAATGGGTATATCATTTGCGGGTAACCTTCACTTCTGTTTGAAGTCCAATACCGCTAGGAGTAAAAGCTATTGAAAACGGCGCCAGAGTATCAAACTCTAAAATGTACCATTTCTTTTTAAACTTTTTAATGGCATGATATAGTGACACGATAATATTAAAATATGTTTTCAGCATAACTGTAAAGGTATTAATGAGATATTAACGCATTACGTCTTTTTAATTTTTTTATAAAAAATAATACGAATATTTTTTGTCCGCTGTGACGGAGCATTTTCACAGTTTACATTTGCAACTGCTCCGTCACAGCGGACAAAAAAATTAAACATTATTTTTTATAAAAGAATTAAAAAGACCAAATACATCAACATCTCATTTATACCTTTATAGTAATGCTGAAACCATGTGTAAATAATATCGTTTCGCTATATCGTGCCTTTAGAAAGTTAAACAAGAAATGGTACATTTTTAAGTATGATACTTCGGCGCCATTTTCAATAGCTTTTCATCCCAGCGTAATTGGACTTCAAACAGAAGTGAAAGTTACCAGCAAATGATATATCCATTGCATGGAGTAAGTAATTTCCTTTGGTATAATGAAACATATAAGTTAAAAAATAAATCGTGAAGTATTCTTAGTGTTTTTATGAGAAATAGCATGCTCCGTCACAGCGGACAAATATTTCGATACCAGCCTGTGCATATATTCTAACAGAAATCTAGGTTTATGATAGATATGATAAAGTGAATACACAAATCTGAATAGTTACAATGTTAGAGATAAGGCCAGCACTAGACATATTACCAGCAAAAGAAATTTGTCAGGATTAAGGCGTACTCATGAACCAAGACTCATAGGGGTGTTTTCTCTATTGATGATGAACTAAAAAGGAAATCATAGTTGTTGACAAGACAGACAGATGACTGGACGGACATAAATCCAGCTATAATTTTAAGATTGTCATCAGGGGTTTCACTAGAATTTCTCACAACAGGCTAAATAAATGAAAACGATAGGCGCAATTAATGGAAATCACAACTTAAACGTGGAAAAGTTGAAAAGTCCCTAAAAACAACAGACAATTTTGTGAAAACAACCGGTGAAAATCGCCTGTTGCCTGCTGCTAACGAAACCTCTGGTCATACTTCAGACCAGAGGCTTATAATCTAATTCAAGAAAAGAGTAAAGGCATTAATCTATCCATCCTCTGATACCTGAATAGATCAAACTTTGGTTCCCCTATTTATACCCTAGACTACAGTCAATTGCACCCTCTATATGGTTTCTCATAAACTATAAGAAGCATCAGCTGCATTTATAGAGAGGCTCTTGTTAAGTTGTTGGTGCTGCAAGCCATCTACTGTATTTCTACTTAATTTGGCGCATTTGCTGTTTCGAACATTTGGCGGCTACTTAATTTGGCAGACTTGCAATATTGAAATGTACATATTTACGATTGAAATATACATTATTGAATTTGGAGGCTACTGAATTTGGCAGACTTCAATTAAAATTAAAACACCAAATTAAAAAGGCCGCCAAATTAAGTAGAAGTACAGTAACAGTTCGATAAACCTAGATAATACTCATGCAGTAGGCCCATTGAATAAAAATTAGATATAAATTGGATCATGCTGACACTCACCATTCACCCTGAATAATCTGTTGTCTTAATAATCAAATCTACATATTTCTTGAGACAGTTGTACACTGTACTTAATTAATATGGAAAATAATGCATTACCTTACAATATAGAATGATAAATAATTTTGCAAGACTAGTACCAATATACAATATACTCAATGTACTCAATATACTAAATGTATTCAATATACTCAATGTACTCAATATACTCAATGCACTTAATATACTCAATGTATTCAATATACTCAATGTACTCAATATACTCAATGTACTTAATATACTCAATGTATTCAATATACTCAATGTATTCAATATACTCAATGTACTTAATATACTCAATATACTCAATGTATTCAATATACGCAATGTACTTAATATACTCAATGTACTCAATGTACTTAATATACTCAATGTATTCAATATACGCAATGTACTTAATGTACACAATACACTCAATGTACTTAATGTACACAATACACTCAATGTACTTAATGTACACAATACACTCAATATACGCAATGTACTTAATGTACACAATACACTCAATATACGCAATGTACTTAATGTACACAATACACTCAATATACTCAATGTACTTAATGTACACAATACACTCAATAAACGCAATGTACTTAATGTACACAATACACTCAATATACTCAATGTACTTAATGTACACAATACACTCAATATACTCAATGTACTTAATGTACACAATACACTCAATATACTCAATGTACTTAATGTACACAATACACTCAATATACTCAATGTACTTAATGTACACAATACACTCAATATACTCAATGTACTTAATGTACACAATACACTCAATATACGCAATGTACTTAATGTACACAATACACTCAATATACGCAATGTACTTAATGTACACAATACACTCAATATACGCAATGTACTTAATGTACACAATACACTCAATATACTCAATGTACTTAATGTACACAATACACTCAATATACGCAATGTACTTAATGTACACAATACACTCAATATACGCAATGTACTTAATGTACACAATACACTCAATATACTCAATGTACTCAATATACTCAATGTACTCAATATACTCAATGTATACAATATACTCAATGTACTCGATATACTCAATGTACTTAATGTACACAATACACTCAATATACTCAATGTACTTAATGTACACAATACACTCAATATACTCAATGTACTTAATGTACACAATACACTCAATATACGCAATGTACTTAATGTACACAATACACTCAATATACGCAATGTACTTAATGTACACAATACACTCAATATACGCAATGTACTTAATGTACACAATACACTCAATATACTCAATGTACTTAATGTACACAATACACTCAATATACTCAATGTACTCAATATACTCAATGTACTCAATATACTCAATGTATACAATATACTCAATGTACTCAATATACTCAATGTACTTAATGTACACAATACACTCAATATACTCAATGTACTTAATGTACACAATACACTCAATATACTCAATGTACTTAATGTACACAATACACTCAATATACTCAATGTACTTAATGTACACAATACACTCAATGTACTCGATATACTCAATGAAGTCAATGTACTCAATATTCATGATTAAATCGAAGAATTGAGAGAAACAGATAATGATTAACATTCAAGCTTAAAAAATAAAAGAAAACTTCATCAGCATTTTGATGTAAATCTTCACAAATAAACTTCAATATTTTGTATCAGGGAATAATCAACTTAAATGCAAAATGAAATCTGATAATTATTTTTTATTGAAATTGTTTAGAGATCAGTTATTGAAAGAAGTTCTTTTGAATTGTAATTACACAGCAGACATTTACCCACTCAAGAAAGTACAAAATTGTAAGTATCCGACAAAACAGAAATGAAAAATAGACGAATCTTGGAGATAACAAAACATAAAGGTATTATTATCACACAAATGCCTGCCATTTAATTTACCCAGCATGCCCAAAACATGACCATACCTTGACACTAGTCTGCTCTTGCATCTGTAAACATTTTAAGTTGAATGGATAAGTTGTTTTCTAAGAATTTTGATGACAAGATTTAAGATTTGCTTGGCATTCACTCAACCAGCAGTAGCACAAAACGATGACCACATAGCAATTTTCAAAGTAGGATAATATTATATAAAATCCTATGAATAGCATGATACTTCCATATATTGAAGAGAGCATTCACTATTCAATTCCAGCTGAATGCTTTAATCAGAGATGATTCATGATATTTCAATAACATTGCTAACTTCAATGAAATCTAGATATGTTCAGAGACTGATTTGCATAGAGGATAATCTACAAGCTAAAAGTAATTTGCTTAGATGCTTTTTATTGTATCATATTTAAACAAAATCTTTTGCATCTTGATTTTGTATCAGTGGTACACAAGGCAAATCTAGTGAATTGAGGGAAGTCTAGAAGACAAAAAAATAAAGGATGGGCCTAACCATTTGTCGGGAAATAATGCTTGGAGTGAAATAATTCTATAAGCACTTAAAGCAGATATGAAATGGTATTTTTAACCTAAAGGAATCAATATCATTTTTTGATAAATGCATTTGGACATATTTTTTCATCATATTGTGAAAATAGCTGCTTAATAAGCAATATTCGAATTGGTTGTGACGTTATTGCCCCCCACGTGATCTCTCATTTCTTTTATAATGGCTATCACAAGAAACCTACATTGGGCTTATAATGAAGAAAACCGCATTTTTGTAGCTGCAAGTTGAGAAAATAATATTTAAAAATACATACAGGGTGATCCAGAAGTAACGTCAAAGACATTGTAATTTCAAAAGTATTCATCAGATCTTCATGAAATTTGGTATACATGTACCCATAACATTTCTGAGTTACCATCTCAAAGATTGGAATTCAATCATTTCATTGGTTGAAATTATGGTTGCTATAGTTACCTGATATTGCGTAACCCGGGGCAAATTGAAGAGAAACCATAATGTTTTTGTGAATTTCTCTAATTTAAAAAGTCAGTAACATTTGAAAATGTTCATTGTTTGTTTTCTATGATTTTTATATTTGTTGCCATGGTAACAAATATGTAATAGTTGTGATGTCACAATAGGCATTCATAAAAAGCTTTCAATTTCTTTGAATTGCTTCCATCATCCATGACAAATACTAACATGACCAAGGACACTAACCCACCCAATTCAAGATGGCGCCAAGTCAGAGTAAAATAGAGCAAAGAACAAACATTAAGTTCTGTGTAAAGTTGGGGAAAGGTGTAAAAGAGACTATAAGACAGATAAAGAAGGCATATGGTAAAGCTGCCATTGCTGAGAGAAACATTTACAGGTGGTTTAACAAGTATTCCAGTGGATATGATGAAGTGGTAGACAAGCAGCGAGGAGGCAGGCCAGTGTCGTCATTCGATGATCAAACCATCAAAGCAATTGAAGCTGATGTTATGGACAATAGGCAAATTTCTATCAGAGAATTGGCTGAAAAACACGATCTGAGCTATGGGACTGTGCAACGGATACTGACAAAGAACTGTCTGTTAAAGAAGGTGTCTGCTAAATGGGTGCCGCATGACTTGACACAGGAGCAGAAAGACCGGCGTGTTAAGGCTTCAAGGGACTTTCTTGCAAAATATCGGAGAGATGGAGATGACTTTCTTAACAAGATCATTATGAGTGACGAATCATTGCTATCATTCTACATCCCAGAGACCACGCAACAAAGTTCATCGTGGAAACATGACAACTCCCCAACACCAACCAAGCCTAAAATAGTACCAGGAATTCCACAAAAGAAACAAATGGTTGTGACATTCTTTGACATTAGAGGAATGGTGTTAACCCATTTTGTTCCCATTGGCCAGAGAATTAATGCCGTTTACATTGCAAAGGTAAGATATCATTTGTTCTAATAATACATCATACTGTGAATTCTATTTTTAATTAAAGTATTTAAATGTTGTTCACTGTCAATATAATTATAACTCCATGGCCATGATTCAAATCCAAATCCAATCAATGAAACAACTGGTTTAACAACCATTAAACATTTGTTTTTCAGGTTCTGAAGCGTGATCTTCAACGTTCCCTGAGGAAAAAGCGTCCCGGACATCTGCAGCAGTTTATCTTGCATTGGGACAATGCCCCTACGCACACTGCAATCCTGACCAGCAACACAGTCCAAACACTTGGATTTCAACAACTTGAACATGCCCCTTATTCACCTGATCTTGCCCCCAGTGACTTTTATTTGTATGGGGAACTAAAAAGAAACCTTAGTGGAAATAATTTTCAATCCTGTGAGGAATTGAAAAATGCCGTAGTACTAGCCCTACAAGGAATGAGTTCTAATGGATTTAATTCTGTGTTCAAGGAATGGGTATCCAGACATGAGAAATGTGTTGCAAATGGTGGCAATTATGTAGAATGAACTATTATTAGTAACTGTGCAATAGTATGATTTATATTGTTGTGAAATAAAATGTTGAGGATATAACAATTTCAGATCTTGTTGATATTTTGAGATTACGCATTACACGTTAAGTAATTTGCCCCGGGTTACGCGATATCGGGTTACTATAGCAACCATAATTTCAAACAATGAAATGATTGAATTCCAATCTTTGAGATGGTAACTCAGAAATGTTGTGGGTACATGTATACCAAATTTCATGAAGATCTGATGAATACTTTTGAAATTACAACATCTTTGACGTTACTTCTGGATCACCCTGTATGTATGGTCCTCTCAAAAAATAATTTCATATTGCAAATCCAATTAATATCTGGGACTGGAAGTACAATTTGTATCATACTCCAGAAAAAAACTGAGATCGAGAAAAATTATGAGGTTGGTGTGACATTCTATCATTCTAGAATGGTGACGGGAGTTGAGGTTTATAATCTTATAATTCTGGGTAACTTTATCAGGTCCATAGCCAGACTTTTGCCAAAGTGGGTTCAGTTTTTCTGGGGAAGGTTTGTTTTATGACCACAATTTTTGTTAGAGACAATTTTTCAAATGTTCAAAGCCTGTATCATTTAAGGTAATCTATTAGGCACATTTTCTGAAAATTTCAAAAGAATCTGTTCCGTGAACTTTCCGAAAGGATAACTTTTAACTATTTTTCAGCAACAATTTCAAATAGCCGAACAAATTATTTCATCAGGTTGATGGTCATAATTAGTTTTAGTGAACATGAACATTGTGATCCTGGTCATGTAAATGGTATATGCTGACTGGTGAGTTGGCAAGACAAATGACAGATTTCCGATAGTCTAGCAACATAAGCATGAATGTCAGCAAGCTCCATTGAATTTATCCAGTGCCATGAATTTTAAATAAGAGGTGTAGATCATTGTTACAATTGTACAGGCAGCTTTGTAGGACTAGATTAGTCCTCTGCACACAGGAAGTAATTGACCCAGTCTTGCCTTTCCACTTCAGACATGATAAAGAGATGTCAATAGGATTTTTGACCAATCCTGGTAAACAACCGTAAGGTTTACCAGTATACTCATCAAAATCGCAGGTTTCAAGAACCTTCCTTAGGCTGAGACCCGGGGCTGAGACTTGAATTGATAAGGAGGTCTACACCAACTTCGCTGACCTGCATCATTGTTCTAAAATCAACTCACAGTCCTTGACTCAAATTTAGAATCGTTGAGACGATTTTGCAGCATGTACATATCGATCGTATTAAAACAACGGCTATATCTTTCCAAAACTAGGAAGTGGGAGGTGGCGGCATGAATTTTTCCGATTGTAAAATTGACAGCGACAAAACAGGGTACATTTCTCAAAAAGTATAAATCCTATTAATTGCAAATTCCCATACCGAATGCATGAATACTTACTCAGATCTTTGATGTAAATTTCGATACTATTCAAAGGATAAATCCCTAATATTTTCCAAATAATCGATGATTTAGGATTTCCAAATTTTGTCCGCCATTTGCAAGGTTAAACCCAAAACGAGGCTATGTACACCCACTTTGTCACGTGATCGCATCAAATGTATGAGTAGCAAAACACCTTTATTTTAGATTTAAAGCTGATGCTTTTTCTTACAGTTTTTTCTCATCTAATCTTCACATTGCAATAATTGATATATATATTCTTTATTGTTATTCTTTAGTACAGACAATGAATTTCATTCTAGTGCCAACTCTACTATCTATCTGTTCGCAGTGTCCACTGGCGGATCCAGAAGATAACAAGAGCCAACAAGAGGCCCAAATTTTGAGTCAGGAAAGAATTTTGGGCCCCGAGCTATAACCTAAAATTGGGCCCAATTTTTAAAAATTCAAGGCCCAATTAATGATACATTTGCCTAAAAATGCCTTAGAATACCAAATTATGCCCAAAAAGACCCATTTTTTGAGGCCCTACAAGATTCTTGGGGCCTAAAATCTTTTTCTGGGCCCACAAAAGGTTTTGAGCTCCCCTCCCTGGATCTTCCAGTGGGGCCTGTGATATTTGAAATTTTTATACTTCGCACCATTTAAACAACAATGCCAATAAGATTTTTATATACGTGTACTTCACAATACATTGTAAAACTCATTTTTTCTCATTATCATTGGTAAGAGTTAAATTTAAATCACATTGTTTCAAACATTCAATTTCATTTCATGTATGAATTGTTTTCTTCAAGGTAGTGCTATTTTTGGAAAACTCTTGATAGATAAGGGACCTAGGATGAAGGAAAAGCAAACAGGGACCCACTCAAAAATTCTATCTTGTCCCAAAATGTAATTAATTAAATATCAGATTGACCCCTCTATTGGACCTCAAAGATGTTATTGGATATTTATTGACTTTTTCAAATTAGGCCTAAAAGTTTTTTCTTTTTTCTTTTTAAATAAATGGTTTACATGCCAACAAAACAAAACTTTTACCCCTCCCACCAATATAACTATGTGAATAGGCATACATATATATCAACCATCTCCCCAACATAAAGATGGTGGCCTTGTGAAATGGGGGTATTCTCAATCACCATGAACTAAAGACCTCATTTGCTCAGACATTAAACAATACAATATTTCTGGATGTATACATCTTTTATTCTTAGAAAGTTTAAACTCTATTCAATATACAACAGTTCTATACATATGTATTATATTACATCTATGCATGCATTGAAGCATATGATCATAAAATAAAACAGTGGAATGTACAAGAGCATTCAACGAGACTATATTACTATTTTTTCCATTTCAGGGGCCACTACTTAAAGGACCTTGTTAGTTTACAATGTTTTTCAATCTGAATAACAGACCCCGGATAAGTAAAACAAAAAGATAGTAACAATGGCAACTAAATAATAACTATTTAAGACAGAATACATAAATAATACCAAATATGGTCATCTGTTCGTTCTAATCTAATAATAACTGTGGATTCCTCTTTTACTAACCTTATATAATAAGTAATTTTTAAGGTATATAATACATAATTTTTAAGGTATATAATAAATAATTTTTAAGGTAGATAATACATAATTTTTAAAGTATATAATACATAATTTTTAAGGTATATAATACATAATTTTCAAGGTATATAATATATAATTTTCAAGGTAAGTAAAAGAGGAATTCACAGTTATTAAAACATTATTTATACAGATGAAATAAAGCTCCAATCACATTTTATTTACAGCGTAAGCATGATTGATTTTTTTTAGAGAATGATACATTTTTGTACATAATACTTTATCAAAAATCAGTCTAATTTGCATGATTACATTTTCCAAATAAAATTCAAGCATTATTTGATATTTTTCCAAAATGATCATAAAATAGTGAAAATGGAATGATATAAATGCTGGACGGTGCAAGAGACACTGTAAATATTCTCTATATAAAGTGTATATAAAGCTAACATGTACAGTGTATATGTACAGTTATATGTATATGTAAACAATAAACACGCTGCAATCTTTATTTTGCACAATGCAGTAAGTTAGAAAGATTTCAACATAATTGGTACGATCTATATATATATACGTATATGTAAGTATGTCACAATTAATTAATTTTTATTTTAGCACATCTTTGGACTTTAAATCCTTGTAACACATAATGTTGAGAATGAGATCAATGGTATTTAGAATTTTACTTTTTATGGGACACCCTGTACTTTATCATGTATATAATAAAATACAAATCATAATTGCACAAAAAAATATTAAACACACTAATCTCAAAATGGTATAGGCTAACTACGCAAAATAAATCAGAAAACATAAAATTTTACTTATTTTCAAATGAAGTAAAACAAAAGTCAGTCTCAAAGAATTCCGTTTTAAGACGTCCGCATTTGAAAATGTACAATTTTCATTTTACCAGGTCTATAACAACCCTAATTGATTAACTCAAAAATTATTTCCTCCCTTATAAATATAAATATTTTTTTGTCTCTATATAGACTTGAAGTTTATCACATTTTGTCTTTATATAGACTTGAACGTTATCACATTTTGCTGCTGTTATAGTACAGTACTGTACTTCAACTTACTTTGGTGCTTTTGAAATTGCATTTGAGAGAATATGGCTGAGAATTGCGAGAGAAGTATATATACAATATATAGTAACGACATATCAGAGTACATACATTTCCTTTTTTACTTTTGACTCTCTTTTCATCAAAGACACATATCAGAATGTCTCTCCCAGTTCACGCAAGTTCAAAATGAACCATGGGAAATGAAAATATGAAAGTCTAAGCAACACCAATGTTAATGTATCTGTACCATAAACAAAGAATCTGTACCATCAAACTGGCCAATCTACAATTCACAACCCATTCGAAAAATCGAAATGGGCACCAAATTAACTCGAAGTACAGTATACGCTCCTTTCCACTGGTCTTTTCCATCACAGGATTCATTATGTACATTGTCTTTTTAACAAACACTGTATGGATGGCAGTTTTCATTGATTTTACCATCACTGCACGGATGGTGATTTCCCTCCAGTTTTTCCTACACTGCATCTAGATATTTATTCGCACCCCTTTAATATTAACGAACACTTGTTAGTTCAACTGCAAGGACTGGGATTTTCATCGGGTTTGGTGAAAGTTCCTTGGAGGTGGTCTGTTTGCCAAAGGAGGTGGACCAAATGGATCAACCTGAAACAAAGGAGGTGTGTTATCAATCCCATAATGCAATCTGACACTTTCACTGGGTAATTTCTGAAGATTTGGGAAATTTGTATATTACAGACCATCATTTTGTTCCTACATTCAAGTGTATACAAAATTCAATATCACAATGGATGCTCAATGTTTAGATGTTTAGAAACTAACAGAGTTTACTAAATGGGCAACAAAGATTATAGAGAGAGAGTAAAATGTTGGAAACAATTTTTTTCAAAAATCAAAGCCTGCTTTTGTCAAGGGAGGGGGTCAGTTTTTAAAAAATTACAAGGGGTTCAAATTTGTCAATTTAGACCCGAAATCACTTGAAAAAATGCTCAAAATGGTGAAAAACTGCATGACTTAGACATTTTTTCAGGCAACCCCCCTGGCTATGGGACTGCATACAAGGTAGGACTATACATAAGGGTGTTTACATTGACTATAGGGTTTCCTTGTGCGTCTATAGCCATCTCAGTGGCACCTTTGCCGTACTGCTTCCTTGCCCTTCCCCAGTTTGCCTTGATCTCAATTTCCTGTTGGTAATCTTTTGGCTTCTGGAATGGCTTTCCATATGATACTGCAATAAGCTGATCCCTTTCCAAGTCTTGGAAACTTTCAATCTGAAATTAAAAATTGAGAGGATTATTTGATTAAAGATAATGTTTATTTATATTAAGAAAATATTTGAAAGAGACGTAGGGGTTTGCTTGGTTCCACAATAAAGTCTATATGCCACACACTATTACAAGCCATTAACATGCAAAATGTCACCACCTGCCATTTGTTACACTGGCCAACTACCAACACCCACCATCAAATGCCGACCACTGAACACCATCCACAAAAAATGTCAACAATGTCACCACTTCAGGTGGTGACATAAAAATGGCACAATTCTTTGACTTGACATGATGAGTCAGTATACATGTATACATACACAACAAAAAATTCCAAATGAAAAATATGGACCCCTATACAATTGTTGATGGAAGTAGAAAAATGATTCTATATGCTCAAAAGAATAGAGGCTTACCATGTGAGAGCCGAAAAAACACAAGGTGAACAATATTGTATGTAAATATCAAAAAATGCCACATACAGTTTACCTAGCATGTATAAAAACTAATCAGTTCTAGATTTTCAAAGAAACCTCCCTTTAAATATTAAATATATATGGCTTGTCTGGAGATTTGCGATAACAAAAGTGAGATGCTGCCCGCAGAATTGAAAATACTGTCCCTTTTTACGGTGTGATAAAATGATGAAAGTACATACCTTATGACCAAGAATATGGTATAATATCTTGGCATCCTTCCTAAGGTTAAGACGTAGTGTTGCGTTGTTGAGCAGTTGTTGGAGTGATTCTCCCCACACATAGACAGCCCGTTTGATACTCTCCCCATTAGGGAAAATCATCACACGTTTCTGAAATTAAACAATATACACAGTGATAAATATTGCACCATTTATCAAAAATTTCAAAATGGCCACCACCGAGTAATTTACGCAACATGCTCAAAACCTAATAAGATGTTGGTATTTAGTTTAATCGAAAAATAAGATAAAAAAGTATTTGTGCACACTATTCTAGACCACGGCATCATACCTAGTTGTTTTTGATGCAAGAAGATGAGATAATAGTGTGGGCCTAGATTTAAAGGGATAGAGTTAACATAAATTAAATACTTCCTAATCGCAACTGCACTCACCATATTTGGCTGTCCGTATAGCCTGTTCGTTGTGTCAGGGTTGAAGACCTTTGATTTCTGTCCTTGGTTAGTTCGTACCTCCTCTAGATGTGTCTGAAATACAGAATCCAAAGATTATTTTACCACAATTTTCATCAAGCAGTGTGAGAGTCTATTACATTAAGGTTTAAGCATCCTGAAGTAAGGTATAAGGTATATGATTCATTATTAGGGGTGAGACGACAACCCGATGAGTCGAGGACTCGCGGGTTTGGGGCTTCGAGTCGAGTCGAATCGAGTCAAAGTTGATGAATCGAATCATTTTCGAGTTGAGAAAAAAATTCGAAAAAATAAAAAAATTCAGAAAAATACTGTCAATATGCATGTTTTTACTCGATATTGCGTTGAATATATAAGTTTCAATGACTTGGATATGCTTGTATTAAATTATTATATTGTATGTACACATAAATGAAAGAATATATGTAATAAAATCAGAATAAACTTACGACGAATTGTGTTTGTTTATATTTCCGGCTTTCCACCATTGACGCATTAAAAATACGAACGGTCAAAAGCGATGTTGTTCGCACTTCGCGCGACTCGAAACGGATTCGAAACTCGAATCGTCATTTTCTGACTCGAATCGGATTCGACTCGAATCGGATTTTTTCGACTCGTCTCACCCCTATTCATTATACAGGGTTTATATAGGGTTCATCGGAAAGGCCTGCTATTTAAGCAAGGCCATTGCAGATGCTTTTCATTTACCAAAAGTGGGATTTTATCATACATTTATCCCATGAACAATAACAGCTAGTGACCTCTCTAATATAATTGAAATTTGTGTGATACTTTTCAGAAAATTATTTATCAACCTTACATGCTTGATATCGTTTATGTGTTTTATAAACAAATTAGATTTCTTTAAATTCTTGATTATAATCATGGGATAAACCCAATATCAAATCATTTCTAGTGATATAATTTTATTGCCTAGTAGATATCAAACAACGTCAACTCATTGATAAAAGTTTTATCACTCAAAATGATCTGATATTCTGTATTTATCCCACGATTAATGTGTTATCTGTACAATAACAGCTATTGATATTTCTGATATTATTGAAATCCGTGTGATATTTTCCAGAAAATCGTTTATCAAACTCATATGCGTGTGATATCGTTTATCTCACGCATATCCGTGTGATATCACATTTGCATTTCGCGCCACAATATTGTTGGAAATTAGGTCAGATAATTTATTCTCTTTTGAGAAAATAGGTCCGTTAATTTATTCTCTTTAAGTTTCATTGGTGTATTGAATTACGATTGTGTATATAATTTGATTAGAAGGCTGCTTAATAACGATTAAAAATGGTATTTATGACGAACTATATCATGTACAGAAAGTAGTGCATTACTGCGCAGTGGCCGGTGCAAATTCGTCTGACGAAGAATTGGCGAATTTCTAGTTTATATTGTCTGCCAATGTCCTGGAAATTGGATCAGAACATCACAAGGTGATTGAAATCATGGGATAAACCCAATATCACATAATTTCTCGTGATATCATTTTATCGTCTCGTAGATATCAAATATCAACACTCATTCGCTTCGCTCACTCGTGTTGATATTTGATATCAACTCGGCGATAAAAATGATATCACTCAAAATGATGTGATATTCTGTATTTATTACCTCCAGTTGATGTATGTTATCATGTTTCATTTTCTCTTCATTGCTTGGCTCTTGCCATGTCCCTTCAATAGCAACAGGATCCCTCGGACTCCTTTGCCCTACATACTCTCCGGGGTTCAACTCATCAAACCTACGACCTGTAAAGTATGATATGGTTTATTATCATACAGTGATATAATATCCAGCATTGTGATTGGTCAATAGCAACAGGATCCCTCGGACTCCTTTGCCCTACATACTCTGCAGGATTCAAATCGTCAAACCTACGACCTGTAAAGTATGATATGATATATTATCGTACAGTGGTATAATATCCAGTGTTGTAATTGGTTCCTACATGCTCCTCATCAAACCTAATATTTTGCCACTTACACAAAATATCAAATCATTCAAACGTGCATTTATAATATAAAAGCTGAATGGATATGAAAACCGAGTGGAGAAATAACTGATAAAATTACCTTGCATTTGCCTAAGGACGTGTTTTTCTTTGTCTAATTCCCGTCCCACTTTGGCTCTCTCCTCTCTCTCTTGCACACTGCGGTTGTAACGTTCCTCAGCAGCTGAAATAGGAATATAGATGTTTTGCACATTTTCCCTTAAGCTATTATAAACAAAATAAACTACTCTTTGCTAGAATAATTAACTGTTCCTCTTAAATTAAGCGATAAATCTCATTTAGCCAATCAGAGTCAGCCATTGCTAAGCTGCAGTGACTTCCATATAAAATGTCAACTTTGCATGAACTAATGCTTTTGACCCATGACATCTCATTCTTCTAATCCAATGAGAATCATGTATAGAGTGAAACAGAAAGATGTTTTTTTATTAAGTCATTCATTCATTGTACAAAGAATACTACAACACATGTGCTGTGATCTCCCCAGGATTTTTTCTCCGGTGGGTGCAAAATTCTCATTTTCACAATTCAGACCAAAATTGAAATCAAAATGTGCCAATTTTTCATGATTTTTCTCATTTTCAAGTGGGAACAAATGGATTTTCAAGTGGGTGCAAGCCTATTTTTAGAATCTCAGGTGGGTGCTGCGTCCACTTGCTTTAATGCTGGGGAGATCACTGATGTGTAATTGACTGTGCTTCGAGCATTGCACAGAAAGATGTGATGAATGCCACAATAGCTTTAGCCATAAAGTCAGGCACATTTAGCAGAAAGTTTAAATTTCATAATATAGCAAAACTTGTGTAAGTGGAACACCTTTGGTTCCTAAAAGTGTTTCACTTGGAGGTGTTCTACTAACAGAGGTTCATTAATTAACAATTAGTCAGTGGGCAATGGGCGAGAGAACCCCCTGGCCAAACATTCTTTCAGAATCATGCAGTTTTTCACCATTCTGAGCCATTTTCAAGTGATTTTGGCCATTTTTGGGCCAAATTTGTCAAAAGTGAACCCCCCTGGAATTTTTCAAAAACAGAACCCTTCTTGGCAAATCCTGGCTACGGGCCTGACTATCATAAGAATTTCATTGACGGAGATGTTCTACTTGACAGTTTTTACTGCATGTACCTTCTGGTTTGACGAAAGGTTCTCCCGATGAGGCCCACACTTCAATGGGATATCGTAGAATTTCCTCTGTGGGTGGTGGCTGTACATTAGAGATGCTATTCTTGCGATGAGGCCGTGCTGGTTTGGCTTTAGGAGTTTTAGCAATAGCTGCCCAGTTCTTTGCCAGGAACTCTTCTCCAATGTTAATCTCCTGATAAAGAAGATCAGTTTTTAAACCGTTATGTTTTTTCAATATTTCAATACATATTAGAGGGAGCAATGGTAGAGCAATAAACTACAAGTAATTCCTTTGCTGGTCATGTTTTCTTAAATGAGTTTAAATGGAAAGATTTAGTACAATGCTTGCAAAGACTTAGTCAAATGTCTGGAAAGATTTAGTGCAATGTTTCTAAAGACTTAGTGCAATGTCTGGAAAGACATAGTGCAATATTTGGAAAGAGAAATATATCAAACTTCTCACCCTTTCCTCCCCAGGGAGTAAAATGTAAATAGATGGAGTTTCTTTTGTTTCCGGATTCATATACGTCAATGTCTTTGCCCCAACGACTTGTACCCCATTGGGCCATGGCATATCACATGACGTCAGCTCTCTGAACTCGCTGATGGCATCTTCCTCCCAGCGTTTTCCTTTCGGCCCAACCTTGGCGAGACTGCATGTTATTGCTTGGAAGGGGAGCTCCAAGAATTCAGTTCTGAAAGTAGGATTTGAACATGTAGTCCAGTAGGCAGAAAGTTTAACATTGATGTAACAATTTTCAATGTAAAGAGAACATGTTAGTGTGAGGCTTCCATAAAATCTATCAAAATCTATCAAATTATTAGCTATTTTACGATTTACTAACTTTAATGGCTGAATGAATTTCTTCTCCACCTCAGCGACATATCCAAAGTCGACATATCGAACGACAGCACTGTAATCATCAGAACTGAGAACATGTGCCCGAAACCAGAGCCCAACACCATCATCTCCAACTTCATGCTTCGCTGCCACCATATCATCAACAACAATAGAGAACTGAAATAGAATAGAACAAGTATGCATTTGAGATTATAGAATCATAGAGTCCAACACCATCATCTCCAACTTCATGCTTGGCTGCCACCATGTCATCAACAACAATAGAGAACTGCAAAAGAATAAAACAAGTATGCATTTGAGATTATAGAATCATAGAGTCCAACACCATCATCTCCAACTTCATGCTTGGCTGCCACCATATCATCAACAACAATAGAGAACTGCAATAGAATAGAACAAGTATGCATTTGAGATTATAGAATCATAAAGTCCAACAACATCATCTCCAACTTTATGCTTGGCTGCCACCATGTCATCAACAACAATAGAGAACTGCAATAGAATAGAACAAGTATGCATTTGAGATTATAGAATCATAGAGTCCAACACCATCATCTCCAACTTCATGCTTGGCTGCCACCATATCATCAACAACAATAGAGAACTGAAATAGAATAGAACAAGTATGCATTTGAGATTATAGAATCATAGAGTCCAACACCATCATCTCCAACTTCATGCTTGGCTGCCACCATATCATCAACAACAATAGAGAACTGAAATAGAATAGAACCAATATGCATTTGAGATTATAGAATCATAGAATCCAACAACATCATCTCCAACTTCATGCTTGGCTGCCACCATATCATCAACAACAATAGAGAACTGCAATAGAATAGAACCAATATGCATTTGAGATTATAAAATCATAGAGTCCAACACCATCATCTCCAACTTCATGCTTGGCTGCCACCATGTCATCAACGACAATAGAGAACTGAAATAGAATAGAACCAATATGCATTTGAGATTATAAAATCATAGAGTCCAACAACATCATCTCCAACTTCATGCTTGGCTGCCACCATATCATCAACAACAATAGAGAACTGAAATAGAATAGAACAAGTATGCATTTGAGATTATAGAATCATAGAGTCCAACAACATCATCTCCAACTTCATGCTTGGCTGCCACCATATCATCAACAACAATAGAGAACTGCAAAAGAATAGAACAAGTATGCATTTGAGATTATAGAATCATAGAGTCCAACACCATCATCTCCAACTTCATGCTTGGCTGCCACCATGTCATCAACAACAATAGAGAACTGCAATAGAATAGAACCAATATGCATTTGAGATTATAAAATCATAGAGTCCAACACCATCATCTCCAATTTCATGCTTCGCTGCCACCATATCATCAACAACAATAGAGAACTGCAATAGAATAGAACAAGTATGCATTTGAGATTATAGAATCATAGAGTCCAACAACATCATCTCCAACTTCATGCTTGGCTGCCACCATGTCATCGACAACAATAGAGAACTGCAAAAGAATAGAACCAATATGCATTTGAGATTATAGAATCATAGAGTCCAACAACATCATCTCCAACTTCATGCTTGGCTGCCACCATGTCATCAACAACAATAGAGAACTGAAATAGAATAGAACAAGTATGCATTTGAGATTATAGAATCATAGAGTCCAACAACATCATCTCCAACTTCATGCTTGGCTGCCACCATATCATCAACAACAATAGAGAACTGAAATAGAATAGAACAAGTATGCATTTGAGATTATAGAATCATAGAGTCCAACAACATCATCTCCAACTTCATGCTTGGCTGCCACCATATCATCAACAACAATAGAGAACTGCAATAGAATAGAACAAGTATGCATTTGAGATTATAAAATCATAGAGTCCAACACCATCATCTCCAACTTCATGCTTGGCTGCCACCATGTCATCAACAACAATAGAGAACTGCAATAGAATAGAACAAGTATGCATTTGAGATTATAGAATCATAGAGTCCAACAACATCATCTCCAACTTCATGCTTGGCTGCCACCATGTCATCAACAACAATAGAGAACTGCAATAGAATAGAACAAGAATACATTTGAGATTTTAGAATCATAGAGTCCAACACCATCATCTCCAACTTCATGCTTGGCTGCCACCATATCATCAACAACAATAGAGAACTGCAAAAGAATAGAACAAGTATGCATTTGAGATTATAGAATCATAGAGTTCAACAACATCATCTCCAACTTCATGCTTGGTTGCCACCATATCATCAACAACAATAGAGAACTGAAATAGAATAGAACAAGAATACATTTGAGATTATAGAATCATAGAGTCCAACAACATCATCTCCAACTTCATGCTTGGCTGCCACCATATCATCAACAACAATAGAGAACTGCAATAGAATAGAACAAGTATGCATTTGAGATTATAGAATCATAGAGTCTAACAACATCATCTCCAACTTCATGCTTGGCTGCCACCATATCATCAACAACAATAGAGAACTGCAATAGAATAGAACAAGTATGCATTTGAGATTATAGAATCATAGAGTCCAACAACATCATCTCCAACTTCATGCTTGGCTGCCACCATATCATCAACAACAATAGAGAACTAAAATAGAATAGAACAAGTATGCATTTGAGATTATAGAATCATAAAGTCCAACAACATCATCTCCAACTTCATGCTTGGCTGCCACCATATCATCAACAACAATAGAGAACTGAAATAGAATAGATCCAATATGCATTTGAGATTATAGAATCATAGAGTCCAACAACATCATCTCCAACTTCAGGCTTGGCTGCCACCATGTCATCAACAACAATATAGAACTGCAATAGAATAGAACAAGTATGCATTTGAGATTATAGAATCATAGAGTCCAACAACATCATCTCCAACTTCATGCTTGGCTGCCACAATGTCATCAACAACAATAGAGAACTGAAATAGAATAGAACCAATATGCATTTCAGATTATAAAATCATAGAGTCCAACAACATCATCTCCAATTTCATGCTTGGCTGCCACCATATCATCAACAACAATAGAGAACTGCAAAAGAATAGAACCAATATGCATTTGAGATTATAGAATCATAAAGTCCAACAACATCATCTCCAACTTCATGCTTGGCTGCCACCATATCATCAACAACAATAGAGAACTGCAATAGAATAGAACAAGTATGCATTTGAGATTATAGAATCATAGAGTCCAACAACATCATCTCCAACTTCATGCTTGGCTGCCACCATGTCATCAACAACAATAGAGAACTGCAATAGAATAGAACAAGTATGCATTTGAGATTATAGAATCATAGAGTCCAACAACATCATCTCCAACTTCAGGCTTGGCTGCCACCATATCATCAACAACAATAGAGAACTGCAATAGAATAGAACAAGTATGCATTTGAGATTATAGAATCATAGAGTCCAACACCATCATCTCCAACTTCATGCTTCGCTGCCACCATGTCATCAACAACAATAGAGAACTGCAATAGAATAGAACCAATATGCATTTGAGATTATAGAATCATAGAGTCCAACAACATCATCTCCAACTTCATGCTTGGCTGCCACCATGTCATCAACAACAATAGAGAACTACAATAGAATAGAACCAATATGCATTTGAGATTATAGAATCATAGAGTCCAACAACATCATCTCCAACTTCATGCTTGGCTGCCACCATGTCATCAACAACAATAGAGAACTGCAATAGAATAGAACAAGTATGCATTTGAGATTATAGAATCATAGAGTCCAACACCATCATCTCCAACTTCATGCTTGGCTGCCACCATGTCATCAACAACAATAGAGAACTGCAATAGAATAGAACAAGTATGCATTTGAGATTATAGAATCATAGAGTCCAACACCATCATCTCCAACTTCATGCTTGGCTGCCACCATATCATCAACAACAATAGAGAACTGCAATAGAATAGAACAAGTATGCATTTGAGATTATAAAATCATAGAGTCCAACACCATCATCTCCAACTTCATGCTTGGCTGCCACCATATCATCAACAACAATAGAGAACTGCAATAGAATAAAACAAGTATGCATTTGAGATTATAGAATCATAGAGTCCAACAACATCATCTCCAACTTCAGGCTTGGCTGCCACCATATCATCAACAACAATAGAGAACTGCAATAGAATAAAACAAGTATGCATTTGAGATTATAGCACCATAGAGTCCAACACCATCATCTCTAACTCTATGCTTGGCTGCCACCATGTCATCAACAACAATAGAGAACTGCAATAGAATAGAACAAGTATGCATTTGAGATTATAGAATCATAAAGTCCAACAACATCATCTCCAACTTCATGCTTGGCTGCCACTATGTCATCAACAACAATAGAGAACTGCAATAGAATAGAACAAGTATGCATTTGAGATTATAGAATCATAAAGTCCAACAACATCATCTCCAACTTTATGCTTGGCTGCCACCATGTCATCAACAACAATAGAGAACTGCAATAGAATAGAACAAGTATGCATTTGAGATTATAGAATCATAGAGTCCAACAACATCATCTCCAACTTCATGCTTGGCTGCCACCATATTATCAACAACAATAGAGAACTGCAAAAGAATAGAACCAATATGCATTTGAGATTATAGAATCGTAAAGTCCAACAACATCATCTCCAACTTCATGCTTGGCTGCCACCATATCATCAACAACAATAGAGAACTGAAATAGAATAGAACAAGTATGCATTTGAGATTATAGAATCATAGAGTCCAACAACATCATCTCCAACTTCATGCTTGGCTGCCACCATATTATCAACAACAATAGAGAACTGCAAAAGAATAGAACCAATATGCATTTGAGATTATAGAATCATAAAGTCCAACAACATCATCTCCAACTTCATGCTTGGCTGCCACCATATCATCAACAACAATAGAGAACTGCAATAGAATAGAACAAGTATGCATTTGAGATTATAGAATCATAAAGTCCAACAACATCATCTCCAACTTCATGCTTGGCTGCCACCATGTCATCAACAACAATAGAGAACTGCAATAGAATAGAACAAGTATGCATTTGAGATTATAGAATCATAGAGTCCAACAACATCATCTCCAACTTCAGGCTTGGCTGCCACCATATCATCAACAACAATAGAGAACTGCAATAGAATAGAACAAGTATGCATTTGAGATTATAGAATCATAGAGTCCAACACCATCATCTCCAACTTCATGCTTCGCTGCCACCATGTCATCAACAACAATAGAGAACTGCAATAGAATAGAACCAATATGCATTTGAGATTATAGAATCATAGAGTCCAACAACATCATCTCCAACTTCATGCTTGGCTGCCACCATGTCTTCAACAACAATAGAGAACTGCAATAGAATAGAACCAATATGCATTTGAGATTATAGAATCATAGAGTCCAACACCATCATCTCCAACTTCATGCTTGGCTGCCACCATGTCATCAACAACAATAGAGAACTGCAATAGAATAGAACAAGTATGCATTTGAGATTATAGAATCATAGAGTCCAACACCATCATCTCCAACTTCATGCTTCGCTGCCACCATGTCATCAACAACAATAGAGAACTGCAAAAGAATAAAACAAGTATGTATTTGAGATTATAGAATCATAGAGTCCAACACCATCATCTCCAACTTCATGCTTGGCTGCCACCATATCATCAACAACAATAGAGAACTGAAATAGAATAGAACAAGAATACATTTGAGATTTTAGAATTTATGTTATTTAATGAAAAATAGAAGGAGAGCAGGATAATACCTTCTATATGAATTGTTTCATGTCAGCTTAGACTGTATTGTATTGTATTTTATTGTATTGTATTGCATTGTGTTTTGATAAAAAAAATGCAGCATTCAAAGTCAGTATAGATATGAATTAACATGCAAAATGTCACCACCTGCCATTTTTTACAGATGTCAAACACAAACTACCAGATGCCAAACACTGAATACCAAATGCTGAACACAATCCACAAAAAAGCTGGAGACTATAACAATATGTCACCACTTGTGAAAGTCTGCTGAAACTTATGCCACAAAATGTTTTTAAACTTTAAATGTATTAAATTTGAATATGCAATTTGACAGCAGTTGACTTACATCATCTGTCATATCATCTTCACGAACACTATCTGTACTGGCCTCCTCAAGATCAGCTGTCCTTTTCTCCTCATACAGTTGAGTCATTTGCCCCACTAACATCTCAAGTTGCTGTTTTGTACTGGCTAACTGGCATATAAAGTTATTGGGCGTCTCAACACTTGTCACGTAGATTTCTATGATTCCACGATGTGACGGCCAGGCCTTTTGCTTACCTGGAATAGCAAAAATATTAATTTCATGGACTTCCAAAGGGGGAAGGGGGGGGCATGGACTTCCAAAGGGGGAAGGGGGGAGTATGGACTTCCAAAGGGGGAAGGGGGGCATGGACTTCCAAAGGGGGAAGGGGGGCATGGACTTCCAAAGGGGGAAGGGGGGTATGGACTTCAAAGGGGGAAAGGGGGACATGGACTTCCAAAGGGGGAAGGGGGGGTGCGTTCCCTTTTTTGAACCAACTGTTTTGTTGTGTGTTCCTATATTCTTTAGAATGCAATTATACAATGCTAAATAAAAATAGATCAGTGATCGATCAGTCTTTCAGTCTTACACGCTTCATAATTAAACAAATTCTTTCAAAGATAAACATAAAACTTCAATTTTTACTCACCTTGTATGAGAACTGTTTGATTCTGCTCCATGACTCTGTGTGACTTGGCTCCATTAATGAATATTGTATCTGTGTTATTTGCATCCTCAAATGCCCACACATGGGTTAAATAAGTCCGTTGCTTTTTAGTTTTTCCATTTGGTAAAATTCCGTGCTTTTTACGATTTCCGTCATAGTCCACCCAGAACATATTGGCATCTATTCCCGATTTATTTACAAATGTAATCTCAGTTTTGACTTTTTTCTCCTTGGATTTCATTGGTCCATCCATAGACATCTCCGATTTCATACCTGGAAGTGAATCATAGAATTGATTTCATTGGTTGATAAGTAGTAAAGATCTTTTTAAAGTGACATGTAATTTTCGTATGAGTGAAGACTTGAATTAAAAGAATTTCCAAGGAGATAAATCAAAATAGCCATGGAAAATTTACAAATTTTGCCAAAACTATTCAAATCATGTCAAAACTTCACTGAAAATATAAGGATGACAAAATATGAACAACAGCAAAATATAGAAAAAATGCACGCTTCTGACCATTGTGTTACATTGTAATTATAATACATTCTCCTGGGAGTGTTAAGATTACATTGTTTTTAAATCTTACTTGTGACTGAGGCCTCATCATCCTCTCTTGCATCCATCTTCATCTTTTCCAGCATCCCTGTCATTTCATCTTTCTCTTCATCTCCCTCGTCATCTTCGTCCGATGATGCTTTAGACACTTCATCTGTAACAAACACAATCAAGCAGTTAAAATAAAGGACCAAGTCGTCTACTTTTTGCCAATTTCTCAAAAACTGAAAACTAAGATTTGAGAAAAAGAGAACGATCTCAGGTCGGGAGATACTGAGTAACTATGGACAGACATCAAATGAATATAGCATATGACCTTATATGGAACAACAAATAGGGAGTTTTACATTGTACCACCAGTGTTGACAGGTGAATAGATGGGCACAGACCCAATCCCATATGCTCGATGTGTGGATTAAAAAAGAATTTTCATCTTCTAACATCCTACTTTTCCAATCGAAATCGGGATTCAAAAAATTACCAAATTAGGTATTACTGATGATCGATCACAATGAATGTTAAAACTTGAATTATATCATAGTTTTTCATTCAAGACTCACCATCTTCTTTTCCTTTTTTATTTTTCATATTTGCTTCTTTGGTGCGTCTGAGATCTCTCCGCATCATCTCCGTGTAGTTGTTAACGGCCCATTGTATGAGGTCATCAATGTCAAGGATGATCATCCCGTCACTTGTGTAGATACGACGTGCGGCACTTGCCATCTGCAGCCTGTGGGTGCACTGGTCTAGGATCTACAATCGGATAATATCAAATTGAGCAACAATGTTGTCCTAGCTACTGAAGTGTAATATACATATTCTGGCAATAGCGCTATCCTGTACAAGTAAAAATGATAACAGATCAGCAATCTAACAGTAAAATTTCTAATCTTTGAATATTTTACACGAATCATCTTGGTGATGATGATTACAACTTAATGTTATGTGTGACTGGTCACATCCTCCAATCACAGGGCTTCAAAATCCAGAATATATTCTTTCTTTTTACCGCCTGTGATAAGCAGTTAGCATTTCCCCAATTAAGAACTCGCAATCTGATTGGCTGTCGCAACACTGCGACAGAAATCATGTACAGGTCATTGCGCATAATTAGATCACGTGAATCAGTTTAATCGGGCACTACCAAATTGGTTATAGCAGGGGTAGAAGGAGGTACGGATTCTGGACACCTGCTTAGGAGGATGGACTGGTCACATCTTTCTGCTTCATTTTGTTAGATCAAATATTCATCCGATATATAGTTCAAGCTTACCCCCAAAATGCTGGAGCCAAATAGAAGTTCCCCTTCTTTAAGTCGGCCCTCGCCATTTTTATAGGCGTAAACTTTGACAGTCTTTGGACCTCTGGCAGCGGATATTTCTTGGGCGATTGCACGTACGCTGGTCTCTTGGCGGAGGTTTTCCAGCTGTAGTTCCCACTCTTCTAGAGTGTGCTCAGCCTCAAATGTTGAAAGGTCAACTTTCCCATTTAAACATTGGAAGCTACCTATTTGTTTGAAACCTTTGTCTTTTGCTGTAAAATAAATAAATATACAAGATAAATAATCATCATGTGCTTTTTAATTCACAGTTTCAATTTTGAATGTTAGAAATGTATTTTGCTGTAAAATAATTATGTATATATGAATAATCAGTCTGTGTCTTTTTAATTTACTGTGTAAGTATCTTTATTTTTGATTGCTTTCATTGCTATTTTTATTTTGGATTTGATTTCATTGTTACCATAGTTACCCTTATATCAAAATTAATTGTTGATGGTGAATTCTTGTTTTTTGTTAAATTAAAAAATAAATTCTAAATTAAAATATTTTTTTTAGGCATACCTGTTCCCATAGCGCAGGCAAAGTCGACGCTATGAGGCAACATCTCAAGCTTGTGGCGCCCTCTCATGGCCCGAGCACATGCGGAACAAACAATCAACTCATGGACTTTGTTATTTTGGTCAGCCATTTGGACAATATAACCCTAAAGACAAGAAAAATGATGTAATTTATCTATTATTTCAGGTATATTATGAATTATATGTTATATTATATATTGAATATTGTGAATAATATATATATTTCACAATGTCAGTTGCTAGCAAAGGACAATCAACTTTCCAAAATTGTAGCTGCTGAACTTTCCCCTTGATTAGGTATTAGATATCTGTTAGATATCTCTAAGCATGTATGGCAATTAGCAAGAGACATGTGTAATGAATAGCCAAAGAAATGTCTCAAACAGGTTTTTACGCAAAGCCAAGGTGCAAATGAGATTGGAAAATGACAACCCATAATAGGGGCGGATCTGGGAACAAACAAGGGGGGGGGCCCTAATTTCAGGTCAGAGAAAAAACTTAACCCAAAAGTGGGCCCAAATTTTGAAATTTTGGGGCCCATTTTCTTCAAAATTTGGCCTGAAATTAAAAAAAAGGCCTTAAAAGGCCCACTTTTTGGGGCCTTAAGGCCTTTTTTGCCTCAAAATTTTTTTTGGACCCAATTTTTTTTCTGGGTCCCCCAAGCCTCCCCCCCCACGATCCGCCAGTGCATAAGTAGATCCAATAAAATGGTGGGTGGGTTAAGAATGGCTGACTTACAGGTTGGTCCAATTCCTCTGCTCCTGCTACTGAATATGTACAAACATTGGCCTTGTTGGCAGATGTCACCTCTGAAAGAAAAAACTGAAAATTCAGTCCTGTACTTTTGTTTTACGATGAGATACATGTTATTTATCGCCTAAAGAAATAGCCGTTTAAAGGCCCCATGTAAAATTTATATCACTTTAGCTGATTTTGCAGTTTTATCCAATCCAATTTTATAGTGATATGAATTTTATTTATTTAAAAACAGAAGTCTTTGAATGACTTTTAATAAATAAAATTGAGAATCTATATTAAAATTTTATCATAGCGTTTTAGATTGTCAAAATAAATATTCAATTTTAGATGATATAACTTAAATTGCACTTGATCGAAGATTTAGGAATTTTGGATTTAAGATATGTGAAATTCTTAAAATTCACCTTTATCAGTGATATCTGTGAAGAACGAGTGAACAAAACCAGTTTCAGGATCATAACGCCATATTTGGTTACTTCGTCCAAATTGCGTCGTTTTTTTGTTGCTGAGGATTACTGTTGACCCAACATAACTGAGTGGCATAGAGTCGTCCTCACGACGTGTGTTGGTTGGCATGGTTACTGTTAGTACCATCTGGGGACTATGTTTAGCCTGGATAATACTGAAAAATAAATACATTTTTGATATTTTGAAAAAAGTTGCAAAAGTTGCAAAGTTTGATTATATGTTTTTATCATTCAATTACCATGTTTATGACTTTAAAAGTTATCTTAGATATTTTGGAAAAAAAACTTTTATTCTTAAAATATAGTGTATTTTTCAATGTACTTCTCAGATGAAAGCCAAATTATCAAGTCCATCAAGTCTATAAAAAAACCAAAAAAAAGTCTATAAAAAACCCAAAAAATAAAGCAAGCCTCTGACCCACTTACCCATTATCATGCACAATCCATCTCTGGAAGATATCATCGGGACGTTTCTTGACGAGGACCACTTCAGCCACGCGGGATTCAGACTCCAGAACTCCCAATACGAGCTCTGGTTTCACCTTACAGATGATAAAACCTTCCTCGTATATGAACTTTTGGAGATGGAGCCCTGGGTATCTAGGAGAAAGCTGTCGCTTAGGTCTGCAATAATAAATAAACATGATTGTAAATAAATAAAAAATAATAAATAAAATGATTGTTTATAATGATTCGGACCTACCAAGCAATAGAAGACAATCATTTTTAAGTTTTCTCTTGAAAAATTGAAAAGGGTATACTCCTCCTTTTCAATTATAATTTTGGAAATTTCTGCATCTTAAAATTCATATCTGATCAGATATTCAGATCAGATAAATTCTTTTTTGGAAAAAAAGCTTTCAAAATGCCGATATTAAAATGAAATATCAATGATCTCATTTTTCCAAATCCATTAACGTATCTTATAGAGATAATGTAGCGGTTTCTGTATATTTGAATAAAATGGGTGCTGCAGGCTGTGTCAATATTTCAATGTCTGTCAAAAAACTGAAGTTAATTATGTTGGGAGGGGGTTTAATCAGGTGAAGGACATTAATTTTTAGTTTCCTGGGATTTCATCTTCTGCAGTTTTTGTATTCACTTTTCCTTCGTTGCATCCTGACATTTTCACAATGACGGTGCCCACCAAAAACCCCAACTAAATCTGTTCTTTAGAATGTTTATAATGGTATGACAGCCATGCTATGATCATTAAATAAACCAAAATCACAGCAAGAGAATTCAATATGTGTTGTTTATAGCAGTAGCAGATATTTTATACAGGGGTTGTACTTGTACTGTGTCCACAAATCAACATTTTGACTTTCATTAGAAGGGGGGGGGGGGGTCTAAGACCTAACTAAATTAATCACATGATGTACATTGAAATAATGAGCTGGCCCCTTCGATAAGATTAATTTTAAGAAAATCTGATACTGAATAAAAGGTAATGAAAGCTGATGACATCCACTACAGTCAATGTTCCACCTTTGATTTGATCAGATTACTTTTAGAGTGATGTTATTTAAATTGTTAACTGGCAAGACGATATTTTAAGTTAAAAGTTGTGTTAATTAACCTAATTGATATCCATTAAAGTAAAATGATACAGTAATGTTTTAGTGCGCTTTTTTAATGCCAGCCAACCTCCACAAAAATTATTTAGAATTGCTATTAATTATGCATACACTGGATCGCAATTTCAATATTTTGAGTAGCCAACCAGATTCTTTAGTTTCTGAGCATGTGCAGTGTATATTCAGTCAGAACTTCAGTGACTTTCTGAGGGACAATTCCCCGATAACATGCCGAAATACAATCTAATTGGAAAATGGTGAAATCTTCGGATTAATTACGTAAAAAACGAGGATTTTCGTACCTAACCCCATATGCCACGGGAATAGCTCTATAACTCAACTTTTTAATTAAAAATGTTTTTGCACACAAAGGCTATTGAAATAAAGAAACATGACCACTTTCGCCATCTATTTGAATTTTAAAAGATTTCTTATAAATTTCAAACTCAAGACCACCATCACCATTATACTTTTTGTAAAAAAATTATATACACATAAGACAAACAAAATAAAATATAAAATCTGCACATTTTTACTCATGATTGCACCATCTTCCTAAGCTGGTGTCCATGATCCGTACCTCCTTCTTTCCCCCTGCTAAAACCAATTTGGAATCGCCCGACAAAACTGAATCATGTGATCTAATTATGCACCGATGATGTATACATGATTGCTGTCGCAATGTTGCGACAGCGAATCAAATTGCGAATTCTTAATTGGGGAAATGCTAACTGCTTATCGCAGGGGGTAAAAAGAAAGAAGATATTCTGGATTTTGAAGCCCTGTGATCGGAGGATGGATTGCACTGATAACTTATTTTTCGAGTAAAACAAAAAATGATGACCCTCAATTTTAAAGATATAGCCATATTGTGAAAGGATGTATCATAACATACCTTCATATATTTATATATCAAAAAATTGCTATACATTTGGAGGCCTTGCAACAATTGTAAAATGACACATATAAAAGTACATGAAATGTTAGCACACATGAAGATATACTTTATTGAAAACTTCATCATTTTTCAGCATATTTTCCAGTCTTTTCAAAAATAGGTGACTTTTTATAAAAATCAGTTTAAACATAAAGCACTTTACATATTCTTCAAACTTGCCATTATAAACGTCTAGGTGGCATCTGACATGTGTATATACATGTACATGTATTTTCAGAATATTTGGGATTTTGAAAAATCATTTTTAAGGTTAATCTTCACTTTTTAAATTTTGGAAGGTAGAATGTACTTAAAATCTTAGGTATGGGATAAATCTAGAGTATTATTTCTGTACTTAAAATTTCAGTTAAAGGATAAATCTTAGAGTATTATATATGCACTTAAAATCTCAGGTATGGGATAAATCTTAGAGTATTATATATGTACTTAAAATCTCAGGGATGGGATAAATCTTAGAGTATTATATATGCACTTAAAATCTCAGGTATGGAATAAATCTTAGAGTATTATATATGTACTTAAAATCTCAGGCATGGGATAAATCTAGAGTATTATATATGTACTTAAAATTTCAGGTATGGGATAAATCTAGAGTATTATGTATGTACTTAAAATCTCAAGTATGGGATAAATCTTAGATTATTATATATGGATTCCTTGAGGCAGAGTGATGCAGAATTATTTTATCAAAGTCTTCAAGATCAAATATATGCTTATCAGAACTTGGGATACTTTGCCATATGTGGTGACCTAAATTCCAGATGTGGTGAATCAAATGATTTCATTGAGGGGGTGGACCATATACAACTACGTACTCATATTTCTGATTTTACAACTAATGCATATGGAGACATCCTGATTGATTTTCTAACTAGCACCAGTACCTGCATGCTAAATGGACGTGTCTAAATAGCAACTAAATAGCTGGGCAGATTTCAGTGTACTAACAATGACAGAGGCAATCTCAAAATATGATATACACGTTCCAGTGAAGATTCCTGACCACTCATTAATATATAGTACTATAAACCTGCCACCAATTAATTCTGCACCATATGCTGTAAACAATGCAATAAACAAAAATAGGCAATTTAAGCTTAATGTGATACTAGACAATTTTATGATGGGTGACGATGTACAGCGTCAGCTACAAGCAACCTTAGATAGAATACAGTCACTTGATGAAGATATTTCAGGCATTGATGATGCTTTCTCCAATTTTATGAACTTTGTACATTCTGAAATGGACTTAAAACTGCCCCACAAACGTAATTACAATAATGTCAAATTTAAACATAAAAAGCGTGCCAAACCATATTGGTCTGATGAACTACAACAAAAATGGGATTATGCTAAAGAAAGGGAGAAGATCTGGCTAAGTGACAAATCTCGACAAAAGAAAACATTGCGTCAAGATTTCTGTGCAGCAAGACGTAGGTTCGACAAGTCCCTTAGAAAAGCGAAACGTCAACATCAAGTAAATGAACAGGCCCACCTCTTGGAAATGTGTAACTCAAATGAACAGACCTCTTTCTGGAAATTATATAGAAGTACGGGAATTGCTGAATTGATAGGCCTAATTTTACACCAATGGAATTAGTCAATGAAAATGGAGATGTAACAAGTTCCGACCCAGAGGCTGTGCGTCAACAATGGCAAACTGACTTCAGCAATATGTATAATGATGCTAATAACCAAACATTTGATGAAACTCACCTGACCAATGTGAAAACAGAATTGAGCAATATGAACCTCGATGAGAATTCAACTACTATACCAATTTTAAACTCAGATATTACAGGAAGTTATAGACAGCATTACAAGAGCTAAAATTCGTAAAGCAACTGGAATAGATAATATCCCAGTGGAGGTATTAAAAATCCCTCGATGAGAATTCAACTACTATACCAATTTTAAACTCAGATATTACAAAACAGGAAGTTATAGACAGCATTACAAGAGCTAAAATTCGTAAAGCAACTGGAATAGATAATATCCCAGTGGAGGTATTAAAAATCCCTACATGTATTGAAATTCTATTTACAATAATTTCCCTATGTTTTAAAAATGGATGTGTGCCATCAATTTGGAACCGTGGAGTAATTAAGCCAATACCTAAAGCTGGAGATAGCAGAGTACCGATGAACAATCGAGGAATATCACTTATATCTGTTCCAGCTAAAGTATACTGTGACATTTTAAACTGTAGACTCACTAAATGGCTATAGAACTTAACAAAAAACTATGTGATAGTCAAAATGGGTTTCGTCAAAAGAGAAGCTGCATCGATCATATCCACACATTACATGATATAGTTAACAATCGCAAACTGCGGAAGCAATCTACCTACGTTTCTCCTATGGATGCCCGTCGTGCGTTTGACAATATCAATAGAGACTGCATGTGGCTCAAACTTGCAAACATGGGTGTTAAAGGACGTATGTATGCTGCTATTACATCAATATACAAGGATGTTCAGTGTGCAGTAAGGATGAGTGACGGCAGCACTACAGAATGGTTTGACGTGACCTGTGGTCTGAAACAGGGGTGCAAATTATTGCCCACCCTTTTTTCGATATGTATTAATGACCTTATATCAGAAATCAATACCACTGGATATGGCATTGACATTGGAGGGACTAACATAGGTATTTTAGCATATGCAGATGATATTATTTTGATCGCCCCAAGCTCAGATAATCTACAACAACCAGAACAGCGGCAACGCCAAAGCGTAGCGAATCCCATCGAACAGAAATGGCTGGCATTTTTACAAACGAATAGCAAATATCATAAAACAACACACCAGAAAGGCCACCATTTTCAAAATGGTTGCTCACTTGCCAAGTTGTCATCAGAAGAAATAATATGCTTTTAAGTAGCCACCTCTAAAATTTTTGAAAAATCAAACATGTACTGTAAAATAACACACATAAAAATGGTGGCCATTTTTCAAAATGGCCGACTACTCCCCAAAGTTTTATTAGACAATGTGCCATGCTTAAAGTATTCACATATCAAATATGAACAAAATCGCTCCACTACTTTTCGAGTTATAGTAAAATACGTTAAAATGGCGGCCATTTTTC